CAATTAAATTCCAGCCAGAATAAAATATTGAAACTTATCGAAACAGGCCCAGATATTACATTAAAATACCATTTCTGTCCCTAGCTCATCGGTAGCTCTGAATCGGAATTTGTGCAACGTCTTTTCCAGCTGAAGTTGACAAGCTATTATTAATTTCGTTAATTTATTTTATTCCGAAATTATCGATGTCAGTTAATTGCATAATATATTTTATTTCCAAAAATCTCATTTGGTGTTCCGTCACAATTTTAGAATAAAAAATGTGTTCCGCGATACAAAAAAGGTTGAAAATCACTGGTGTACGAGGTTAGTGATCAGGTTGTGCGACATCTTGGCGCGCGTACTTCAGTAGTACCAATATTTCAATTTCAACGAAGTTTAAATTAAATTTCAATCAAAATTAAATGTTTTCTAGAAGTCGGTATCTGATCGTTTATCAATTCCTGTCAAGGCGTACCATAACTTAGTCGCAGAGAAGGTATGCTGTTGCATATTTTTAACAAAATTGCAACGAACTTTCGGGTATACGATCCATTTTAATTTGCGTGTGATAGAAACTTAGGTCATTCAGTGGAATACTCAACTGACAGATTGAAGGAAATTAATTACCCACACAGCACGTCAGCATCTCGAGTGATGATCAGTGTGTGTTGCGCTGAACATGAAAATGAATGAAGGCAGATCAATAAAAGTAAATAACGAAAAATTCATTTACATTCCCGTCTGGCAATTGGTGTTATTTGGAGTGTTTGATTTTCTTCGCTAAAAGGCTCTCTTTCTTTCGAATCGCGTAAATCAGATTCGAAAAAAATTGCGATTTGAATCGATTCAATTCATAAATCTAAAAGGGGCATGCCTACTCATTAGTCCGCTTTCAGGGTCTTCATCCAATCTCACTTCCGTCGGGATATGTTTTGGCTATTTAACTCTCCTAATGTTCGGTATTTTAGTGACTTCAACCGCCTCAAAATCGATAGGACAAAATATCATCTAACCCTAACGTACTTCTTCCTTGTAGTGTTTAGCTTTTTAGTGACCTCAGCCACCTCACCACCCGTCGGAAGAAATTCCATCCACTTCTTCCTGTTAGTGTTCAGCTTTTCAGTGAACTCCGCCACCTCATTATTCGTCGAAAGAAATTTCATCCATTTCTTCCTTTTAGTGTTCAGCTTTTTAGTGACTTCACCCACCTCATTATTCGTCGGAAGAAATTTCATCCACTTCTTCCTTTTAGTGTTCAGCTTTTTAGTGACTTCAACCACCTCATTATTCGTCGGAAAAAATTTCATCCACTTCTTCCTTTTAGTGTTCAGCTTTTTAGTGACTTCAACCACCTCATTATTCGTCGGAAAAAATTTCATCCACTTCTTCCTTTTAGTGTTCAGCTTCTTAGTGACTTCAACTACCTCATTTTTCGTCGGAAGAAATTTCAACCACTCCTTCCTTTTAGTGTTCAGATTATTAGTGACTTCAACCACCTCATTATTCGTCGGAAGAAATTTCATCCACTTCTTCCTTTTAGTGTTCAGCTTTTTAGTGACTTCAACCACCTCATTATTCGTCGGAAGAAATTTCATCCACTTCTTCCTTTTAGTATTCAGCTTTTTAGTGACTTCAACCACCTCATTATTCGTCGGAAAAAATTTCATCAACTTCTTCCTTTTAGTGTTCAGCTTTTTAGTGACTTCAACCACCTCATTATTCTTGGGAATAAATTTCATCCACTTCTTCCTTTTAGTGTTCAGCCTTTCATTGTTTTTTAATTTTTCACCCTTGGGAACATTTCAACTTCCGTTTTTCCTCCACTTCATCCGTTTCTTCCTTCAGCCTTTTAGTGTTGTCCGAGTTTTTTCAAAAACGCTGTGTAAAAAATTACGGCAGTGCGAGGAGTCAAAATTAATTGTGGAATGAACATGATTCTTTCTTCCTTACGGAGTATGAAGAACTCAGTTCAGTACCAGGGGAATCATTGATGGTCACTTTAGCGATTAACAGCAGTTTAGTTTTGTATTATGTCTCTGGACTTGGTTTCTTAATTTTGCTACAAGTTACCTTCTCAAATCAATTCAATGTTTGTTCATCTCGCAAATCTACTTAGATTTTTATATCGACAAATGGAGGATGTGTTTTTTTTGTTTTGTTATTTATCTGCATTGCTGAATGCATCAGTTATTACATCAATTTTACACGTTCATTGTTACAACTTAGAAGATTCCCCGGACTTTATTGTCTGGTTTCAATTGTATTTATTTTTTCTGTGCCCAATTTTATTTTTGGTGGGTAAAAGCGTTTTGTTTGATTTTGATCTCAGCTTCGTGCATTAGAAGCTTAATAAATGAAATCACTGCCATTACGCTTGCAAATTCAAACATTTTAGTAATTTATCGCGACACAGAGAATTAGTATCCAGGCGCATGATTTAACTATTCAAACTGGCTGCGTATCCAATATATGTCCCATAAAGATCTTGAAACTGACAGGATAGCCTATACAGTATTCTGATTCATTGGCAACAGTTAGGACAATATGAATTGCTTCATTACGCGGTTATTCCGAGTTGAGTTTAGGTCATAAAACACATTGTTATAATCACAAAGGATATGTTGATGAAGTAACATTTATAAATAAAAATAAAATAAAACAAAATTGAATGAAAATGTTCATTCATTTGTACTAGAGATACAGAATGAAGAGAAAAAAATAATAGTAAGACAATTATAAATTACATGATCTCAACGCATTGAAGATTTATACCTATAAACTCAAATTACCGTATTTTAGGGACTATGAGGTACCTGGTTAAAGGGCGCACCGTCATTAAATTACTTATATTCTGCTTTTATCCATACAAATGGGGTATATCGGGCTAAAAGACGCATCGGTATCAAAAAAGCGTCGGGTTACCGTACAAAGCACTGTCAATAAATTGCCTAGCACTGCCATAAATTTATATATATATATATATTTGTGTCACACTGTATCATACATCTAAACCAGAGGTGACGAACCTGCGGCCCGCAAAGGAATTTCGTGGGGCTCGCGAAGAATTCAGGCGATTCAGTATATGTTTGTCGTAAAGTCATACCCCTTTAGGTACTGCACACAGAAAACGGGAGCGCCGGTGGTATTTATATTACTAGCAACGATAGGCTACATCTATTTTTGTTGGATCATCAATACCTTTAAAAATGGATCAAAATGTCCATTGTCTTAGCATAATTACGCTGTTTTATCGGCAAACGCATACGGTTAAATGGAGTAGGTGTAAGGTGCTGAAATTGTAATGTTTTTGCGCACGATACACGAGATATTTAAAATTAATAAAAAAAAATTATAACCTCAGCTCAATGATTGAAACAACGGAAGGTCTTGAAAAAATGCCTGCTTTTCAAAAATCGGTTAATCGTGACAGGATGGATTCGTTTATAATTTCTGAAGGCTTGCAAAATACAAATATTTTGTACAAAGCCCTCACTACTAATTTAAAAATGTGAAATTTGAAAAAAACACCGCGTTCTGAAATACCAAATTGGTAATTATTCAGTTGCGGTTCGGGTTCGGGTTAGGATTGATTTGGGGATTCGAATTTCCGGCGCAATCTGCAATCTTAGCCCCCACCCCAAAAACGTAATTGGGTTATTTATAAATATTTTTTTAATTTTGAGCGGAGGCGTAGGTTGAAATTACCGAAAGTGAGGGGGAAAGCATCTGAAAATTTTCATGCAACTGTCGTCGCAATTAGGTAGGCCACTTGTGAAAAGAGCCCACTTTTTCGACGGATAATGATTTTACTGTTATGTTATGTTGTCGAGTAATGATTTTTCAGTTGCGGATAGTATTCCATTGACGACCAATACGAGTTTTGCTTTATTAATTTAATTGTATGTTTAATGTAACCTGCGGTTGCATTGACAAATTGAAAAAAATTTAATGAAATATCACAGCAATCCACGGCCATGAAAAGTATTACAAACAGCCCGATTATATTTAGTTTTGATTCGTATTTTTGCTTTGTTAAGAATTAGTTATACGAATTCGATCTGTTCTTGCATCACTGACTCCGCTCTATCACAATGTTACCAACCAAGATTATTTTCAAGATATCAACGTCAGAGAAATCGCTAGATCTGCGATGAAATATTAAAGACTACAATTCATTTCATTCAGTACAATAAAATTTATTTGTACACTGATACACCGGTATAGTTGACCAAAAAATTCGTGTTAAAAATGCTGCGGTATTCGAACGAAATTCGAACATCCGAGCGGAGCTCGCGGCCGAGTGAGATGACGCCGCACCCAAAACCGAACTTGATCGATACAGGTCGAAGCTGGCAGACGAAAATCTTAGTATGCAGTTGGAAGTTTTCACATCGCCAGTTCGCCCTAATATAAAGCGCTCAGTATTATATTCATTGGATGTTTCTTTTTTATTTATTGCTGCAATATATAATTTATTAACATCAACTGTATGAATGCAATTGCTCGTTTTGTTGATGAAAATCAACAGTATCATAATATGACTAAAAAGTTGTGTGGCCCGCTCACTCAGCGGTGACTGATAAAATAGCACGCGACAGCAAATAGATTCGTCACCCCTGATTTAAACTAATAAGCAGATCATAGACCTGAACTCTCGCTAGTAACGTTAGAACTGCTGCAGAACGCATGAACAATACTCCCAAACACAATGGTAAACAACTTGACGAGATGAAAAATTCACGCGTCAGTTTTTCACAATGAAGTTTATACACTATTTACAAAAATTTCCAGTCTTCCAATAATACTGATTTTTCCTGATAAACAACGTTTGGCAGAGTACAGATCAACCCGATATTAGTGTCGTTTTATTTCTATTGCATGTTTTATTGCGTGAAATGACGTAATCTCGTCTCAACGTGACAAGTATTGATCATGGTGAAGACTTTAGTTCATAACCATCTTAATTTTTAGTTTGCATTATTCATTCGTATTTTGAAACACAATGCATGTGTGCAACTTTATGGTAAAGCCTCGGGGTAGATGATATAACCTTGTTTTTGTAATTTATATAGAAAATTACTAGCGCAATTCGGAATGACTGCGTTGGATGAAATCATAATTTTACTTTTATTGGTTATGATGAAAATTTGCTTAGGTAAGTAGGCTACTGTAGCGTAATTGGTATATACACTGTGATAAAATTATTTGTAGCATATAAAGATGAAAAGTTTATAAGTCTAAAATATATTTACTCGTTTATATTGTACCGAACTACAGGAGTTTACATGCAGTCATGCATATATATATAGAGTATCTCTTTCAAATTCCCAAAAAATCGTATTTGAAATGGACAATGTTTAAAATATCCTACCTAAATAAATACAGCTTGATAATCCGAAGGGTATTGGCTTGTCGTCGGTATAACTCAACCTCGAACTCAAGATCTATTATTCGAAGCTACAGCGCTGTTTGGTTATTTGGACAACGATTCAAATTCAACTAGAGTTGAGGATATCCTTTAAAATTAAAGCAATAGTGCCACAAATTATTTTCAGGACAAAGAGGAGTTTGGTTGAGTGGCAAAAGGTCGTATGAATATTATATTTCACCTGGAAACTTTACTGGAACATATTACGAAGCAGAATCATCCTGTAAAAAAGTTGGCGGAGAACTGGCGTTCATAAAGTCGGAAAAAACCCAACTATTCATCGGAAACTTGGTATTAGAATGTACAGGTAAATGATATGTATATATGTTATATTGTATTCATATATTGCATATATTTCAAACTAAATATTACTTAATAATTGAGTTTTTTGTTTCACAACATATTTTACGTGCAATTAAATTACTGTAAGGCTCAACTATAAGATTGAAGGATTTTTATATATACAAAGTTTTGCTGAGACCACGGCACAAACGCCCGATAGTCTTACGAGAAAGAGGCGTTTTGAAAGGCGATTGAGATCATACACTCATTTCTATTCCTAACCATACATCACAAATAGGGAAAGCATCAGGGTATTTCATTGGATTGCGCGACGTTCACAATAACGGCACTTTTCGGTGGAATGATGGAACACCGATGGAGTATCAGAATTGGAATGAAGGTCAACCAAATGTAAGAGGAATACAAACATGCGTAACCATGGGATTTAGACAGTCGGATGAGCAACTACGCTGGCATGATTATTATTGTGCAGATGGGGGAATGGGATTTGTTTGCCAACGAAAGAAATGTGGGTGTAATATAAAATGAGTTATGTAAATATTTACTGCTTTGAAATATCAAAACATTTCTATATTGAGAATCGGCACGTTTTTGAGGCATGAGTTAATTGTCTGAAATTGCAGTGCCCCTATGATTCATTCGTTACATATGCATGTGGAAAACGGAAACATGGCAAATAAACATTTCTATATTTTATTAAAACATATTTGAAACAGCTGTGTGGATAAAATGAAAACCCGTTTCACTGCTATGACTCGGAATAAGTTAAATATTTATTAGGTCAAATTTCTCATTTAAAGCATTCCAGCTAAAAACCATACAAAAACATTGATGACTATTAACTTTTTGAAGTAGTGTCATTTTTGCCAATGCGCGTTGAAAAAACTTCTGTTAAAGGTAAGAAGTTCTAGTTAAAGCGATAAGCGCAGGTGAATTCATTTGTGCATTGCAGCAGTACAAATAATACTTCGTCATATGCCGTTGTGAAACGTGATCCCAGCCCATGCAACCATTACATGAAGGACTAGATCATTACTTTTAATACAAAAGCGAATTTAAAATAATATAGCTATTCTTGGCACGTCTAATTAAATACACGATTGCATTTTTTAGGTCCTAGGGGATGGACTCGTAAAAAGAAATATAGAAATATTAAAAATTCTTGCTTCGATGATCGTGGCTTCAAATTAGATGCAGCAAGTTTTATGGTTGGATTCACTGCACCATTTCTTTTGCTCGTTATTGTCATAACAGCTTTTGTAATGTATCATAAAAAGATTAAAAGGTAAAAGCGTCGAGGTTTATGAATTTATATACAACAAACAAGGCTGTAGATAAGAAACTGGGCTATTTGGGAAGTACCTTCAAAGATATTTATTCAATGATATTTGATAAATATATTTAGTTGGTTTATAAAGTCGAGCATTTTTACTTATTGTAACTCTACTCAAAGATTCATATTTATATCTTCATTTCAGAAATAATCCTGATAAAGAGGCCCAAGTAAAACAAGAACCTGATAAAGAGGCCCAAGTAAAACAAGAACCGATTTATGATGTTGTAGCTGCTGATGACTATAGATTGGAAGACAACAAGAGCGTATGAAGGTATGTAGTTGCAAATACAGGTCAGCACGTTTTATGTATGTAATTTACAATCCAATGATCATCCCAGTACACGTATGCATACATTTCAGACGCACCTCAGCTATTTGCAAGAACTTAATCGAGGAAAGCAGGCAATGGCATTCGCACCCTCTTACACGACGAGCAGAAAATAATTCGAAGTTGAAAAAAATTATGAAAGAGAAAAACTTCATTATTCAAACTGCTGTATTTCACAAACTTAACATTATTTGCAAATAGCCAATTAGCCATAATACTATTTCGTATGTTGTTGTCCGCCTGCCTGGAGTCTATTGAACCATTGTCTCAATTTAACATCCATACTAAAATCATGCAGAACATGTACTGCAATTCATTTAAATTGACATATAATGGAAATTAGTAAAGATGACGATGACCCGTGTTTCGAAACGTTCGGAAATGTTGGTACAATATTTAATATACATAAACGGTACCAATGCAGATTGCAGAAGTACAAAAAGCATGAATTGAGAAGGATGGTTACAATACAAGAAAACGAAAAATTTGGATAGAAGTGCAATGTTAGACTTAGTTTTTGGCTTTGAAGAAGATTTTTATATGCAATAATAATATGTACAATTTTCGTGATTGCCTTGAACGGACTTTTGAATATAAATGGCCATATATCGACATTTGGCAGTAGCATAAGATATTTTGTCGATTCTGGAAATACACATCACATTGTCACTGCAAGAGAAAATAGCAATAAATTTGCAATTTTCGAAAATAGCGAAATCGATTCAAGATGACAAAAAAGATAATTATGAAATTATGATGCAAATAAGAAATTCATTTTCAACAAAGAAGGGCCCACTCCATCGCCGAAAAAGGAGTCAGTAATATTGTAGCGAATTTGGATTGTAATTATGGATTTTAATGTTATTTAACCCTTTCTTATTAACAGTATGTTGAATTCAATGAAACAGGTCATTTTAGCTGTTTCCCTGATTATGATTTATCGCGACAGCTTCAAGCCTTAGCTTTGTGCGTATAGCCCTCTTTTGTATCGACCAATTGGGATGACGTGTGTTTCCGGCCTCCGTTCGGGAGTTGGAATATAGCGTGTTTTTCATGTTCTCGCTATTCTTACGTTTCGGATTCGAACATAAAACCGTATTAAAGTTTAGGTGTATACTTGGATTCAGTTGGATTGTGCATCTTTACAATATACGAACATTTGGCATACAGCATATTGTGTGCTTATTGACTTCTGAGGAGTTCAGATTGCAGTACTCTATTAAACGTGTGTCAACCCAATAACACGTGAGTGAACAGGCAGATAGGGCCAAGAATCCCATATATTTATGGTAATCACCGTCGTGTCCGCCGGACAAGAACCCATTGGGAATTTCAAATCAACAAGTGGAAGACTAATTTCAATATTGTTTATTCAGAATTTTAACAACAGCGACAAGATTAAAAGATAAGTAGGATTTTGAAAGCAGTCGAAATAATTCAACCCTCTTAGAATGAATTCGAAGCAAATAAGTATAGCAATACAAACTACGGAGTTTTCTCCTCGTAAAACTACACAATCTATAATGACGCCGCCAAGTACCCCGGAAAATATTAGTTCTCAGCAGGAATCAATGGCGCGAACGTCGACTAGTTCAAGTTCAACTGATGATTCTAAAGTGGGAATGCTACCTGAAAATTATATCAAGTTTTTAAGCATTAATGAACGCGAACCTATTTGGGAACACGATGTTGACCAATGGATTGACATCGTAACTACAGATTTCAAATATTTCGGAATCCAGGATCCCGAATTTAAACTGCGTTACATAATTCAGAGTTTTACGACAGAACAGTACGCTAAGATGAAAGAGTTTATGCCAGATCGAGACACTCCGGTAACAAACAAAGATTTTGACGACTTCTTAAACGCTATCAAAGAAATGTTCGAGTTGTCTTTTATCGAGCAGATTGAGGCCCTAGGACTGGGCCCTAAATGCAAGAAAATGACGCCTACACAAATATACAGCTTGATTTGCCGCAATTTAGATTTCTACACGGTAAATAACAAAATCCCAGAGCAAGTATTGGGATTTTACTTTGTTCGACTTGTTCCAGAATCTGTTGCTATATATGTGAGACGACTTCTCGCCAGAAGTGGAACTAAACTCTCAATGAGTCAAATTGTAGAAATGGCAGAGAATTTTTGGGATATCAAGTGCGCATTAGATGCTGCTAACGATCCACAAACAAAACCACATTCTGATACAGAAGCTTACGCTGAATTATTGGCAGAAATGAAGAAGATGCGATTGGAAAATCAGAAATTAAAAAGTCAGTTAGACAAACTTTTAGAAGAGAAATAGCATACTTACATCGAGAATTACGACCGACAACAGAGGCGAAACGATTATCAAAAGAGTCCGCCCCAAAAATACAACAATTCGTGACCTCTTACTGATAGCCGCCATCTCTATAATGGTCAGCCTTTTTGACGAGATAACGTACCATAAATTAATACTTCTCGAGCAAACCCGGAAGTAAAGCAAATGAGGAAGACACTACCGCAACGACCAACCAGAAACACCCGATTCGGAAGACGTCGAAGTTGGCGACGAAAATGACGAAGTTGCTGAGTTGCCAGTAATATTTCCGAAGCTAGTATAACAAAGCTCACTTTGACTCAAACGTTTGACTTGTGCCAAACCTTACAACTTATTTTCAATTAACCCTTTTAAGACGACTCGTTTCCGACACGTTCGTTGCGAATTGTATATAGTGTGTATCTCGCAATGTCTCGCCTTGCATTTTTTATTAATCGTCTTGTAATTTATTTCGTTTTCTTTCAACTTATTATTGTTCAATTATAAAAAATTAAAAAAAATAAAATAAAAAAACCTCACTAAAATAATTTAAAAAAAAGTAAAAACCATGCAGAAAAATTGTGTAGTGTAAGTACTTTTTATGTGTGATTATTTGTTATTAATCAATGTATTGTTTTTATAAATCATGATTTCATTTGTTTCATACAAAATTTGATACATGTTCAATCTCAAATATTCAACGTTTCAATAACCTCTCAATCCATTCATTCTTCAACTTTACAGGATTCGCTATTACTTTATTATTTAGCTTCAAAGTTGTCTCCAGCATAATTTGGTCATTTTTACAACTTGAGCATCAAAACAATTTTCAATTTAAATTCCCAAGTAACAAATCCTCCGTTTTGTTTTTATTAAAAGTTTAAAATTTTGACTTAACCTCATGTCCCTTCCTTTTTGAGTGAGGTCGACATTTTGTTTCAATATTTCGTTGCCATTTCACTTTTACAATTACAAGATTTCAAGGCAGCGCATAGACTTCTTTGAAATATTTTTTCTCGTATTTGATTTCTCACGTAACCTACTTAACTTCACTCGTTCGACTAAGCCATTATTTACGATATCGTACCAATGTCTTTTTATTATAATTATTGATTCGTATTTTTTTCTTGTTTTTGGGTTTCCACTCTCGGATACCGGTCCTCACAAAATTTAAATATTAGCAATCTACTTTTTTACTGTCAGAGGGGAGGGTGAATTGGGAGCTAATGTGGATTGTAACTATGAGTTTAATATAGTTAACCCATTCATATTAATAGTATGACGTGTGCTCCCGGCCTTAGATTGTATGAAAGCGTGCAACCCTTCGGAAACAGTATGATTGCTTCTATTGGTATATTCCAACAGTGTATTTTTTGTTTCTAGTTCAATTTTATCATATTACAGATTGCATAAAATCACCTCTTATTAAGTGCTTTTTATGGTTCAGCCTGCAGTCACTCATGAATGGAAAAATAAGGACCAAGGTCAACCGCTCATTCGGGTGTAACATGATAAAAAAAAAACAGCACAACTTTCAAATCTTAGTGTGTGCAGGTTTAAAAAAAAATTGGGCGACCCCGGAAAATCTTCACGCGACGCCGCCCTACCCGGGTTCGTGACCCACAGTTTGGGGACCACTGCTTAGGCAATTCAATCTCGGTGATGGAAGGGTGGATTCTATCGCCGCAAATGTCAATATCTTTTGGAGTCTATATATATAGAAAAGAATAAATAAACAGTTTGTATTATTTTTGTTATATCCGACAATGATGCATTATCAGCAATTACGGTTTTAGCAAATGACGAAATGAAGAAAGCATATTACAGAAAAATGCTACAATCTTTGGCGTCAAATGAATTGTTGCTGTTCTAGGTCATTTGGGACATGGAGCTCCGACAATAATTCTGTGTTGTCAAACGCACCCTACAAATTTTAGTAAATTTGAATTCGCTGTAACACGAAAATTCAACCGTTAGAGATATAGCCTTATAGATGACAAAAAAACATTTTTACAATTTCAGAAATAAATGTAATAATGGATTATAAATGATATTTCAGAAATAAGGTCATCAGAAAATTTCTAGTCAGTGGATTTTGGAGGAACATTTAAAACATAAATTTTATAATGACATCAATATCTAATGTTAACACTCATTGTGATTTTCACAAATGAGATAGACAAACAGGTGTGCTACAGAGAAATGTTTTATTTGCAGTGCCAAATCAATTGCAACTAATTTATGCAATTTGCGAAAATAAAAATATAGCAATCTAGCATGGACACTCGAAAAATGCTCACGGCGTTTTATTTCAATAAAAAAAACAAAGGATACAGAAAAATGATAAAAACAAAACCCTAGCCGCCGAACTATATACTGAAGAATATTCTTCATTATGGTATTAATTAAAGCTCTTGTTTGCCGAATTTAGGCGGTGAGTTGTCCCCTAATACAACTGCCTTTGGATTGTGGCAGGACCGTTAGCTATGTTTTGTGATTTTTTTCACCTTTTTTTACTCAAAGCGTCTCTTGAAATCTCGGGTAAACAATTCTGTTAAAATCTCACGGCTTTGGTGTAGGTACTGGCGCGATGAAGGTAAAGTTAAAGCAATTTTTTTTAAAGTTTTTTTTTTAAATTATTATTCCGACAACGTGCACAATCGTCATAACGCTACATTGAGGCCCAGTTTCACAGCGATGTCAGGGGTATTTCAATAAAAGATACAGAAAAAATTTGATATAAAACAAGCCCATGTTTTTGAAAAAAATAGTAATGTATAGGCCTAAGTGTTCCTTCGTGTTCTATTACTTAGAATTATGTCATTCGATTGTGAAACTTGATAAGGTATACATAGACAATTACCAACTCAATATCTGAATGGCTTAGGTTGAATATGTGTCAAATCGTGCAAAGGGAGAAGAAAACTTCTAACATAGGAATCCTGCATCAGTTATAAATCAGAGTTTGTTGATAATATGGTGGTTAATAGTAACTTCTGTTGAAATTACATTGGGACGCAATTTAGAAACATAGACGCTGCCGTCTTTCGCCTACGACAAGAAAGACCGGAGACAAATTACAATCACCGTGGGTTCGAGTTCATGTAAAGGCATTTGAAAAGTTTTCAATTAGAGAGTGATATGTTAGACAGCAAATACCGTTGTAATTAGAAACTACTTACACTACGTGATGGTAATTTTGTTTGATTATCCGGGGCAATGTTCCAAATCCTTTTCCCTAACAATTTCTTCAGGCATTCGTTATTTTAATTCGACGCTCAGTCGGATTCTTTGGTCTCGAAATGGATGAGAATTTATGTTACAGCATGTGAAATTTGTGCGGGACAGATGGACAGTAAAACGAAGGAGCGACGATGTGCTTGCAGACGACCGTGCGGTGAGTTCGGTTGAAGTGTGTGTTTATCTTTTCTCTTCGTATTTTGTGTGAAACTTACCTTTTTTATTGGCTGAAAAAATAAACTTGACTTGACTAGACAGCGAAGTAAGTCTTTGGGGAATTTTTTTATTGAATCGCCTGAAGGCATTCACTATAAAAGTGATTACCGGCATTTGTCCTGGGAGCAAAATGATACCAGACAACAGAATAGGATAGGATTTACCTATTTATCCCGGGGGAGAGGAAAGCCGATAAGACGGCTTATCCATATGGCGAACCACGACCTCTCGTCCGGTTACCATTCCAAGTCGAGTATGGGATTAGTTATATTGTTTGTTTCCGGAAGCATGGACTTGGTGGTGGAGGAAGCCGTAACCGACCATCGGTTACGTGAACCACCCAACGACGGCGAGGAGTCCAGCAATCCTCTCGCACATAACCATCTCTGCATGGGATTCGAACCCGCGAACCCACCCATGAAGAATTATGGTTGCATGTAAGTGGTATATGAAGGTTTATTTTGTTCATGGTGGTTCGGGCCTCACTCGCTTTTAGAAACGTTGAGATTTCCATGCTTTCCAACAAAGCTCATAACACATTATGGACGTATTACTTTTTGTGTATATGCTTTGCACTAAGATTCAATTTACTACGCTCAGCAGCGTTACTTTATTAAATACCTATTAGTTCTCTTATTTCCTAGTTTGGTAACGTCTAGCACGCGTTTCTTGTACTAGGTTATATAATGGCTCTGGTCTCATCACGAAAGCCCACCCGAATTCTGGCTCTATTTACGAGTTCATGATTCCGTAAAATGGCCACTAGAGACAGCCCCCCTAATATTTTTTAGAAATAAACGGACTTATCTGCAGATGGATATATTTCTGTTTCCTGGGCTCATGAAGGAATTTTTATGCTCAACCATGTTTTATGTTTATTTTACATATTTTTGTTATGTTTTTTCTAAAAAATATTTATAATAAATGATACAATATATTTCTTTGTTAAAGTCAGCAGTTTACATTCTAAACATAATCAGCGGGAGGAGCATCGCCACACTGCGCGACGCACTGGCGCATTGTTGACCTGTTGCCTGTATTCTGGTATTGCTGTATCGCCACTATCGCGGTGTTGTTGCCGGTCTCTCCCCCGACTTTTTGGAAAATTGGTTCTTCATCCGATAGTTAAATTATTTTACTCAGGTTTATCTAATATTTTTCTTGAATGTGACTTAACAATATTGCTTGTAGACGTGGGATCTTGGCAACAGCTACCGTAACGTTCAGACGTTAGATAGCTTTCGGCCCTTCGGTAGACCATTCCAGTCAGCCCATACCGGTATAGGCTAAATTAACAACACAATGGATGAATTGTATCCTAGCTTAACACGTGCAAGTTTGGATCAGAATTACCTTCATGCAAACTCGTAAGTACCGATTTATTAAATACTGAAATATGCTAGTTGATATGTACGGTATTTTTACTTTGTTTGAAGTAGATTTTTGAATAAGAATCTCATTAGTTCGTGACAGTGGGATTTCGAGATTTAAAATTAGCATTTTTAATTCTAGCTATTACATAGATGTACTGCCCTATTTCAGTAGGGCACAGTTCTCTGATTCTAAGATGTCCACCCATTAGGTTTATTGAAACAAACACTATTTGTCTCTGAGTTGAGGGCATCTAGCATAACGGCAGGTTACCAGATCGCGGGAGATGCTTGTCTTGATAATAATTTGAATCGATCATGTGACCAAAATTGTCTCTCGAAGGTTATGATAAAATTTCAGAATTTTTTTCTTCAAAATGGAATATTTTATTCCGAGAATCCGATGGTGACTTGTTCAGATCGCCTAAATTTATTTGTTGTGCAGTGCCGTTTTGAACCGATTTGGAGACCCAGACTGCCTTACGAAGGGTTGATCTGCATTTACTGTTTTTATATTTGATGTCTTTCAATGTTAGAATGTGGGGGCTATTCTTGGAATCTCAGAACTGTGCCGTACTGTATTTAGATCATTCGTTTCATTTTGATTTTCTTAGAGCCTTGCATCGTTGCATCGTTGAAAATTTCAATTTTTTTCAGGACAACTCATGAGTTTCTTTTTGGGGCACTTGCTGAGCTAGTAGATAATGCAAGAGATGCGGACGCTACAAAAATAAATGTTTTCACAACAAAAAATGAAGATGTTCGAGGTGGATTCACTCTCAATTTTCTCGATGACGGAGAAGGTATTTCTAATCGTTTTTATTTTCAAATTTCAAACTGAAAAATAATGAACTGAAATACAAAATAAATTTTATTCCTTTTTCATGCTTTGAAGCTTCACTTTTTTTTTTATCATGCAGCAGTACTTTGCCCTACCATACGTTACTAGTGTAGATAAATATGTTTGGTAACTATTTCAAACATGGTGTAATTTAACATTCGGAGCTGAGTAGAAACTCAAAAGGCATTAATTCTCAACCAACAAAGAAGGGTTCGTGCGTATGGCAAATATTTTGTCATCCAAATTTGGATCCTTCAATTTTTTTTCAATCAGTGGCCATTAAGTTTGAAAAAGTCAGACATAAAGTTTCCTTGACTACACAATGATATTAAATTGCATTAAAGTATACCAGACCCAATATTCATGAACAAATATGTTTTCACTTTCATTTGAATTTAACACTTATTGGAGGATTTTTAGATATCTTCTAGCTTTGAATAGGCCATTATTTTTGGTTATGCTTGGTTTTTAATATGCAATATTGCTAATTGCTTACTGTTTTAATTTTGCTATTGCTTAATATTGCTATTGCTCACTGTTTTATATTTTTCAACATTAGGAATGGATTCAAGTGATGTTGCAAACATAGTACAATTCGGTCGTTCTTCAAAACGACTTTCCAGTGATAACATGATTGGGCAATATGGAAATGGTCTCAAGTCGTGAGTGTTTTTATTAGATTTTTCCTTCAAATTATGCAGTATGTTACAGATTCAGCCTTGAAACAGTTGTTGTAGCAAATAAGAGGCATCAGTCATTTATTCAGAGCAAGATAAAAAAATCAACATCTTTGTTTTGAACTCTATATATGGAGATATGGATTTTTATTCTGCATACAGAGTATTTCATTCTAGCATAACTATCACATTATTTACATGTTGCATGGTTTGATGAACAGTGATTGAGCAATGTTCTTATTAACTAGTACTCTAGACATACAGCCTCTTTGCTTATTTATATAAAACATCTCTCCATTTCTCTACTTACAGAGGTTCTATGAGGATTGGAAACGATTTTATGTTATTTTCGAAACGGGGAAGATCGTGCACTTGCTTGATGTTGTCAAGAACATTTCTCAACAGAGAAAGAATTTCAAACATTATTGTTCCAATGCCAGTATGGGATGCTGACAGTAGGAAACCTATTTATGATACTGGAGGAAAAGCCAAGGTTTGGAATTGGATATTCCATTTCGGACTAGATGTTGAACCCATAGATCGTTTTGCAAAATGGTTTTTGTTCTTGTTTGAGTTTTGTCAGGGAAAAATGCTCTTTTCTACAGCTAATGGACCAATTAGTTTCAAATTTCCAGTATATAGAGATGGAACAATGTGCTTAAACAGGGGTGTGCAGCCTGTGGGCGAAATGCGGCCCACAAGAAAAAATTGTGCGGCCCGCCTGCAACTATTAGAAATCATTTATTAAATACAGTTGCAGCCTGCAGTTTCACCCTGTTATTTGTATCTGGCCCTCCTTTATTGAAGGTTGCACACCCCTGTGCTAGAAGGCTGTTACCGTACTTTTTTTCAAATATTTTTAGACATATGGGGCCTGGTATTTTATCTCAAAGCTTTTTTGCTTCTGGATATATTGCTCAACCATGAGCAATTCCATCCAGCTATTTTGCCGACCTTTTTTTCAAACCCAGTGATCAGCTATGTAAATTGCTGCTTTGAATGGATTTCTTGAATTTTGATTTCTAGTTATCTCTTTCTTCTGATTACAAGCTTTCTATTCTCAGTACGACATGGAGATAGAATTGATCAAAAAATATTCACCATTTAAAACAGAGAGAGAAGTCATCAAACAGTTTGACAGTATTAAAGACAGAACAGGTGAACTGAAACAGAATAATTACAGGGTATTCTGGATAAGGGCTGGGGTTGAAATTTTGATTCATCAGAACCCAAATTTTAAATAGACTCTTAATAAAGAGTTGACCAAACATTCTGAACAAAAGATCAAAGGAAACATACAATCTACAAAGGCTTTGTCATCACAATTTGTTTTTTTATATCATGAGTTGGAGTCGGATCCAAATTTTTATCAGTGTGATGTCCTGATCTGATGTGGAATTTTTAGTCAGCCCTAAGCTGGAGTCCTTCTATAAATATTAGTATAGGAATTTAACCAGTCTCTACATCTGTGTTGCGGACAAATCCTTGAAAATTGATTACTGAAATTATGTGATATTTTTTAACAAGCGGTCTCTCGTATGTTTTATTAATTACCAAGTGATTTTTGCTCGTACTCTCTGAATAAGGCTCTGTACAATCAGTTACTATTATATGGTAAGGATCTTAACTTTATAAATCGTGTTCAATTAGGTACTCCCGTAGTGTGTGTTAGGCTTGCACGTAATTTACAGATTTACGGAATTACGGAATTATTTCGAGTTACGGAAGGAAAGTTACGAATTACGTAAAGTCGTAATTATTGGTCGAGCGCTTTCGCGATTGAAACGAGCTCTCTTCAAAGTAGTCAATTCGTCGATTGTAAAAAGTGAAAGTTTAAAAAGTAGAAGTTAGAGCTTCGGTATTTGCAGCCGTTTTTCTCACTTTTCTCTCTCTTGTCAATACGTCACCGTGATAATTAATGTCGCGCTTATCAAACAGCAATATGACGACGGGAGAGAAATTGCGTAATGAACCAACGCAACTTCGTCTTTTCGGCATCGGTAAAGCGATTGAGACGGCAGAGAAACAACAATATGACGGGATTTCCCGCGATCCGGTAAAAAATCAGCAATATGACGACGGAAGAGAAATTGCGTAATGAACCAACGCAACTTACTTCGTCTTTTCGGCATCGGTAAAGCGATTGAGACGGCAGAGAAACAACAATATGACGGCATTTCCCGTGATCCGGTAAAAATTCTTTGCGGACCGTTGACGGTCCGCGGACCGGCGGTTGGGAACCACTGTTTTAGAATACTTAAATCGAATCCTATTCTATTTTTGTAGTTACCCGTATTTAAATAGTGGGATTTCTCCACCACAATGCATGATTAAAATTAAAAAAAAAGGTAAATTGTAGCTTATATGTTTAATGTATAATTATCTTTGTGCAGTATTTAATTGAAAATGTCCTGATCATTGGATTATATTTAACCAAGGCAACGAGATTTAAGAATTTCGACGATCGTTTTTTTGTTTTTAACAGTTCAATATTCTCAATTTAACTACTATCAAATATCAAGTGTGAGCCAGTGTGTTTATTCTGTGCGAGAACCATTTTCAATTACAAAACTCTGATGTTCTGTTACCGGTTTTATCGTTTTATATCAGTCCGGACTTGTCCTTGCTCAATATATTTTCCACAATGCCTCGCAATATTTCGGCCAAATATGATTAACTGTCTTTACCAAATGCGGCAACTTATTTTGATTCTTGAATACCACCGACACTCGACCAAATTTGTGTCAATCTTGGCCGATAGGATCGTCGACTTGAGTTAGAAAAATAAGTTAATTTTTTCGTGAGTGCAAAATAAATGTCACAATATACATTTTTTTGCGATGTAACTTTGTATTTTCGGAAAAGCCATGTCATATAAGTATGGTATTTAAATTATGCGCAAATAATTAATATTTGATCTAAATTTGTCACAAATAATGTTACAACATTTAGGCCGCGAAATAATTTAATGTTAAATGAAGCATGGTAATCGGAATAACGTCAATAAGTCGGCATCAATAATTATTATAAAATGCTGACTAGGTAGTAAAGTCGAATAATGTTAAAAGCGGTGCAATAACAAGTCTTCGTCGCGAGGCAAGCGCAAGTATAATCGAACGAGAGAATACGCTTGTCGTGGTATTGATAAATTGGAAACCCGACATTTTTTTTAATACGATTTTAAAAAAGTCGACTATCGTTTCATAAATATCCGTATACCAGTGTCGGTAATGATAAAATTGATCGCATAAAATTGGGACGGTTAATTTGCGAAGGTGATAAAGGAAATCAAAGCTAGCACAAAAGGTAAAAATCAGAATAAAATTAATTTGAATTCACTCTTGTCTTAACATCTGTCGCCGGCGTGTAGTACTGCCAGGAATATGAAAACCCAAACTCGAGGTCTCAATCGAAAATGAAGTGGATTCAATTGGTTGTTATGAAAGGTTTAAATGTATGAAAAAATATCGCAATTACGGGGTCATTACGTAATCGATTTGGCCGTAATTACGGAATTGATTTTTGTCAATTACGTGCAAGCCTAGTGTGTGTACCAGGTTAGGGTTAGGCCATAATTTTAATATGATTTTCCTTATTTTAGTTCTACTACGAGTTCGGGGACTGTCTGTGTTAGCTAAGTAAATACACCCTTTGCCCATAGGCTTCCGTCTCTTCACACAACTTGATGTAAAATAGGCGAACAAAATAGTTACCTCCATATTGGTACATACACTTCTGGAGCACACTTCCCCCAGTTATACCCTGGGCGAGGATGCTGAGAAATAATAAAGATATCCAATTAGTTACTGGTTGCCATTGGACTTGAAAAGACCAAGTTAGCACTGTCGAGGAAACAGTTTGTCAGTTATGTTCACTAAAAAATGACAGACAATCTGGATATCAAATATATATTCCGTAATGATTTTCACAGGTACATTGATTGTTCTCTACAATGTGAAACTTCTCGATTCTGGAAATCCAGAACTTGATGTTTTAACTGATCCAACGGACATAAGAATGGCAGAGATAGATGAAGAAGACAAAAGGTGACTTTTTACGTCTGACTTTGATAAGGTCTTTGTAGTTGAGGGTTTTTCAAACCCCACCATTGGTCCCCTTGGGGGGCCACATAGCCCATGAGCAAACAAAGTCCTTCTATTTCGATGACTATATCAATTTAAACTGCACTGACTGTGATTAAATGTGATGAATAAAAAAACTGCTGAAAATGCGTTAAAGACAAAACTAAGTGTTATTATAGAAGGTCAGAGCAGACTGAATTTCTAAGTTTCCATTTTATCCTCTTCGTGAAATTTTATAAATGAAATAATCTTTGTTAATTTTCAATTAATACATTTATTCTGAAGCAGAATTTTGTACAAAAGTTTATGCAAAAAGTTTGCTTCTTTACTTTTGCTCATTCGAATCTTTAAAAAACCTTAATTTTTGGACATTTATTTTAAAATTGTAATTGATGCTTTTTGAGTATTTGAATTCTGCCCTTTCAGGTTTGGTTCTACGACAGACACAAAACAATAAATTAATTTAAAATACTGGTGAATTGGTAATCATCTCTTTTCTATGACTAAGCTATAATTGTCTTTCCATCCAGCAATTGGCCTGAAAGAGTATCTTTCAAAGCATACGTATCAATATTATATCTCGATCCGAGGATGAAAGTTTATATCCAGGGAAAGAAAGTTCGAACGAAACGTTTGGCAAACTGTCTATATAAACCTAAGTAAGTTCTGTTAGATTGCTTCTCGGTTGGTGAGATAGGAATGTCTAGAATATTTTTTTAATTTTTCAAGTTATGCACGCTATTTAATTACTACTACTAGTCTCACTATATTTATTGGACATGACTGGAATCATATACAATAGTGTTATTGCTGGTGAAAAATCGTTTTTCTTCGTAACCAATGGGCTGTTCAATCTCAAATTATCAGTTTTCAAGGATGGATGAAGTTACTAAAAGGCTATTACTTTTTTCCCCAAAGATTTTGTTTTAATTGGGCTATTTTTGTATATATTGTGCCATTTTTAGTTTGCCAGTGTGCCATCTTTTGGGTAAAAATTGGTGTTAAGCTTAGACCTTACTTGGTACTGATGTAAATTGCTATGATGATGGGACTTGATTTAAAATTTTAATCTGAATTTTTGCCCTTTGTGATAACTAATCAGAAAAAATTTGATGAAAAATTTGTATTGTTTCCTAATAGATCGTACAAATACTCTTCAACAAGATTTAAGAAAAGGTCAGAAGATGAAGTTAGAAAAGCTGAAAACGAATTTAAATTAGGTTTGTTTTTAATATATGCATGTTGTTTAATTGTTGTTAAATTTGGATTTGAATCGTGTGCCTTATCAGTTCAGTTCTGTGAAGTCAGAGTTTGACCTGATCTCATTTTCATTGGAAATGGAGGTATTCGGGATTTGAGGTTTCACCACAGCCTTGTTGAAATTAGGTATCGATTGATAGGTTGTTGAGGAAGAATTCTTTTGCTTGGTAAATTTTTTGGTACTCCGGTAGTGTTTGTACCAGGTTAGGATTAGGCCATGATTTTATTCCGATTTTTTCTATTTTATTTAAGGTTCGGGGACTGCCTGTGTTAGCCAAGTGAATATACCCCCTGCCCATAGGTTACATTCCTTTACACAACCTGATGTAAAGCAGGCGAACAAAATTAGTTATCTCCATATTGGTATACATACTTCTGGAACGCCAATTTTTCTTTATGGCATGTATATGCAACTATCAGATTATCTTATCAAAATTTATCTCATGTCACATTCATAATTTTGAAATTGTATCTCTTTTTAGCTGAAGAAAGATGGAGAGAGGCAGAAAGTGACAGTAAAGACAAAGAAAAGAAAGTAAGTCAGTCGTGTGCCAATACATTGAACACCGTTCATATCATTTCTGTATGATTGAAGACTTATGCAATAATAAAATGAAAATTTTGGCATGGATAATTGCTCAAAATTTTTCTCGATTTAAACTGGTCCAATTGGCATTATGCTGGATTATTTATTTTCATACACTTTGTTCAGGTGTCAATCAAAGCCAATCCTAAGAAAGCAGAACTTGCCGAATTAAGAAATAAGCAAGAAAAATCCAGACTTTTGAAAAATGAAGTTAATCAATTGAGGGATGATTGGACAAAGAAAAAAGCGTGAGTTGGATTTTGATTTAAATTAAGAAAACAATAAGAAAAATCATTCTCAAATATATGGACACAATTTATGTTGTAGGAAATGTTTAAAAAAATGCTTAAACATCGTATGAATTTTTGCCTGTGAATTATAAATACCTACGAAATTTAGGGGGAAATATCAGCCCCTGTCTGGTCCAAAAAATTGTTAAGGTAGCATCCTTCTTGTGACTTTTTTCATCTTGAGTACTGAAAAATTTAAATTGATTGGTTCATTCATTTGAAAACACAATGATCCATCCACTTTTTGCTTGCTATATCATTTTCTCAATACTCCAGAGATTCAGTGAATCTGACTTTTTAGGGGAGCGATTCCCAAAAGGTGTGCTGTGCAGCAAGTTGTCAGGTTTGTCGTGAAAATAAACAGAATTGTGTTGAACATAACTAAAATATGATTTGATATTTTACGTATTGTCTTTATTATAAAAGTTTTATTGCTTCCATTCTTAAATGTTATGTATAGGAATCAATAAATTCATTCCATGTTGTTTATTTTCTGTCACATAGTGTCTGTCTGTCTCTGTTACGTAACAATAGATGTAAACACCACTTGCTGCAGTTTATTTATCTGCTTAAAATAAGGAAAAAGATATGACCTTTTTTTCATTCCTGAGGTATACATGTTTACTAACGTTAAAGGACATGAACTACGCAGTATTGATTACAATAGAGTAGCATATCTTTTTCATGCAAGTGAGCCGCGAGTATTTTCCCCTGATAATTTGGCGCCCCAAAAATATTGGGAACCGCTGTCTTAGGGGGTGTTAACAGTGTGATACATCTACATGAAAGAAGAAAATTAATTTATTTTTCCGATAGGCCTGTGCTTGCTTGTTTGGAGCTTCATTCCTAGAACACAATACAGTAATGTGCATTGTCATTTTTTCAGGTCACTTAAAGAACCAAAGACGTTGGATTTTATATTTGGTTTCAACATTACAAATCGAAAATATTACGGAATGTTTATTTACAACTGCAACAGACTGATACGAATGTACGAGAGGGTTGGACCGCAGATTGATGGAGGAGTGTGAGTGTTTAAACCTGACATGGGCAACCTACGCCCCGCGTACCATTGGGTGATTCAGTCTTGCCTGATGACGCTGCCATAAATTTCTACTTTGGTGCAATAGGCTTGTTAGAATATATTCGTAGTCTGTGAAAGTTGTATTTCAGATTGCCACAGATTTTCTTGTTATGGGGACAAAACTAAGTTTCAAATTTTGTTGTTTTTGCTGAAAAATAGCTTGAAGAATTTGTTGAGATTGCGATTAGGTTTTGGCAAGAGGCTTATCGTTTTCCATTTTTGCTCTTGTAACACTAAATACTGTTCATAAAATATAACTTTTTACGTCACACTTACATGGCCCGCCAGTTTAGATGGGCAAAATTTTTGGCCACTGGTCCAAGAACCTTGCCACCAAGTTTAAGTTCAAATCTTAGCTTCAAACCCCATGTACACCACCTCGTCCAGGGTGTAATAATTTGAGTAGACAATGTTAAGTTGGATAGTTTGAGAGCTTTATCAGTGAATTCATAAAGAATATTTTGGTTTTGTTGCAGGTTTTGTTGCACGCTATTTTTCCATATCGTTCCACAAGGTCGTACACTTCAGCCCAAACATGCTAGTTTTTATCATTTTCGCCTTGATATAACATTTGTTCTTCAAAGATTTTCCTGCGAAAGTTGATACTTTTTATTCATGTTACGAACGAGGATCTTTTCAACCAGCCACTATTATGTTCGATTCATGTGGCCATCTTATTATATCTCATGTTCATATGTTTTACCATTGCTCTTTTGATTTTTGTAGGAATTGTTCCGGTGTTATCGGAGTCGTCAATGTTCCATATCTTGTCCTGGAACCAACTCATAATAAACAAAATTTTGCCGACAACAAAGAGTACATGCATATGTTGAAGGCTATGGGTGAGTTTTTTTGAACATTTTTTAACAGCGAAGTATGTGACGAACGATGTGCTTGTATTAGATACTGGAGTTTGAGTCTGATTTGTATTTCCAAATGCCAAACAATTGGGAGTGAAGTTTTGAATACGATGGGGTCTGATTTCAAACTTCCTTTAGTGGTAGTCAAATTTCAAATTCCAGACAGGAAACGAAAAAGCTTTCATGTTTTCTTAGCATCACAACATATCATTAAAAAAGACTCTAGATTTGTTGTCAAAAGACATTTGTTTGAGTTATTTATACAGTTTGGAAGTAGGGTAAATTTCAGCTGACTTTGCATTCCTAATTCAAACTTACCTGTTGGAATGTTGAATGTAATATAAATTTGACCCTGTTCAATAAAAAAAATGTGAAAGTCAAGAAAATTAACCCAGGCCAAACAGTGATTCATTTGACTTTCTATATTTTAGAGATTTCCTGACCTTAAAAGAAGCCCTTTTTGTTTGCGCAGTGAATTCTTCGAAATTTTATTGAATAGAACCATTTTACATTATTCCTAAAATCAAGAATTCAAAATATAATTAATAATACCTTAAAAAACTTTGAAATGGTTCAATTTGTTTGCCCGCTTTCCAGTTTTTGATTTTTATTCAAGCGTTCATCATTTTTAGGTGATCATCTGCAATGCTATTGGAGAGAATCAAAAGTAAGCGAGGGAAAAGGTGTAATGAGTTTTTGGGAAAATTTTGGATATTTGTCCTCATCTTGGTCTGATGAACCATCGAATGATCCCAGATATTTGCGAGCGAGAGCGATGCACATTCCCAAAGTTATTCAATGCGGTAAGCAAAAGGTTTTATACTTATTTTTAGAAGTCTTGGTATTTATATTCTGTGAACCATTTTGTAATCCTTAATATATAGTTTAGTTTACGGTAGTTAACAAAACTGTCATTATCAGCATCAGATAGAGAAATATAAGAATACTATTTTACTGCAATATATTATTACATATTTCATCATGAACCGAATTCTGTACAAGCTAACATGAATATGTAAGGTGCTGCTTCACAGTTTGTCATTGTTTACCCAATTTATTGCACTTCGGTCATCATGCAAGTTCTTTCGAAACAAGAACTCCCTGCATATTACTGTCTGCTTTTCGAGAGCCTTGCTTAGAATGAATGCATGAAAAACACTTAATAATAAGATTTATTAATTATTCAGTTGATAAATGAATTATATTTAAATGAATTTCCTTGTTGCTTTTTAAATAAAATACTATATTTTATGAATTAATATTTTTCTCATAGATGGGTGTCGAAAGTGGAGGGTATTGCCATTTCAGTCTAGTGCAATTGGAAAGGAACCTCCTGAGAACTGGATTTGTTCAATGAATCCTGACTTGAAACGTAATAAATGTCAATGCGCAGAAGAAAAACCTTCCATTCCTGTAGGCGAATTTAAAAAAGAAACCAAATCGATTGAACAAAAACGAGCGGAAAAAGAAGAAAAATTACTCAAAATGCAGAAAGAAATTAATAAAATATCAGTAAGTTTTACAAAATGTCTATTTAGTCTACAAGTGCTTGGTTCTCATGGTCCTGAAACGTATCAAAATTGCCTCATAAAGAAATGAACTCTTCAGACAATTCCTGATCCCATTTTTATGTTTGAAAAATTTTCCTCTTTGAAAAATTTCCTCTTTGAAAAATTTTCCTCTTTGAAAAATTTTCCTCTTTGGCCATTTGGCACTATAACCTCACTCTTGGCTCTTTAGAAGCGTATGTTTAAGTTTTAATTTGCGATATAGTGCTGAAAGTTTTTTGTAGTGATATTTTACATATGCAACCCAATTGCTGAAAATTTGTAAAAAAAAACAGTTTGCAGTTAAGTTACTGGAAAGTTAGCCACTCATTTTCATTTAATTGTCAAAATTTCATTCATGATGGTGCGAGTAAACCAGTTTTGCGAAATTTACTTTTATTTTTATTGTTTGGACTCCAATTGCTTCAAGATAACTAGTATGTCTTGACTCTTGATATGCCTCTTTGATAAAAATAAATTCACATATTGGTCCTAGCATGCTCAGCCTTAATGACAGTGTTTCCTAAACTAATTGTCCCAAGATAATTTTGTGTGCATCACAATATATCAATCCACTTTCTATATAATTTCTTATTTTCTTGTATTCATAAAACGGTGAAGTTTTAAAAATTGATGTTGTCACCAAAAATGGTTGGGTATATTGGACAATCAGCTGAATTATGATCATTTATGTTCACAAACAACAATCTCACCCAACTGATTTTAAACTTTTTCTTGGCATGATTTTATATACATGAAGAAAATAAATCGTAGGTATGAAAAGTTTGGGAACATCTCGCTTCAGCATTAAACTAATAATTGTGTCAGTCTGTTGTTTCAAATTATATTTCTTTTTTACAATTCACAGAAACTTCAAACCGTATCCAGTTCACGAGACGCTCAACGTAAACTTTCAGATGTCTCGTTTTCTCCTCCTAGAAGACAATCAAGCAGATCTAGTCGTAGGTCGCAGGAATCTTCCGAAAGTGAAGAAGAAGAAGAAGAAGAGGAATACAGAGCACCATCGAGAAGAAGAATCAAGAATGAGGAATATGATGACGATGATGAGGTTCGTTGTTTTCTTTTTCGATTTTTAGGAAGCAAAGTAGGAGATGTAGATGGAATAGAGGCTTTCGACTACGGATTAAGAACAATTCGACGATAGTTTTAGGCTGATAAATGAGTCCGACTCCATCTCCAAATTCTGAGAAAATTGAAATTTGATAATAAGCCTCTAATAATATTCGACTGCAAAGAATGCTTGGTAAGCTTGATGCCTTTTTGGTTTCAAATTAATGGAAGTATATTATCAGTTATCACCATTCAAAGCATGAAATTACGACTACTACTTCTTTCTGGGAATTAAATATTCACTCTTGCCTCCAGGCATTCCATACTCCGCAGCCCCGAGTGGAGTACTGGGTTAGGGCAGGGATTCTCAACTTTTGTTTTCTCTTTTCATCCCCTGGCAAATTCCCAAAGTAAAATTGGACCACACAAATTTCTCTTTATGAAAGAACTGCCACCCGGCTGGAAGGTCTCCTAATCAGGACTGAGAAGTCTGTAATAATGTGCAATCGACTTTAACTCTGGGTTTAAAAAAAATGGATTTGACTTCCGACTCCAGTTCTGAACACAAGAGAAAATCTAGTTTTCATAACTATAAGATTGGGGTATACAATATCCCTTAGTAATCTTAATGCTTTTCCAATTTCTGAAGAGAATTTTCGTTTCTTCTCACCATTGATATTATAAAATTTGGACTCCATCTCTGAGGAATTCAAAATTTCGACTTTTGACCCCAGTGAAAACATGTCAAACTTTTGCTCAAACCTCGCAGTCTTGGGTGAACAATGTGTCAGAACAGGGATTCTCAACTTTCATTTATAGGAATCCGCTTTCCTGAATAGGACTTTTTATACATTATACATTAATACATTAATTAATTACATATTTTATACATTAAAAGCGTTACGACCTTATTTAACCTTTTACAGCCTCCTCCACCACCATCTCGACGTGGCGACTCAGCCATAAAGAGAAAACTTCCTCCTCCTGCTCCCACGAGTAATTACAAAACTCCGCCGAGAAAACTTTCTGCAGTTATATCAACTCCTAATCATGTTTCTTCATCAACATCAAGACAAAGTAAAGAATATATGCCGGCACGAAAGAAAGTCAGTACATCTTGGGTTCAAACCCCATTGTTATAAGCTGTGACAAAACAAAAAGTTTTAGGTCATTCAAAATATCTCAGTTGCCCAAGTTTCTTGCTTGCTTGGAGTGGAGTTGTGATACACATAAAAGACCCTTTTTATTTATCTTTTGGTATTATTTTGATTTGGATCTTTGTGGAAAATTGTGCATATCATGATATTGGTTGATATTGGTACAAATTTTATGTATTTAAAAAACTACACCAACTTTACGGTTCTTTAAAACAGTTCAGATTATATCCGAACAGAAATTGAATATTTTTATGAATTTATTACAAAGCTTTATATAACGTTTTATTCTATTTTATATTCAATTTACTTTGTTCAGGCTGCCATCGAACAAGATGAAGAATCAGAAGATGAAGATCTGGAGGATGAAGATGATGACGCTCCAAGTAAATTTATTTTCTGATTTTTTATAAATATTCCTTCAAGATATTCACAGAATTAATTTACTAAATGTTTTTACTATCAGTAATTGATATTTTTGAACCGCTGAAGTGTAATGCTCGTATTTCTTGACACGACATGCAAACCAAATTAATTAATCATTTTTGTTGTGCAGGAGAAAGATGATGGCTCTCCAAGTAGAATTATTTTCTGATTTTTTTTGTAACTTTGTGGAGGAAATTTGATCGAGAAAATTTTACTATTCCTTGACATGACATGCAAACCTTTAGATTAATCATTTTTGTTGTGGTCCAAATGTTCAGAGATCTAATTACCGGTATATTCTGGTCATTGTGGTCAATTATTCGATAATATCAAATCCCTTGTAAAGTCCCGTTTTTTTTTAGACCTCGGTATTTGGTGGCTTATAAATCAGAGCATTCTGGAAGGCATCATTTATCAAATTTATTTTTTTTGATTTCTTTAGTTCAAACAGTCATTGGACAAATGGTTGAAGTTGATATCAGTGGGAAATGGAGGGCTGGTCGTATCGTTTCAGCTAAAATTACTAAATCAGAACCTACAAAATGGAGAATTAAGTTTGATCAACATCCACAGGTATGCTTTTTTATGTTTTAGCTATTTCTGAAATTCAACAATATCAAACACTGTAAATAAGATTATTCTTTGATCAATGACTTTTTATAATGCAGTGGAGCTGAAATAACAGTTACATCGTTCCTTCGAAATAATGTGAAAAATTAATGTAATCAAGAACCTAAATGAAATATTCTGTTCAATTTTGACAGCCTGGTTGCAAATGGGGGCCAAGTGTTTTTAATTTTTTATTCAGGACCGATTTGACAAGTGGTTGGAAGAAGGGTCAGATCATCTACGTTTTGTGAATGACGTCAAACTAGCTAATGGTATGACATCGCATAATGACAATCAAGAAGCTTCTGGGACAGCATGTGAGTAAGAAGTATAGATTAGGGTTTTTCAAACTGAACCATCTAACCTCCAAGTACCAGTAATATAATTTAGATAAACTGGAATTCCATTCATATTTTTCATTTCGTCACCTCTAACTCAGGGTTTCTCAAACTGGGGTTCGTGATTACTGCACAGGGGTCCGCAACGATATTAAGAGACAAATAAATTATAATCTTATCGCATTGCTGTTAGCCATCCAGTATTTACTGGCAGTATGTATTGATTCAGACTTTAATGCGTTTTATTTTGTCAAAAGGAAACTTCCTCCTTCGTTGGTCAGGCACAGAAATTGATACGACATAGGATGGGGGTCCATCAAAGATGAGATTCACGAACAGGGGTCCACGCCCCAAAAAATTGGGGAAACCCCGCTCTAACTCATCTGGTAGGGACCCAAACTACCAATGCAATTAAAATATTTACAACGGAGATCAACTGGGCCAAATGAAAAGTCTTGGGAACGGGCCACAGATCAACAATTGTCCTTGACCTATTAACCTCTTTTGTCTTTGTGGTTTGCAATTAACATGTCTGAACATGTTTTATTCCAGCAAATGAACAGCTTCCTCACTCATCAACAGATTCTGGAAACATACCAGCTGGTGGTCAACTTGTTACCGAGCAACATGAAAATGCTTTAGGAAAACTGAGGTTCCATTTTACTCTTTTTATCATTGAGTTTAGAAATGGTTTGTGTCATTTGCACCATAAAAATTGAAGTGATTCAAGATTTCTCCTGCACACACCAAAAATGTATTTTTATAGCTTTTTGTCAGACAAAGGTAACACCTCCCAAGACATTAATGCAAGCAAATTTCTTCAATCATTTAAAAATGGTTCAAATTTATTCTTGCTAAGTGTCCTTGCATGCATTTGTGCATCCGAATCCACTGGTGCGAAAACATAAAGAAAGAATAATACGGTTGGTCCTGCTGAAACCCAATCGATATCATTATTAGGACAATCTAATATTGCATAAACTGGAATTGGCTATGAATGCTGTGACCTGTGATCATGAAAACTTTTTAGGCTAATGTACCATTGCAATTGCATGGCCTTTTGTCTGGATATATCGCGGCTCTCATTCTTTACACATCAGAGGTGACGTAACTGTGACCCGCCAAAGAATTTTGTGCGGCCCGCGAAGCATTCAGGCGATTGGGTGTATGTTTGCCATGAAGTCATAAACCTTTGAAGACTGTACGGAGAAAACGGGAGCGCCAGTATTAATATTATTACTGGCAATGCTATTTCCAATCCATCTATTTTAGTTGGACTGGTAAAATGGCCCGTGATAGCAAATAGGTTCGTCACCCCTGCTCTAAAACCTTGTTGAATTGCAGTTTAGTTTATTTGCATAGTCATTCCCTCCAATTAATTTTCGTAGTGGGTTTTCTTAATTTTTGTACAAACCTTATATTTTTAGGAGATTTATGCAACTTTTTTCATTTGTTTCAGAACTTGCCTTCGTTATTTCCTCCCTCCTCAGTGGAAAATGCCAAAAGAGGAAATCAACAATTTATCTCTTCAAGAACTCGTCGATTTTCCAATGGTAAATTAACAGCTCAATAAAAAATTCATTACTTCTTATATCAGAAGCTTCATTGTAGTTTCTTTATGCAGGATCGTACCCAGGGTGAGGGGAATTGTTGTCAATTAGAAATATTTTTGGAATATAATTAGAAATATTGTGATCTTTTCCAGTAATAAAATGTGGCTTAGCCCTACTGTAAATATTATAACAGGATTTCTTCGTTGACTGTTTAAACGTTTAAAGATTCCCATTTGTCAATGATTTTTTTTCCAGTGCTTCCATTCTCATAAATTACATTCAACTCAAGTTATTTCCCAGGCAATATTTTCCTGAAATTTTTCAAGTCTCCTTATTCTCATAGATAAATTAGTAAACCTTGACTGATTTTTACAGGATGATTTCTTTGATCATTACGAAAAAGGTCTTCGAAAACTTGTCAGTAATTTTCGCACACAAGCTGATCAGCAAAGATCAATAGCAGCCAATGCTAAAAAGGAATTGGAAACTGCCAGAAAATTACTGCTCAATGTCTTGAAGAAAGTTGATTCAGTATGTATTGTTGTTCTCATCACCATTCCTAGCTTGCCGATTAGGATATGTATTGTAGAATTTTTTTGATTACGGTTATTCAAATTAATGATTTTCTTAATTACGATTAGGCAATTTTCTAACCTATACAAGGTGTCCTGTGAGGGCCAAAACAATATATGGTATCAATAAATTCCCTTTATAATTTCAAAAAATGTTAAGACTTTATGGACAGCCTATATATTGTTTAAAAATTAGTAAAAACATGTTACAAAATACAAATATTCATATGTCTTTTTATTTAAAAATAATGTATCTTGAATCATGGGTTTAATACTTCTCAAGGTCTTGTATTTGTTTCCTGAGTATTATACCAGAGCCAGTACTGATGTGTTGTAAATACAGGAATCTCTTACTCCAATTTGTCCTTATTTTGGGGATTTGAGTCTATTGAAATGAATTTGTCCCTGTTTTTCAGATTTGCCCAGAGTATTAGTGGTGAAAAATATAACTGAATGCGCTCGTTTTTGGTCTCAGGGAATGAAGATGTTAATTAGAGTTCATCATTAAATTTGCGGAATTTTACTTCAATGTTATTTAGGAATTAAAAATTTAATTCTCACAAGGCCATTTTCCCGTTTTCAGAATACTCCTGAATTAGAAGGTGAAGCGTTGATGTCTCATGCTCAACAGTTCGTTGACGATCATACATGACCGATCCTCTGATCTGCTCTCTACCTATATTCTGGCCCAGCAAGAAGAAAAAAATCAATATGCTAGCCATTCTACTTTGTTGTAGTCGTACTACATAGCTGCTATACAATCAGCTTCTATTTCATCATGAAACATTCATTTTTTTGTTCATCATCAAGTTTGACCAACCATGTTTTTAAATGTTTCAGGCTTAAATTAGAAAAGTCCATTAGCGGCTTAATCGTTTCGTTTTAGTTTTGAATGAAGGATATGTAAAACAAAATTGGGTTCTTCCAGATTCGGGTCTTACAAATTCTGAATCTCCACAATATTTGGACGTCGGAAAGCAGAGGCCGGTTTCGGAGTTAAGTTCCATTCAACGCTCGATTTTTAACTATGGGTAACAAAACTTTACTTCCACTTGAGGATAAAAAAAATTGGCTCTAAAAACTCTCCTTTAGGCAAGCCTGTTCCAGTTCATAACTTTGACCATGAAGTGTGGAATTCCAATCCCCGAATGTTCAAATAAAAGTATGACTCCTCGTAAGACCAGTGATATACTCCAGACCAAGGTGCTGGAATCGAAATTCCTGGGATTGGGGTCTGAATTCCTAACAGTCAATTTTGGAATGCTTGCATACAGTTTTTTTAAATTTAAATTTCTTGTGGTTTGGAGCTGGAGTCGAAACGTCTTCGAAATGGGAGACCAAGTCAAAGTACTTGTTAAATAGAAGTTGTTTATGCTATAATTGTGTTTATGGCTCATTATGGTATTTTCGTTAAAATTTCTGTGGTTTATGTTCGTTCTGCACCATTCTGTCTTAGTTTATTTCTCTTCTAATTCTCCACTAATCACCTATCAGGGAACTAAAAGTATACAAATACTAATTGCAACATTTGAATAATATTTGGTATCCCCAATTCCTATAGCATACAACATATCATGTTTTTTTGCAACAAACTAGGTTTTTAAGATGTTAACAAAGATTGTATACTTCTTGATCAACACGTCTCAGTCCATAGGTTTGTGTTCAAGATTTCTTTGAAACTAGCATTTCTTGGTATGAAAAATATTTTATCATGTGTGAATACCTTTAGCTGATTTTAGCATCGGTTAATAAGAGTGTACAAAAGTTGCCTTTTGTATATTTTATGTAATGTTTTTAATAAACAAACCAACATATACCAGTCTCGATATTCAAACTGCGGAAGACATTGAAAGATTAGCTGGTGTATGTATACCCATACATAATACTTACATGTCCCAATCAGCAGCCTGTTTTACTGAATAAGGTAACTGAATGCAGGTGGTGCGGCTCCCTCGACTGCTGTTGTGAATGCTAGCGAGTGTGAGGTTGCGAAAATATACACCTGGTGATTCTCAATTTGGATCATAGCTTGTTTCTGCTGCAGTCCAATTTTGATGAATAAAATTAGACTTTCAATGATGATAAAATGAGTCAAGGCTTGCTTGCATACACAAGTTTTCGTTTTGCTGGAGTCTACATTTTTTTACGATACGCAGAATCAAGAGTCTATTGTAAATTTTTGTCCAACCCCCCCCCCCCCCAAGGTCAGTATTATTATCCTACTGACCCAACATGAGTCTATTTCTGGCTAAGTCATCTCACTCGATGGGTTGCTGCTATAACATATTCTTGCCCCCATGAAACATCCGATTATTCTTATCTACTCAGCCCTACAAAAATTTGGGAAAACCAGGTTTAACAGTTTTTTATTGTTGTCTCGTAATGACAGAAAAAATAATAGATAAAGGTAATATCTATTTCTTCTGTTGAGCTTTCAATACTCTGACAACAATCTTCTGTTCTTCGACTAAGAAAGCGCGAACAATTCTTTCACGAAGTGCTTTTGAACACAAGCATCCACCGTATGTCCTGTAATAAGTGCAAATTATTAGCTTATATAAATTTTATTAGCTGTTGGTATTTCAGTGATCGACCAGAGTTCGGAGATGCGACTCCTTCACTTCGGAGTGCTTTTTTATTTGCATTGATCAAATTCTCACATAAAAATATAGTTGACAATCAGTTTTTAATTTAAACAATATTTACAATTTGATTACGAAAGGTGGATATACCTCAAGAACCTGAGAAAATTTTGTCTGAAATCATTATCACAAGCAAAAGGATGTCGCATGAACTCAATTGTCAATAAAAACATGCCAGTTCCAACTGCTGATAGCAACATCAAACAAAAGTGTTTGAAATCTAGTCTGAAATAGACTCAATCATTCTGTCATCTTTTTGTTGATGACAATTACCAGTCATTGCATTTAGATGACACAAAAAATAAATAGTGCCTTAAGTTAAACTAGATTTGAGCACTGAATTATTGAAAACAAATTTCCACCTAGTAACGGTCTTGAGACGACGTGTTCTTGACATCAACTGCTTGGGCCTGCCTGGTTTGATTCCAAATAATTTTCTTTTTGTTTCACCACATTTTGGAATTGTGCCAACCTGAAATGAGCAGAGTTGATTTGTTAACTCTTTTGTTCCGTATGACGAATATATTCGTACTACCATCCTTGGTCATAATAGTTATTTTCGGACTAGTTTATGTTCATGTTTTGTGAAGTATTCCGCACTAACTAAATCATTTTGAGCATCCAACTATGATCCGTTCTTGATCTGTCAACATTTTTTTTTTTGTAAATTTTTTATTTTACTACTAAGTGAATTTTATTTGTGTAGGTATTTCAAAGCTTAGAGATACACGAAAGTATTTGTCATTACTTCAAAAATAAGTCATTTGAACGAGCGGGAAACAATTTCGCGCACATAATAAACAAACAAAGATTCCAGACAACTATCGTGGACATGCTCTCACATATCATTGATTATTTCGTATTTCGCTTCGCTTGCGAAGCTGAGTCTGGTTTTTCTGCAAAGGTGACGTAACGCTCTTTCAGAAGAGCGCTTAGAATTTCGTTTCTTTGTAACACGTGTTCATCGAACGATAAGAGTGTGAAACGTTCTCTCAAAATTTTTTGAAATTTCTCTCTTCTTACCGGCGTAGGGTCGAACGGTTTGTGCCTACGTCATTTGGGCGCGTTTTAGTAGGAAGACGCGAAAATAAGCTTTTTAAAGAGATATTGGGGGAGAGATTCCTTGTACGTTTGGTTAACTGGTCATTACATATTATAAAATGGTACAAAAAGTCGATTGTATACAGCGGAAAAAAAGGGTTGATAAACTGGGAAAATTAAACAAAGAAGATCTTTATCGTAAATTCTGAAGATCCAGATTATGACCCTTACATATACTTGTGAAAATTCATGCTATCATACTTTTGCTAGTAATAGGGTTCAATTCATATGGTTTATTCATATATACTGCTCAAATTGTCAAATGCAAATGATTTCATACCCATTTTTTTTCTGTATAATTTTTACAATGAAATCCATCTCGAAGTTTGGAATAGAATTTAAATTTATAACAAAATACACCAATTAGACCGCTCAAAATACAGAATTCTATAATAAAAATATCAACAAACGATTATTATAGTATTGAATTGACATCACTTTCATTGCCCAAACTTTCAGACCACTCAAAATATATTATCTCATAAAAATCTTTGATCAATTTTACCTTCTTTGTTCGTAAATATACTAGACGTCCACCAGGTGTTTTAGAGATTCTTCTTGTATTTGAAGTTGTGTTGTACGGGTTACGCCTACGATATCTCAATCGTTGAACCATTGTGCCTGTAACGAGTGCATAATATATGTAATATAAGAATTAAATACCGGGGCATTTGTGGGATACTAATACTGCTGTACTGTAACATTGATGCATATATAAATGTTTTATTCGTACAAGTTTTTGTAGAAAAAGTTGACAAGGATAAAATGAATGAAATGTAAGAAATTGAAAATGTAATATAAACCCTACGCCTGTACTCATTGAAGCATGACAAGTCAGAATAACCTTACCTAAAATACTGACTTAAAAACTGTTATTTCAAGATATTTCACGTTTTTTTTGGCAAAATTAGTTTGAGGTCGAAAAGCACTTGACAGCTTTAGTTAGCTAGGCACATCATGCTCATACACCAGGGGCAGGGCAACATCCCCCGAACTGATCCAGTGATCTATCTAAAATTGGAGATGATTGCTTCTGCTGTTCTCAAGCCTTTTGTTTTATCGACTATTGCTGTTAGCCTAGTCTTTTTTTTGTAAACGAATAGATCGACAAAAACATTCTAAACAAGTGTATCAATGCAGTCTGGTCATTCTTCATTGATTTAACAGTGAAAATGAATTAAGTAAGGTTGGAATGTTTTAATGACAGGGCAGCCCGAGAGAAAACATAAAATTCAAAGCTTATTGAAGCAGTACAGCGATTTAATATGATGAAATACGATCCAATCAGGACGTTTTCACATTGTGGACAAAAAATACTCATAAATTCCATGTTTAAACCCACCTTTTCAACTGTTTTTTCATCAACAGAAAAACCAGCAACACAGTATCAGCGAACGCCTAGGAAAAGAGGCATGACACGATTGTTGATTAGTGGCGCCACCACGCGGTGCCGTTGGAACACGGAAGCTGCCTTGTGTTTTTCTACGATGCCACATCAATTTGTAATTATCGTGAACGGCGTCGTTTAGAGATTTCAAGAATCTAATTGGATAGGATAGGATTTACAAATTTATCCCGGAGGAGAGGAGAGCCGATAAGACGGCTTAATATGGCAAACCACGGCCTCTCGTCCGGTTACCAGTCCAGGTTGGGTATGGGAATAGTTAGCCAATTATTTGTTTTTTCGGAAGCATGGACTTGATGGTAGAGGGAACCACCCTACGGCGGCGAGGAGTCCAGCAATCTTCTCGCACATGATCATTCGTGGAGGTGTTTCTAATTCTCGAGTTCCTTGAATCCTAGTTATTACCTGTTTTATTCAGAAATCATGTATTGTATGCTATCTTATCCTATTCCATCCCGGCCGTCGTCGGGTGCGGACGTGTCTGCTTGAAAGACCAGACTAGACACCAGTAGAGAATGCTGCGCGCTGTATGTTTCGGTATTTGTATGGGGTGGTGTCGGCATGAGCAAAGCCCGTCCACCGGAATTAGGGAAGTTTATGGATGGAAGATTGGATTTGAAGTTGGATGGTAGACGATCTGTTACAGATACATTGCGAGGTTTTGATTCTTTTATGAATCTGGTTGTGGATGATGGAGAAGAGCGCAGACAAGATGGGACCGCTGCGACTGTTCGAATGGTGGTCGTGGAAATTCGATATTGATGTTGGAGGTATTGGAACGGATACAGTGATTTTAAATTGAGCTAATCAAGAGCGACAGGGGAACCCGATGCCCCAGTCCATGATTTGTGCATAGACTACTATTGAATATTCAATCTATTTGACGAGCTTGTTTTTTAGTAACAATTTTTTGTCACTGTGCTATTTTTGCAATGAAATTGAACTAGGCCTACAGCACCACCATTTTACGCCAGCGAGTGTTTTTTATTCCCATAGTTTTGTAGGAAAAGCACTGTTGTGTTACACATACACGTCTCACATTTTCAATTTAATTTAGAAATGGACCGATTTTATATCGTGTTTTTGTTTTATTGTGTTTTGACTGTTTTTGGTGGACGGGCACATAGCCTACTTGTACGTTTTTAACTTTTCTATCAAGTTATGACCGTCCTTTGTATTTTGTTTGTTGTTGTTTTGTTTCTATCAGAGTGACCAAATAAAATTGATGATTTGTAAATTTAATATTTTAATTCTTTTTGAATCGTGCTCTCCTTTATCATGAAAACAACATAGCCTGCCATCCATTTAGTTTGCCTGAGTTTACTTATGCATTGTATTTTAAGATTTGAATATTTATCTAAAATTGCTCATTTGGGTTAGTAAAGTATAGGCCTTTGCACTTTGGCCTGTAAATAATCTCTGAGTATAATAATAAATAGTGTCACCCAGTTTTGTTTGTTTTTGAATGTTTCGAAATAATCCACATATTTATACATATTCTCAATGAAGATATGTTATAGCTCCATGAAATTTAAATTGACTCCCTTGAAAATATTATTTTTATACCGTATCCAGAAGGGGGGATAAACGCCGGATTAACAATCTTACATAAACTAATGCTGAAGATTTTGCACCTCAAAAGCAAATTTCATTTCCAATTGACACTATCTATGTACAATTCGAGACGTTCACGCCTTCCTTAGAGCAATTACTACAGTACTTGAAAGCTGAAATCAAAATGTTTTATTCTTGAAAGTATTCGTACATCTTCAAGTTAATGCAAAACAACAAATGTGGATAATATTAAACTTTATTTGAATATCGTAAAATATATATCAGATACTTTCGGTTCTGTATCTGTCATGACATACATTCTAGAAAATAGTTTCACGGCAAGGAAGATTATCAAATTGATTTAAAATACATGAATCTTTGCTGGCACTGAGCGACACTGCCGCAGCAAGGTCACAATTGAGTGACATAAGTGATTATAATTGTTTATTCGATTTTGGCTGGTCTTCCACTGAAAACATCGTTGCTACCGACGGACGTCTGACTACACTCAGAGCAGCTTCCAACTGTCTGACAGTGGTAAAGTGAACAATCTAAAATAGATATAAATAAATCCTTTAAAATGGGAAATTTTGAATAATCGTACAATCCCAAGAAAAACTAATTCAACTCTGCGAGAACGCCTATTGTGAGGTGCTCTAGTTTCGAACAAGGTTATACAAATATTTTACTATGATATTTCTATTCTTATGTTTTTATAATATGTACATCTGACTTCCCGAATACTCGCCTCTATTAATGCCAGTAAAATGGCCATTGCAGTAACAACAAGCAAGTTCTCATTTATAAATGATTCCACTTTATCTCTGCATCCCTGCATAAAAGAATCTTAACGTCAGTTTTTGGTTATCACAAAAAAGTTCCAAAATAAAACGTAAATCAAAATAAAAAACAATCCACTGTATTTCCGAAGTCGAGCATTGTATCAATTATTCTTTGTGAACAATATTACGACGGCATGTCATTTATTGTGTTTATGGTCAAAATCAATTGATTTGAACACTGAGCGTTGGTCATATAAATTCAGCAATACTGGACAAAAGGACTAGTTTAACGGAAAGACAAAAGTCGGCTTTAGAAATCGAAAAGCAGAGACAGGAAATAAGCATTTTGCGCGCCCGCATCGTAGCGCCGCTCTCTGCAATGATTTTAAACAATTGGCAATATTCAATTTTACAAAACCTTTGTGTAAATAACATCCTCAGGTTTAGATGTGTCAAGGTGACATTTTATTCGATCTTCATTCGACAAAAAACTATGGCGATTGATACAACAACTGTCTGGCCACCTGTCTGAAAGAAAATTTATTTTAGTTCTGTTTTGTTCTTTCCGGATAAGTTTTACCCTGGTGCTGTCAAATCAGAAAAATCTTAACTGGTGTCAATCTACTGGCCAAATCATGCAAGAAACATAATTTATTTTTTTTTCTTCTACAAAAGTAAAGTATTTCGCAGGGAAATTTGTCAATGTAAACATATATAAATTAAAGGTATTTATAAAACCAGAATGTCACGAGCAAGGATCACAGCTCAACTGGTTCAGCAGTCCCAATCTGATGCCACAAAATACAGGATGAGCCAAGAGAAAAAGAACCCATAAATTGCTTGAATATTTGTACGAAAATGAAAAAAAATTTTTAACCTTTGAACTTAAGCTTCAGCAGTCTAGGACGCTTTGCAAAATTGTTTTCTCTCTGGAACATGTTTCAAATCACCGGCGTTTTGTCACACTTCAAAAATAAATGCATGCGTACCTTTTTTAGGATTGTTGGTTTGTAAAATCCACCATTTCGATCCATCGGGATATTTTCCAGAAACATTTGAAAAATCTTTGTATCCTTCGATCGAGTTGAAACCACAACATTTCAACTGAAATTTTAAAAAGAACATACAAATAGATCAGATTTGTAAGGTAACAGATAAACGTACCTTTTTATTTTAAATATATATTTCATTCATTTAACCTTGCCTCAATGTCACTTACCCCACTTTGAACTGACTTCCAAGCAACAGATTGCTGATTGACAGCGTTGTCACCCAAATACATTTCCATTAACGATTTCTTCATATAATAATCGATATCAGCTTTGACCTAAAAAAAAATAATATCCACTAGTAGGTATTCATAAATTTGTGGCTGTCAGGTTCCATAGCAATTATTTAAAGGAAAAAAAACACGAAATCTTCTCACCTCAAATCTCAACCAGACGCTCAAAGCCCCGACAGTTACAAGCTGAACGAAGAGTACAACCAAGAAGAGGAAAAACTAAATAACAAAAAATACTATTAAAAATATATATAGGGAATTGGAATATGATTCAGATTTAATTTAAGAAGAGAACAGACGTGCCATACTCCATGGCGTGCCAGATTTGTCCCACAATTTTCATTGATTTTCACAGATTTGTCCCACGATTTTCATATATTTTGTACTCGAATGCCAAATTTAATAATATATACTCATTTTCTGCAATAACGTACACTCGTACAGTATGTCGTTATTAAACGATGGTGTTTTCCCTCGACATTTGAAAAGGTCCGCCCTGAATGTTCAAATATCTCTAAGAGAATATTGGAGATAAACATATAAATTTTATATGTAGTATAACAGTCACGTTTATATATCAAATTGAAATTGTGACTTCATTTGATCGTAAATATGATTAAATTGACGATCATCAATTCCTTGCAAGGCAAAGAAAAATAATGTTCTTGTCTCTATAATCATGGCTTACCAATCCCAAAATATACTTGTTATTTGAAACTGCAGCACAACACCCAAGATATGCCAGAAGAACTGTACACACGCCAGTAGCTCCAATTATATACATACAAATTTCTATATTATTTCGAGTCATACCAGATGCAACGATCGACATGAGATTTTGGTTTGCTGGTACAAAAGTAAACCAAACTGAGTAGCATACCAGGAAAGCTCCCAGAATCTTTAACAAAAAATTTAACTGATTATGAAAAATATATGCATGACTAAAACTATATCATCAGTTGCCAGGTGTAGGAAACGACTAACTGCCTAAATGTTAATATCTACCGAGGCCATATCAACTAAGGTGATTTATGCCAAAGTGATTCTAAAACAACAGAAAACTTTCCCCGATTTAATGCGTAACTGAGAGACAAAAGACGTTCAGGTGAACACCCCTACATACTAAAAAACGTTAGAAACAAATATAGGCTACCTTTATTGTGGAACGATACAAAACCTTATATATATATTTATATATCAACTTTTGCTAGATCATGAAACTTGTTAGAGTGATATAAATTGTTATAAATGGAATTTAAATTTAATATTGGAAAGAATCGATTGTGTCATTCTGTTCTCGACTCTTCTATCCCATTCAGGCCTGCTCGAGACAGCTTGTTACATATGCGTTACAAGCATAACTTCATTACACGACGTTCTAGACTAGACACTTGACCAAGGCGACCTAAGATATATTTGTTACTTACGAAAAATAACATATTGAAGACAACTAATGCATATCTTCCGCAACTTATCCATCCCTCTTGTCCCTGGGTAAGATTTTCATTTTTTTCGAGCCATATAATGCTAAAAAAGAATTACTGCCGTTAGCTAACGCTAACCATATTCTAGTATATAGTACAAAACTCACCTTGCCGAACCCTTTTTGTCCATCCTTCGAGACAATCCATTATTTTCATCCCCGTTATTCATGATTGAATATAAACGTTAGAAAAGACGTAAGAACGATTGAACTTAGCCTAGCGCAGAAGTGCGCATACATGCAGGAGCACGACTCGTTAATTCAAGTATCTTCGAATACACGACGTCACAAGAGCACTTGTTTCATTTTGTCTGTGATATAACAATCTGACAAGACACTTATAATATGCTGTCGCGCTTGACAAGCCGTAATCGTCATATTTCACGATTTCTATAGTCAAAAAGAAATAGATGTTTTAATTTTTATGTATGTTGTTGCTACTTGTTGGTATGAGTTCAAAACGGAGTTATAGGCAATTCAATTGATATCAGTTACTGCTATCGTTTTTTGCTCGAAAGTGGTCAAAATCTAGTTGGGAACAGTATTCACAAAGAAAGGCGACTACCTGGGATAAGATGAGGCGAAGTTAACTAGATTTCTTTAGCAACAGACTGAGCCTTACAATGTTTAATAGTCTGGTTATTTCGAATAAAATTAAAATGTAGTTCAGATCCGTAAATAATGTGATCCGCCATTCCGATCTGTTGGTACGCATTTTTCTGATTATGCGGTACCAGATAATAGTCTCAATTATATAGTTCTTAGACCGACAAAGGACCCAATAACCTTTTCTGCAGCACTAAGAACTATATAATTGAGACGGTACTCCTGAAGTATGCGCACCAAGATGTCGCATAACCTGAACCCTAACCTGGTACACAACCTGAGTTCAGGTTGTGCGCCATCTTGGTGCGCATACTTCAGGAGGTCCCCTTTGTCTATCACGTGGCTATTTAGATAGCATACTTTGTCATACCTAGAAATGGTTGGCTTTTTATTTAATTTGAAACATTGACTAAGCATTTTTTATATTAGCTTTTGCGTTTTTTGAGAAAATTCGCACGAAGAGGGATCACCCACACTTACTCGGAAAAAATGAGAATCCCCCCCGAGCAAAGTTACGGAACGACTAAGATGCCAAGAGCTTCTGCATAGATTCAATTTTTATTGCAAAATTACTAAAAATTGATGGCAATTAAAACATTAGTAACAGTATTGAGGAATTGTCGATTGGTAAAAATGAAGACACTTTTTAAAGTCTTGCACGCCTGTCGTCATTTTCATGTTTCTTCGTGATCGCAGGTATCTTTTCCATCCAAAATTTCACGTTATTTGGTAACAAATTTTCTTTGGTTCTCATTTCATGGTCTAGTTCGATGTATTTTCCGGGAGTGGAATACATCGGCCAGTGAACATCAACAGTCTCACCAACGTTTGGGTTCCTGAATGTGAATACCAGAATTTACAATTGAAAATTATTTCTAACTTGCAAGTTGTGGAGAAAGCACTGTGAGGCAAGTTTAAAGATAACAAGATACTATTTTAGTGCAAGCTGGTCTACCCTACGCATTCCAGAAATAATAACAATTATTTGGTCGAGTTCGGGCATTAATTTTCGGGCTCAGACTTCAAAGATTGATCTTTAAAACCTACAACTTTGAAGCTAGTATAAACATATTACACGTCATTCTTTAAACTACTCACCCCGTTTTTGCAAAATTTGTTATATATCTCATGCATTTTTCACTCAGTTCCTTCTCTTCCTCCGTAAATCTCGCGCCTCTACTTATTCCACCAGGAACCAGCGGCGCTCCCCACATCATGTAAATGTCGTCAGAGTGATCGCAAAAACACCAATCTGGTTTTTGTGCAACATTTGGCCCATATTCAGTATCATGATTAAATTTCACTTGATACGTTGCGTAGTAGAAATAGACTGGACAACCCGCTTCTGTTGAAAGTATCAAAAGTATTTCAGATAGGGTGAACTAACCGAGTGGTACTCTGCCGTTAATAGACTCGAAGCGGCGTTAAACCAAGTAAACAAAATATGTTAATTTGGCCAGTTACCCAAAATGTTTCGGTACTCCCGTAGTATGTGCACCAGGTTAGGGTAATTTTATTCCAATTTTCCTTAATTTAGTTTATTACGAGTTCGGGGACTGTCTGTGTTGGCCAAGTGAATATACCCCCTGCCCATAGGTTTCAGTCCCTTTACACAACTTGATGTAAAGTAGGCGAACAAAATTAGTTACCTCCATAGTCCATATTCCTACACATACTTCTGGAGCGCCAATGTTTCTGCAAATGGCAGTAACTATTTTGTTTATATACATGCACTATAGACTTTTAACTCAAAGGATGCCGATGACATAAATGCACAAAAATATCAATCACAGTCAGTTTCATAAATTGACACAGTTTCATAATTAGAGTAGCCTACTTGAGTATAGTATGTGACAAGTTTGGTGTAGATAGTGTGTGCTTGATATAAACAAAATAGAAATTAAATGACGTAGAACCTAATATGCTATAGTTAATATTAATTTATAGATAGTCAATTCATAAACATGTAATAAAATACTAAGAGAAATTTACGGATATTTCAATTTTTTGTTTGTACAGAAGAATTACTGAACTAGGGCTTAAACTTTTTGCGGATGTGTTTGTTGATAACGCAGAATGATGTGCAATATTTTTCAAGTTGTCATTTAACGTTTTATTCATTTAACGCCGACTGCTATTTCAAGTAAAATCCAACTGATGGAAAAAAAAGTTACTCTATGCTGGACTTATTTTTTTAACACAATTGTGTCGATTACCTGTGTGGGCTTTCGCCGTAGTTACTGCTGGCGCAACAAACATCGAGTCGGTGTAAATATCACCATACACTTTGCTGTATCGAAATTTATCGTTTGGATCTTTTTCATAGAAATCAATGCACGCATCTTGGCATTCCTCCAAAGACGAAGGCTGAAAATTACAGAATATTAGTCGAGATAAGATGAGGAATTTTGTTTGGTATTAGACTGCCACTACTAACCAGTTGACAATGTGCGATTAAGAAAAAAGGAAAGGGTAATTATGCCAAAGAGATGTGAGGGTAGCAAACGACAGGATATTAGGTGTGCTATATTCCATCAGATTTTATTTAAGTTTGAACTGAACAGTTTCAGGCAGCCCATCATAACCCAAACACTTTTTTATGATACAATGCCACAAAGGAAACTCGAGTGGAAATGTAGACATTTTGACTTAAGGTTTTCATCAGTGTTTTACGAGATACAATATTAGTCGAAGCTTCATTATATAAACAATGAATGTATCTTATAAATAAAAGATATATATCGTTTACTTGCTTTGTGTCAAAACTTAGACAATACGGAAACCCGTTGCTTTTTTTATATCTTTGCGCAAATATTGGCCAGATAGACGTCATTTACCGATATGTTGAATTGGACACGCATACGCCGGTATGTTTATAATATATAATCACACAATTTAACGGCATTTAATAAATGGACGTGCAATAATAACGTTTTATCGCTACGTACCATAAATAACGTCACAGTTGACCTACTTACGCTCATTCTTGGCAAGAAGTTTGTCAACATAACCTTCGCGGCTTGTTTTGTCATTCCCTCGACAAACCCAGGCACTCGAGCTAACAAAGTAAGCATGCCTTGTCCTTCAGAATTATTACATCCAATAATGTATGGCACTTTATTAGCCGGTCCATACGCCAGCGATTTCAAAGGGTCTTCATGTACAAAAACCCCATCTATTGTGGGATTAAAAGCCATAAATCTCTGAAACAAATACACAAATGTTAAACTTCATTATAAGTACGTCATTCGACTTTTGTATTAAATGCCTAATCCAAATTTACCATCCTCATGTTGAAGTCCGCTTTTACTAGTTTTTCCGCTGGTATATTCTGCAGTTTGTTTAAACGTTCCATCGGATCAGTTTCATTGATGTCTAAAATCTCCAGAAGATTTTCTCGCGCCCTGGTCAGATCACGTTTGAATATTTCTGAATATGAGTGAAACTATTTTTTAATTTTCCTTTGGTGCGGGGGCATGACCCGAGATAGATGAAAATGCGCACTTATATGATAACTTCGACAGCGGAATACGTCTGTAGAGCGAAGATATTGTTAGATATATATCTAACGCTACGTTTATCTGGCTTTGCTTGGAGCAAATAGCACGAGTGAGCGTCTTATTACTTATTGATCTCGATCGGTAAGTATGTTGATAGGTATTTGTTTATCTGTTAGACAATTTCGTATGTTACGCGATATCGCACGAAAGCGAAATTGCATCTGCTCCAAATTTCGCATGTGCATTCATCATATCTCGGCCTGTTGATTTTAGATGAATTATGTCGTATAATTATCGAGTTATTACTTGATTAGTGATAGGACACGCGGTTAGAAGTTTTACATACTTGCTAATGTGGATTGACCGCTATGGCTTATTGCCTTGTGAAACAGACCACTTGACATTGATGAATTTACGTGGTGATTGACGGAGCACCCTCCAGCACTTTCTCCAAATATTGTCACATTGTTTTTGTCGCCTCCAAAAGCTCCAATATTATTCTGTACCCACCTGAAATGCCGCACATTTAATTTTAGTTTCTGTTTTTCAGTTTCTTTTCAAGCTCGAAGTTAATAAGTTCGTACATTAAGTACAGTAAACAAATATAATAAATATCGTAAACAAACAAAAGTACAATAACTCACTGCAGTGCCATTCTCTGATCCAGTAGTCCAGCGTTTCCAGTACACGGTGAATTCCTACCCAAGGAAAAGAATCCGAAAACTCCGACTCTGTAATTGGGAATAACAACAACCACATCATGAAGAGCAGAGAGCACTGTTCCGTCGAACATATCTGCAAATCCCATTTGGAAAGCTCCACCATAAAACCATACCATAACCTAAAAATATTATTAGGTAGTTTCTATAGTGCTGACTTAACTCTATAGATTCTTTTATCGAGCGCTCCAGAAGTATGTGTACCAATTTTACATCAAGTCGTGTAAAGAGAAACCTATAGGCAGGGGGGTATATTAACTTTGCTAACACAGACAGTCTCCGAAATCGTAGTAGGCTAGAACTAAAATACGTAAAATCGGAATAAAATTATACTCTAACCTTAACCTGGTACACATACTACGGGAGTAGTTATTATATTATTTTGTTAGTTGTCTAATTTTGACTACCCTTTTATCCATATAGAATATATAGTTACACGAAACTTACCGGGTGCTTACCATCTTGAAAATCTACAGGCGTATAAATTGAAAGACGAAGACAATCTTCTGTCAATCTTTCTTCCATTTTACCGATTCCATCAAACAGACTTGGAGTGTAATATTGCATCTCTTCAGTTTCAAATGCAGTTTGCATAGGGATGTTGGTCCTCATTGTGCAATCTTGTATTCCGCTCCATGGCAGTGCTCTAAAAGGTAATTTTTAGAGTCGATGGAAATTACTCGCATTGAGCGATTTGACCAAAAATGTCCAATGGTTTAACTCAACGTTGTCCCATCGTATAGTTTTATTGGGTTATCAAGTACTTGGGTATAGTTTACTCCACTCGAACCTTAGTACAATTCATTAGGACAAAAGGAAAGAGATGTCAAAAACATTTAGGTCGGCGCTAGATTCCCATACACCAGCGGTTCCCAAACTGTGCGAGTTGCCAAGTGCACCGCGAAAATCAACAGAATTGTATTAAACATAACTAAAATATGACTGAATATTTTACATATTGTATTTATTATAAATTACTTCATTTCTTTAATGCTGTGTATTTGAATCAATAAATTCATTTCAAGTTTCTATGCGTTTTATTTTCTGTTACGCAGTATCTTCCTCTATTGTTACGTAACAATAGAGATAGACACTACTTGCTGTATCTGCTGAACTGAGTTTAGCGAACATGAGTGATTTTCTAGCATTTAGCATAGCAAAATCAGGCAATGATGAGGAAGAATTGTGACTTTTTGCCTTTATTTCTTACATGCCTACATGTTTACAAACTTTAAAAACCATAAAGTACAACACATTAACGATCGCAAAATTGAGTTTTATTAAAAAGCGGCATTTTTTCGTGTAAGTCTGATGATTTGGAGCCGCGCGAACAAAAAGTTTGGGAACCGCTGCCATACACTATACCAAATTGGTATTCATTAGTTGTCGGGAACGAAAATGTCATTTCATTCAACCTCTGCAATATCTCGAATACGTCATAACATACTTGTTAGTTTGCTACTTACTTTTCCGGGGGCATAAAGCGGCGTTTTCCTGTAGGTGGTCTTCCATATGGAAGATTGCGATATGAAAAGATAGCTTTGGATGTAAATATCTTGCTTGCAGAACCGCGAACTTTGCCAGCTTCAGTATCAACGACAGGGCAATCCATTCTTACCGCACTCGAATGCCAGCGAATTTTCGACAACACATCGACGGCTAGTAAACAACGACCGCGGTTTATGTACAAAGTTGCTGGTCTCATATTCTGCGGAATCAGCACAAACGGCATCTTTGTAAGCATATAATGCCGCACTGAGTTTACTTGGTATTTATGGTTTCGTCAGAGAATTAGCAAATAGATATTGGTGAAATATTAACTTTTGTCGCGAATGCAGACATGGAGGAAAGCTAGGTACCGTACACAGTAAACACAAATACCGTTTCTGTCAAAAAATATACAGCTTAGATATTTTAGTATGTTTTCAGAATAAAATTTCCGACAGCTTCAGAGTCGTATCATTTAAATTGTATGCATTATTTATGTGTAGACAACTTTGTCAACGAGTTCGCATTCTGCTAATTGCCATAACTTGATCATTGGCGATCCTAACCGCACAACGCAGGTTTCGAAATGAACATCCCATCAATGTTAGCCGATCATAATTTTGTCGTAAATGCGTCTGTGAATTTACAAGTGTGAAGAGAAATCGTATTCGGGCTTTATTTCATTAATATCAATTCGATTTAGTTTATCTCATCTTTCAAAGACGAATCTGCAACTGTTCGTAATATTCTGTAATAAGTGTCATTTTAGAGAATTGTAAATTGCAATGAGTTTTGTTCCGGCGATTACTTCACAGAATTACAAATACAGTAATACAATTTTGTTGATCATCGTTTACAAACATATCGCGCTGAGAATGCTTAATCTAATGTATAAAATGGTAGACATAACTTAGTCCTACTACAACGTGAGGTCTACCACAATATGTCGTTTACCCGTGTGCAGATTCAGATCTCTCCTCGGCCATGCTATCATCGATTAAGGGCAATTCAGAATGTTAAAGAAGTAGTTTTTCACTTGCACTTTAGTACAAGCTTGGGGTAGAACTTACGCTATAATCTTGTTCTCTATTTTTCACGTATGTGTAGCTATTTATTAGTTTATTCTTCGTAAAACAATGGTCGATAATAGTGCTTTTGATCGCGACAATGCTGTAAAGAAGTTTCGAGACTATTTAAGAATAAAGTCTGTCCATCCGAATCCCGATTACGCATCTGCGGTTGACTTTTTGGTTGAATATGCGAAAGAATTACAGTTAGAATTCAAGCGGGTTGAGGTTGGAAAAAATCGGAAAATTATCGTAATTATGACACTGCCAGGAAATAATCCGAATCTGTCTTCGATTCTTCTGAATTCCCATATGGACGTAGTCCCGGTGTTTTTGGAAAATTGGAAGTGTGATCCTTGGGCTGCAATAAAAGATGATAATGGCGATATTTACGGCAGGGGTGCTCAAGATATGAAAAGCGTCGGTATACAGTATTTAGAGGCAATTAGAATTTTGACCAAAATCAACAAAATGTCATTTGAACGAACAATTCATCTCACATTTGTTCCAGACGAAGAAATTGGTGGCGGACAGGGGATGAGTATGTTCTTAGACACTCCTGAATTTGAAGCGATGAACGTTGGATTAGCATTAGACGAAGGACTCGCAAATCCTGGCAGCAATTACTCCGTTTATTACGGAGAACGAAGCCCGTGGTGGACTCGTGTTATATGTAGAGGAAATCCTGGACACGGATCCAGATTTATACAAAATACAGCTGCAGAAAAGTTGCAGAAAGTGATGGATAGTTTCTTGGAATTTCGTAAAACCGAGGAGAAACGACTGAATTGTACCACTTGCATGTGCCTTGGTGACGTCACATCAGTAAATCTAACAATGCTCCAGGGAGGTGTACAACCTAATGTCGTTCCAGAAGAATTCGCTGCTACTTTTGACATACGTATTCCGCCGACCGTAGACTTGAAAGATTTTGAAAATAAAATTTCAAAATGGTGTGAACAAGCTGGGAAAGACGTAACATTTGAATTTTTACAGAAAAGTACGATTCAGTCAACAACAAAAGCCGATGATACAAATCCGTGGTGGAAAGCATTCACCTCAACTTTAAAAAAGAGAGGAGTTGAGGTTACGAAGGAAATTTTTTCTGGAGCTACTGATGGCCGTTATCTGAGAGAACGTGGATATCCAGTAATTGGATTTAGTCCGATGCGGAATACGCCGGTGTTGCTTCATGACAACAACGAATTTCTCAACGAGAATGTGTTCATTGAAGGAATAGATGTATATTGTGACATCATTCCAGCGATTGCGAATTTGAAATTCTAATGTTGGTTAGAAATATTTGCTAATTTTTCGAGACAATCTATCTGAAGATTTGCAAGTGCATTCCATCCATCATTTCATAAAATGTAACGATTAACAATCTTGTTTTTTGAATATTTCGATTTATTGTTATTACCTTCTCAATTTTCCTTTACTCCATCTTTTATTTAAAAACCGCTCATGTCCACCGCATCAATCAGTGTTTAACATTTCAGCCAAGGACAAACTGGAAAGACAAAGTAATGTCTTACGGATCGGCTGTTGCTTGTCTGAATTCTTATTCACAGGGAAAGTGTGAAAATACCCATGCAAAGTTAGCAAATGAATTACTCTGTGTATTTGTACAAATGTTTTATGATCGCTACATATTTCCGATTGTATTTTGTTGTTTGTCTCTCTTAGTTTTGCTGTGGTCAGTCACGAAAAATGCCATGTTAGAAGAAATTAATACACATTTGTTTCATTCTTAAAATTCTGTTTATACAGAAACGACGTTTAATTATTACTATATAATGCATTGTGGTGAACTTGACAAAGATTTAGCTGTTCAAAAATTTCAAGAATATTTGAAAATAAAGTCAGTTCATCCTGATCCCGATTATGCTTCAGCTGTGACGTTCTTGGAAAGATATGCGAAGGAGTTGCAACTAGATGTAAAGCGGATTGAGGTCGGAGCTAATCGCAGGGAAATAATCGTTATGACGATACCAGGAAAAGATCCTAGTCTTCCTTCCATTTTGCTAAATTCTCATACTGATGTTGTACCGGTATTTCTTGAACACTGGAAGTACGATCCATGGGCGGCAGTTAAAGATGACAAAAGAGATATATATGGACGTGGCGCACAAGATATGAAATGTGTCGGCATACAACATTTGGAGGCAATCAGAGTGTTGAAGGTTATTAGAAAGGAATCTTTCCAAAGAACAATACACATTTCATTTGTACCTGATGAAGAAATCAATGGCGGCCAATTGGGAATGAAACTATTTTTGGACACGGCAGAATTCAAAGCTTTGAATATTGGTTTTGCCTTGGACGAAGGACTAGCGAACCCGGACAATAAATATTCCGTCTTCTATGGAGAAAGGAGTCCGTGGTGGGTGCGCGTCAAATGTCACGGAAACCCTGGTCACGGATCCAGATTTATTCCGAACACCGCCGCGGAAAAGTTACATAAAGTCATCAATGCGTTTTTATCCTTCAGAAGCTCGGAAGAATCTCGTTTAAATGGCGATTCGTGCATGTTTCTCGGGGATGTGACTTCGGTAAATCTCACTATGCTAGAAGGTGGTGTACAACCAAACGTCGTACCTGAAGAATTTATAGCAACTTTCGATATTAGGATTCCCCCTTCGGTTGACTTGAATGCATTTGAAGATAAAATTACGAGTTGGTGTAAAGAGGCTGGTGATGACGTCACCTTCGAATTTTTGAGTAAAAACAAGAACCAGAAAACTACCAGTACAAAAGAGGATAACCCATGGTGGACTGCGTTTGCCGGAGTACTACAACGTAGAGGTGTTGAAATAGTAAAAGAAATATTTCCTGCAGCTACCGACGGTCGTTTTCTACGAGAAATTGGCTACCCAGTGATTGGTTTCAGTCCAATGCGGAATACTCCAATATTGCTACACGATAACAACGAGTTTCTTAATGAAGAAATATTCTTGGAGGGAATTGAGGTGTACTGTGAATTGTTGCCTGCTCTTGCTAATTTGAAAATGTAAATTTGTTTTTAATTTTCAGTTGTGTGACACAACGACAAATCTGTCTTCATATCCTTAATTGACAATAATTTATGCAAAATTAAAATATTCGAATTAAAATATGTATTTTGTTTAATAATGTTGTTTTCTTTTCGTAGAGGTCTAAAGTTGGTCACCCTTAGGAAATTCAAAATCTGTGAGTAAGGGTACACAAGCGACTGCATACCCAATCCAGATGCGAAACTGGAACATATATTTGGTTAGATGCCTTCGCTCTGTCGTTCGACGTCAAACTTACACATAGTGCAGTACTTTCACCATTCTGCCTCAAAAGATTGCTAAATCATAGTGTGACTGCGGCACGCATGACAAATTTATTCGTTACAATTAATAATTCGGCCATGATTGTAAAGAATATCATGTTGCAATTTTCCACATCGAAATTGAATTACTCTTATACAATTATTTAATTATCAAGTTGTCATTTTTTTGAAGGTTTCAACTCTTGACTCGAATAAATGTCGTGCGAAAATACCCAATAAACTCAAGGCGTTTTTAGATGGTTATATTCGCGAATTAAATTTTCCAGATGGGCAATGTGGTTGACTTTACATCAGCTTGGCTGCCGTCCGAGACGTTGGAATGATTACTAATTACCAATCACGGTAATTAGGGTTTATCGGAATGTTGATTGGTCGATAGCGTCGTCGGTTTTGGGCGGGAAAGCCAAGAAGGCAACGTGCTATCTTCCCACAGTCACAGCATGACGAAGAGCGGGAAGGTTGTTTTGTTCTTCAGCTACGTCGTTTCTCCTAAGCGGGTGAGTGTAAGGTTTCTATTATCTTGCGCCATTTTAGCGATCTAATCTTTAACTCTTTTTAAATGATCAACTTCCAGTAGGATTGGTAATGTGTCAACATTTCCCAATTGCCTTTATTTAGGAAATTTTAATTATCTCATGGGTTAGATTTTAGCAGACTGATTGCCCAATTACTCATCATTTTTTATATAATTTACATTTGAAACGATAACAGTTACTCAGCTGACACGAACTATCTATCTGAATACTCCCAATAAATATGTAAATAAACGTACTTTTCTTTTGGAATAAACACTTATTGCCACAAGTCTTTCTGTTGTTGGGTAAATTTTATGAATTTCTTGCAAAATGCAGAGGGCGCATAAATTCTCTGCTACAGGTTAAAGAGTTGAGAAGAGCGTTAACAAATCACTGTTGAGCTGTATTTGTTATCGGATTGTGTAAATCGAGTTTCGCTTAAATTTATTTTATGTTCTTGCTACTTTAGGGCAGCTAAAGACGGTCCGCCAATATTTAAATTACTACATCAAAATTTGATGATTGGCTTCACATGCTGCCGTTACGTTTAATTGTACGCTCTTGTACAAAATTCTGTCCAATTGAACTCGTCCAATCAAATATAAACGAGAATCGATAATTAAAATAAAGATTTGAACAAGCCAAAATAAAAGCATGAAAGCAGTATTATCGAATTCATTTTAAACTTATACGTATGTATAAATTCCTCTCTTGTTAGTTAAAAAGAACAAAATATATTCAGCCTTAACAATATACTTCGTGAAGGGGCTGATGGACGCATGCATAATAGTTATGAATATAAAGTTAACAAAGTTCGTAAATTTTTGGTTGTGTTGCATGTCTCTTCGTACATGTAGTCCTATTTAGTAGACGCTAAACCTAACATTTTTTCTTGAATTTCATTCTAATGGGAATCTCAGCCATAATTGCTATGGGATGGGAATGGGACAGAAAAATATGTCCCATGGACAAGCCTGATAAATTCTATATAGCGAATAATATACGAAGAAACTCAAGATAAGAACTTACCCCCCTTTGTGCTATTTTCTAATTGTCACTGCTATGGTATATATTTAAAAAAGCGCGAGCAGCAAGAAATTTGAATTCATGATCTTAAATCAGAATATTGTATATCTTTCTGATACATACATACTTTCATTCAGAATTCCATAGTATTTCAAATGGAAGAATATATTCAAGGACACGAACATGACCAACAGAGGTAAAATATAACATTTCCTCGTATCATCCATTACAACATTATTCTGGTTATCAGGTTGGAACATGGAATATTTTTGTCTGTTTTGAAAATAGAAGATTTCGTGAGTTGCCCATCAACATCCTTATTTTATGGGAAAACATTATAATAAATAATAGGATAAATTGAAGAAAAGAAGTAATGTGTTCTGCATTTCATGCAACTATATCACACGCTAACTCATATTCTAAAAATACCTAATAAATATTAATTAGGGTTCATTCTTGTAATGCAGGCTTTGATAAAATAGTTTGCCCGATTGTTCGCGATTTTCACTTCTAAATTATGTGTTCGGGCACAGTTTTTATGCAGATTTTTTTGTAGTCTTAAATATCTCTCCTTCACATTGTGAAAAATGCTAAATAACAGTTAAAACCTATTTTGCTAGAATGACTTTCTGTGGTTCGTAACTTGTTTCTCATTTTCATGATTGAAAATAACTTTTCTTGCAATTGAACTAATCTTTCTTTCTTGAATTTTAGAAATTGGAAGATTATTCAGTTCGAGTCTTAAGAAAGATATCATGGACATATATTTAGGTATGAATACAGAAAAGTGAAGACGCAGTTCCTCAGCGAACAAGTATGTTGAAGGAAAACCTTTTTATGTACAATTTGGGTTTTATTATTATTCATTGTTTTATGTTTTTTGAAATACCGCTTATTATATGACGTATGTTTGATTGAAAGTTCTGGCATTGTGGCCCAAACTATATAGAATGAGGATTATTCGCGACTGAGCTAATATCTAGCGCTTTATTTGTACGAACAAAACCTCCATCGTTTCCCACGAATAGATACCTGAAGTTAATTCTAAATGCATTATACGTTATTGTTGATTTTCTTTAAAATTAGAAAGTTGGACTCACTTTATTTCTATTTTTCCAATTTTTGTCAATACTATGATAAGTTGGTCACATTTGGAACAAACGATGTAAACTATAAACGCGCTACCTGAACATGAGTGCAATGTTTAACTCAAATATATATATAGACACACTGACTAAACGCGGTACCGGTATGCAACTTACACTGAAATCCGTTATCTGATAATTTAAAAGCTTCAAATCCAAATTGAAAATATGTCTCACTGGCGCACCAATGTACATCGATGAAACCGCATAACGGAAGCCGTCCAGCACGGTGAAATAAAGTTGTTTATTTAAAAAAAAAAAACATTAGGAATTTCAGACCGATTAGGAGACTTATATTAATATTACGCGATCCATTCCAGCATCGATATAATATATGTTATATGGAACGTTATCACACACTGGTTTTTAAATAAACTCACGCTTTTCTTAATCTTAATCAAGTTTCTTAATCAAACCAACAACGCGATCGTATTATTATTATTTACGTTTCCGTCCAACTTGACTATAGATATTATTTATACATTTTCACTAATATGCTCTATACTCCGTATTGGCCTGGTTACAATCCATCTGGCACTGATCAATTACGAAAATATATCAATGAAAGGGAGCCTGTTTTTATTGATGCTTACCCACGCGCTCAGTAACAAAAAAATGAATTGATAGAAAAGAATACTTGTAAGACTTAGGTAGAAATCATTTTATTCTGGGAAACGTCAAGCATAATTTTACCATCTGGAAAACATCAATTAACGTCAACTAATATGACAACGCTAAATTTAATATTAGTTACCCACCCAAAGTCTGATTGCGTAAGAATATTTCCATGTCTGATGAAATATAATGAACGTTAATTTGGCATAGACTTAAACAGCATTTACTACAATCTGGAATCGCAGACTCTCAGATATTCGAAATTACTACTTCCAGCTCCGTAGGAATTCCGTATACGTAGCCAGCCCAAAGTTTTGGTAGGGGACAAATATCGTAATTTTCAGCAATGACATTGGGTTTGGGACACCACTTGAAGCAGAAAAAGATCACATTTGATCGCCATGTCTTCACCCGTTTCATACAGGAAGAGGAGGCTCAGTCTCGGCAGTTGTCACTTGTGGCATCATAGCGATCAATTGTTTTACTACGATTTATGGACCTTTCCCCGACCTTTAACCCCCAGAAAATTCTCCTTATACTTTACCTTTGCAAAATTTTCGAGGCTATTTTAGGAGTGTATTTGCGAGTTGGCGCTTGTAAAATGGAGTATGTGTTTCGGACCATCATTATGATTCATCGCCAACAACGATTTGTTTTTTAAAAGTACCGGTAAAGAATTTCAGGCTAGTCTATCACAGCTATTTCTAAACTAATTTTTATTACTGCAATTTAATTAAAACTCCTAGGAAGACAGAGTGATCATTGAATTATCTGATTTATATTTAAGTTTCCGAAACACAACTGAAAACTAACGAATAGAGTTTGAAAACGCGAAAACGAGGTCATGTTTACAACCACACTTGAAAATCTGTCTGAGTGAGAAAAGTGTCTGAGCGAATGCGAAAAGGGGGCATTGTTACGTCACTTTTTGCATCTTGCTGATTGGCCAATGTCACAAAGTAAACAAAGAAGTCGATGCTCGGGGAAAGGTCCATTCTCATTTTACTGCGGGTTTTTCAAGAACTTTATAATTCAGAATTTTCTCTCGCTTTGAAATAGATTGAAGAGAAACAAAGTAAGTACGACTATGTTTTCATATTGTTTGCTATCCGTGTTCAAACACACAAAAGCGCAAAGTATCGACAGAAAAATTGATAAAACATAACTTTGCATTTTAAATATATATTTTCAGTTATTTTCTTTATATATATATATATATATATCTATACATTTGATAAAAGACTTTTATTGGTCATAACAGTAAAAAATTATCTCCTCGCATAACATATTTGTCAGCAAAGGTACTGGTCGCAAAATATTATAAATAATAAATAATTGTTAGATATATATATTTGCCTTCAGCGTTTGATAAGATAATTTAAGCAAGTCTGTTAGCTCAGATCTACATGGGTACCGTGAATAAAGTAGGCCCACTGTATTGCTATCAGATTTAAGATTTTACAGGTAATATATACTCTTAATAATTTAATAACTGCTTTATAATTTTGGTGGCAGGAGAATTACAGAATTACAACGACAGAAAAGAAGAAGCGTCAAAAGCATTTATTTTTGATTCACATATATATTGGTTTCTGTGTTATCTTGTTTTGTATTGGTTTACTTCTTTATATTGTTGCGCATGCTGCGTTGGCGGCTCGCTTATTTTGGCTAGGATGAAGTTTTGTCTCGGTTCCCGCACCGCCATCATTACGAGTTTTGAGCTCCATCCTTGCTCCTCTCAAAGGCATTGCACTGTTTGCTATTTTAAACCATTTTTGTCTTGTGGGGGAATGTGAGAATTAGAGGTCTGGCCCCGAGGCATTTAAAAAGCACTCGCTCTTAGACTTTCGGTGGAGGGAATTTCAACTTCCGAATTAACTCACCCGAAGACCGAATTTTGACTTGAAACATGAAAGCTTTAAGGACGCTCAGTTAGTGATAACCTCTGTCTAGACCAGGAGTTTCGACTTTGTGTACCGCCGTTAGGAAAGTTTGGAATTGTAGACTCTCATATATTCAACATTACTACTCCCAGCTCCCTGGAGATTCCGCATACGTAGCATCCTTGGGATGAGGGACAAATATCGTAATTTTAAGCAATGATATTGAGTTTGAGACACCACTTCTTTGGGCAGAAAACTACCACATTTGATAAACGAGAGAGCTGTGCTCAAATATATGGACTCGTCCCAAGGTGTCGCTATTTTTTTATTCTGACACATAAAAAACAAATCTCTTGAAGTCCACAGAAATTTTTGAAATAAGTAAAAGTAATAGCCTTCTGGCAAAAAAAACTATCTTTAACCACTGAAAATTCCAAAGCAATTGGTCCAGTATTCAAAGAGAAAAGCGATTTCATCATGACGAAAGAGGAGACTAACAAGAACAACAACATAATATTGAAACGATCGTAATGTACACCGACGTGTCCAATAAGCAAACCAATTAGACAACTACTCTGCTCCATATTTCCAAAAAAACGTTTTTTTTTTTAAACAAATATTTACACTGGAATCGGAATCACGAAAAGACATCGCCACAGTTTTGAAGCCCCATCATTCTCCTCTGTTACCAATTCACGGTGACGGTGCAGCACACATAAATCAGAAAGGCAAGCTGAACCGATTAGAGCAGCTCAAGCCGTTGACATTCGCACATACGTCGTCTCGTTTAACAACTCTGCTACTCTGGTCTCTGAGCATCGTTAGATTTTTCAAGCCATCTGTGTTCCTAGGTTTCCTGTAAATGAAGTGTGCCCGCGAGTGGTTCCATTAGTGCCGAATACACTTAAAAAAAAATAACAGAAGAATCTTTTTCCAGAGTAGATTTCAGAAGGGAAATACTTCGCCCTCGTCTCACTGTTGGCATCTCTCACCCAGAAATCGAGAGACTCAAGTAGCCTACTCGTTTGAAGTCGCATTTGAAGATTCGGATACTCTTGTACTTTTCCAGACTATCTGGCGAGGGAGAAAAGGAGATGGTAAACTCGCGCCTTTCAGGCTCCTCGCAATGCGTGCCATTGTTGTTGCGTTTGTCTAAAGCTTCTGCAAATCGTATGCCAGAGAGGTGGGGAAAGATATTTGATTAAATTGATTTTGCATGAACAATTACTTGATTTTTAATACACAATTTCATTATGTATTAAAATGAGTATGCATGAGTGGGCGATTTAACAATATAATAGTTCGCGCCAATGGAACATTTGTTAGGTTAATTGCGAAACTATTTTTTTTTTACAATGGACATTGTGCAAAGTCGTGATGGGAGATTTGCTCTGCGGAAGCACATTGAAACAGTTTTCCGTGAGACTTTTTGTAACAGTACCGGCTGAAAAATATGACTTTTGTGATGAAACCGGCTGACAAAAAAAATTGAATCCCACCACTGACTGAAATCCATTTTATTTATCTTAATTATTTTTGTCCAATGTGTACTTTCGGTTTGTGATAAAATAAACTACTGACTGACTGGGCTATATTATATATTTGGGTAATTTACAGTTTAATCAACGCACATGAGGTGAACGATTGGTTGATGGTGTTAGCGTGGAAAGATTCTTCCTTTACTTAATGAGCATATATGCTATGCTCATTGCTATACTTTAGCATTGCAAAATTTTCAACGCTGATTTTGAGAGTGTTTTGGAAAGTTGGCGCTTACAAATTGGCTCACAATTCAAAACAATAAACCACGTGCCGCTTATAGGTACTTATAGCTAAGTTTGGACTAGTCTATCGTAGCGTTCGTGGTATCAAAATTGATTATTGCACCTAAACTAAAGGTCATGAGAAGACATATTGACAATTAAGTTATTTATTTACAACTATATTTTGGATAAATAACTAAAAACAGACGAATAACTCGCAAAACTTCCAAAAATATCGAATGTTTACAATCAGGCTCAAATATCTGTCTGAGCGAAAGAAGTTGCTGAGCGGCGGCATAAGTTTCAATTGTTACACCTTTGTAAACTTATTGCTGATTCTCAATTGTTATGGAAATGAACAAGGAAATCGATGCTCGGGGAAACGACTGAAATATGTGTTAGATTTTACATTCACTAGGTAGCGCAAAATGTTATTTTCAAATGGTGGTTCCCCGCGAAGACGCGTCCGTTGATTTCACAGGCGAATGGCATGAATCGTTGCAAGATATCTGTAGCAAGAATACAAGTAACTGCAAAACTGTACCGGTACGGTTGCTGCAGTCCCACGGTATACAAAAACTACAGGTAATCAAATCAAACACATGGAATTATTTTTAAGTAGGCACAGTCTATTTGCAATGCCACTCCTTTCTAACTTTAGAGATGGTGTCTCTTCAATCTGTCAATGTCTTGTTCATAAATAGCTATGTCTGTATGTCTAAATAATAGTGTATCATATACTGACATACCGGTACCCAATAGATACTACAGTTCTATCATAATTACTTTCCTTTGACAATATAACATCATTGGAACTGAATTGAAACAAGCTCACAAGATAAGCATAGAATAATATATACAGATATAATAAAATAGTAAATAATTTGAAGAGTTGTGATAAAAAAGTGTTTCTTCAGATCTTAGAGATGGTAGTTCGAGAGGAGCTTGTTCAGACATACATTGTAATATTGGCTAATAGCCTAATACTGTAACAATACAAAAACTTTTAATTATAAACCAACACAGCAATGTCTGAATGCTGGAATGTGGGACATTCTATCAATAAAAGTTAAACCAAGGATTAGACATATTACTGGAAATGATTTATGTGTACTATTGAACCAGAATTTATATCTCATTTATTTTAAAACTGTGCTTTTACACAAAATGTGTATGATTATGTTTTTTCTGTTGTATTACTGCTGTACTGTATTAAAAATAAACAATTGTAAGTTAAAAACTATTTATAAAACGTGTATTTTACTGGACGGTCTGGACCTGAATAATCAGTGTTTCATCATTAATTAAACATAAAGCAGTCATATTTCTTTCATGTACTGCAAGATATAAGACCAGACTGGATTCCATGGCAGGTGCACGCCCGAGGGCGCTAGCGCTCCGCAAAAATGCACGCGAGCGAAATCAATTTTGCACGCCGAAAATTTGCAATTGCTCACCAATGTAAATCGGTTTAAATGGTTTTAAAATCAATAATCCAGTAATATAAAGATGCCAAAATATTATACCTCCACAATTGTCGACATATACCAGCTTGCAAGATTTGGTCTGATTGAAATATTGCGAAGCAAAAAGACCATGGACCTTTCCCCAACCTTTGACCCGCGAAAAATTCCTCTCATTGTTACGTCCTTTTTTGCATCTTGCTGATTGGCCAATGTCACGAAGTAAACAAGGAAGTCGATGCTCGGGGAAAGGTCCATATCGTGTTGAATGATAGGAAATAGGAATCCCGTGAGAATAGTTATGGACGAAAAGATCGCCTCCGCACCAATGGCCAAGTACGGCTCTGATTCAGCGTATTTTTCATACAATAATTTTACACGAATGTACTGAACAGTACCGGTATCTAAAGTTGCTCAAACACTCCCAAAATTAGTGACAAAGTATGAAAATAATGTTTGGGGTCAAAGGTCAAACGTCCATTTTGCTCTAATTTGACGTATTTTTTATCCATTAATTCTACGTAAAAACACTACCAAAATTTATGACAAAGTATGTCCATTTTGCTCTGGTTCAACGTATTTTTTATCCAATAATTTTACGCGGATGTACTGAAAAGTACCGGTATCCAAAGTCGCACAAACACTCTCAAAATTAGCAACAAACTGTAGAAATAATGTTTGGGGTCAAAGGTCAAACGTCCATTTTTTCTCTGATTCAACATATTTTTTATCTGATACCGGTAATTTTACGCGGATGTATTGAGAGGTATCTGATGTCAAAGTCAGTTGCACGCGAGTGCAATTGTTTTGCACGTCGTGAGCTATAATTGCACGCCAGGAATTCTTATTTGCACGCATGAATTTCTGATTGCACGCCCGATTTCTCGTTCAAAAAGGCCATGAAATCCAGACTGGATATAAGATATGATTGGAACATAATGCAGTTATTTTTGAAAGTGTCATAGCAAGAATTAGAAAATCCTTTTAGGCAAGGAGAAATATAGAACAATTGAGACAACAACCTAATTTCATAGAAGAGCTTGACATAATATGTAACAACCTTTGACTTTTTCTGCTATCTATAATTAAAAAACATGAAAAAATAACTTAAATTTACTGATAAACATGATGAATTTCATCTGGAACATGGGACAATGGAACACTATGGATTACTTGACAATACTGCAATACTGAATGAACATATGGATTAACTGAGATCTTTGTTCATGTATATATTTGTTTGATTTTTGTATGCAACTATGTTTTATGTATATAATTTATTTATCGTTATCATTTATTTATTTGAAAATAATATAAATACTGAAAAAACAGACAGAAAGATTTATATGTCACTAATTCCTAGTTAGGAATATTATTTAGTTTTTCTAGCCAAAATGAGCCAATCGTTAGTGTTGCCTGATAACAAAGCGACTCAGTTTCTCGATATACTCAATTCACTTGGTTGTCCATACACACAAGATGTGGAAGCTTCGTATATGAGTGAACTTCTTCTGAGTCAAGGAGAACACAGGATTCATCTACTTCTATGGATATTTGGTGGAATTCATCCAAATGTTGAAAAGATTGTTGGAGCTCAGGATATCATTATGAGACAACAATCTGATCTTGGAGTGGATAAAAGGATTCAGTTGTTAACAAGTTTAGCATCATTTTTCGGCTTATGTAGACCGGAAGATTTGGATCTTATCAGAGGTCGTGCAACATTAAACAAACAGGTTTCCTTTTGGAATAAATTGTTTGACATAACCAGACCTTGTAAGAAGGGTACTCATGAAGCTGACAATGAGATTATGGATATTTTAACAAACCCAGATCAAAATATGATAGTACAGTCGACATCCAAACAACTTGATCTCTTGCCTCATAACCTCAAAAAAGAAATGTCAATGGTTTTAACAACTCAAAAGAATTCGAAACCTGGATTTCAAGAGATTGAAAAGCATTTTGAAAAAATACAAGAAAATCTTGAACACTACGAAAATAAATTGTCAGGATTATTGAAAGATGTAAAATATACGAATCCTGATGATAAAACAGCTCAAAGCAGTATAGCTTGTACCCTTAGTCTTACTTTGAATGATTTGGATCAAATGTTAACAACATTTGAACAAGTTTTTGCCAATAATTATCTTCCTTACTGCAATAAACACAAAGAACAATTCGGAAATCTAGGATCTGTTGTACAGATTGTCAATAAACAACTAATTTATGTTGTTCAGACCTTTGAGAATCTCCAAAGCATACAACAATCAAATGACGCCACTGTAAAATGTTTCAAAAATTGGCCGAAAATGAAAGAAAAAGTTGCAGGATTTACGTCAACAATTGAATCATTTTTGTATGATTCACTTCAATGTCTAGATAAATTATCACAAACTGGGAATATAGAATCTATGTTGGAGAATGGCTCAAATACACACATTCAGGCAGAAAGCAATTCCGTATCGAAATTGCATGATACCATATCTGAAATTTCTACAATAAAGTGATTTGTTTGATTTATTTTGCTTGCTGATTGTAAATTCTCATACAAATTTGATAATACTTCCTAATTGAATTTAGATTCAGAGTATTGCATGATAACAAAAACTGTTAAATGCAAGTGAAATTTATAGTTTTTTTTAAGAAGTTTAATTTATCTTCATGCTCTTCGTAGTTTGTCTATGGAGAGACTGATATTCCAATTCTCATCAATAGGTGGTTTGAAAATATGGCTCCAGTGAACCCTCTTTTAACAGCCAGACTTATTAAACTTGCATTGTAATCTTGTCTTTCAATATGAAGTTATTGTCGAATTGCTATTATTGATAAGTGAGAATGCTGTTTGGCCTATATTCATTTAATATTCTGAATATGTTCCCCATATAATTTATTCTTTCGAAATCTGTCATTGTTTTCTAGTCAAAATAGAAATTGTTTATGGTTCGATATTTCATATATAAATAGCCATTATTAACCTTAGGCTTAGAGTGCTCTATATATGTATACGTATTCTGTTAGATATATTGTGTGGACAAAATTAATGTAGGCTATTTACTTTTTGATATTTTTTAGGGTTATTAAGTCAACTGCTGCTTACAATGTTAGGTTTGTTTAAAAATCTTACACAATGTCAGTATACAAAAATTGGTTGCATATGTAATGCTATAATTACCTCCAAGCTCAATTTGGGTACTGCACAATCTATGTTTTTATCACAAGAAGAACGCCATGTAAAAAAAATCAATTTGAATAACAAACAATTCAAAGATTGGTCTCAGGAAGACTTGGCCATGATGACAGAGACAGAGAATTGTATTCCACTAGTAGAGGCAATTATGAGCAGTCCTCTTTTTATAGAAGATTGGGAGAAAATGCCAAAAAGTCATCTAGATAAATATGCAATAATGTCTGATGTGTTTTCTCATGAAAGCATCCAGAGTGTGAACGTTATTTTGAAGAACACTGTAGATCCAATGAGAGAAGTAATTTTGAATCAATGGAAAAAGAAAATGATAAACAAATTGGGAGAAAAGGAATTTTCGGACTACCAAAATAATAGCATGAAAGAGGGACGTTGTTTTCACAAATTGCTCCAAGATTATTTAAGGAAAGAAATCTCAATAGAAGGTATGTGTAACTAAGTTTATCTTAATTGCTGCCTTGTAGAGCTGAACTTAATTTGTCACCAGCATTGCAATTTTAAAAAGGCTTCTGTTTGTCGATTTCTGTCTGCCTTTGAGTGAGTCGAATCCTTTGTGGGGTGGCTTTTTACTAATTGATGTTTCAACTCTTCATTGTCCAGGGTGGTTTGCATAAGCACGGCTTTCATTCAAATCTTTCTTCTGCCATCTTATCACCATAATATCCCAGAAAAAATCTATTCTATTCATTTTTGTCTCGTGAAGGTGGTTAACAGCTTGAGATATGTCTGGGATTTTTTCCTAACACATTATTATATTTTTTGAAATTTTAAAGTAAAAGAATAAGTGTGTATCACACTGAAATAAAGCAGTGTTATACTGTGTGATGAATCAGGCAGAACCATTTATCGTGTAGGTATTTGAGGTCAACAATGTTATAATTGTTAACTACTACTGTAATTTACCATATTAAACCATTATCTGGCTAGTCTGGGAGAGGTGACCAGAGTTCATATCATAAATAAGTGTCTTATTCAACTGAATTATGTGCGAGAGAAATAATGGATTTTTCACTGCCATAGGGTGGTATAAATAACTGCTGATCGGTTACAGCACAGTCAAGTCCATGCATCTGAAACGAATAACTGGCTAGCTAATCTTTACCTGACATGGACTGGTAAGCGGAGGAGATACCGTGGTACGCCATATGATTGAGCCGTCTTATCGGCTTTTCTCTTGCCCAGGATAAAAAATGATATCTTGTCTTATTTTTTAAGGTGATGGATCGGATGAGTGGAACAGTGTGAAACCAATTCTGCATGAAATTTCTCCTGAGAGTGCTCATAATGTGGAAGCCAATGTGATTCATCCAAAGTTGTTCTACAGTGGAAGATTGGATTGTGTCGTAGAATATAAAAACAAACTATGCATTATAGACTGGAAATTAGCTTCCAAGCGAAAGGACAATTTGAAGGATTTATATGACGTTCCCTACCAGGTTGCTGCATATGTTGGGGCCTTCAATATACTTAACGACTCTTCTACACAAGTTTCTAATGCAATCATTGTTAGAGGTTATCGGAATGGATCGCCAGCCAGCGTTCATTATTTAAATGACTTTGCAATAGAATTTTATTGGAAAGGGTGGCTGAGAAAGCTTGCCAGAAACCATGCAAGACAACTAAGTGCTCAATTGTCACAAGATAGTTGATGATACTTTACGAAAATTTTTGTTTTGAGATTCAATGGTTGAAATAATCTGCGTTTTTTCATCGAATTTTAATAAGAACTCCTGCGATCTGGCACAAACTTATGTTGAGGAGCAGCGATGGATTTCTAACATATCACGCACTGCTTGGTAGAGTTCTAAAAACTAAGTCAATTTGTTTAGAACAATATTAATCTTATCAGTTGATATATTTCTAATTTCAAATATTCCCCCTGAATTTGAGAGTCTAGTTACTGCCAAGTTTTGCAATTCAAGAGCCTTGAGCCTTTCAAGATGACTAGTGTACTGTGATTGTGTTCACCTGATATTGATTGCAATGTAATCATTAAATAGCTGAATAACAGCTTTCTGTGATTTGCTTATGAATCTGCCATCTTCATCTTTTATATTATAATGAAGATTGCTTCACTATAGAAAAGTTTTTGATAACAAAGTATGAAACTGTCTAAGTTGGATCAGAAATTTTTAATCAGGTCAGACAGTGAAAGCAATAGAAAGGGTGTATAGTTCGAGATGCGAATGTTCCTTATAAATTTGTTATATCCAGTGGTGGGATTCAGCCGGTTCTATAGAACCGTCTCACAGAATTTTATGAGATCAGCGAACCAGTAAGAATTACTGGTTACTGTCAATGTTCTATTTATAATAGAACCGGCTGAAAAATATGACTTTTGTGAAGGAACCGGCTGACAAAAAACTTGAATCCCACCGCTGGTTATATCCCCCAACAGTGGGCGGTTAATTTAGCCTTGGGAAGTGAAAAGGTAATAAAACGATGAATATTGCATAAGCACTGGTAGTAGTCCCAGGGTGAGGGTCTGAACCACATAGCAATTCTTCGTAGCTTGGAATATTGCATAAGCACTGGTAGTAGTCCCAGGGTGAGGGTCTGAACCACATAGCAATTCTTCGTAGCTTGGAACGCCTTTTTGGATTCCAAGACTTGTGAATACCCACTTTTTCCAACCGGACTAGCTAGCTGTTGTGGTCGGACTTGGCAATTTAAAATATCAGAACCTTACTTTGAAGATTCCTAGCTACACAAAGCACATCCTTTGGAGGGTTATGCCGGAATTAGCTCAAATGCCACCACATCCATCTTTGACCGAAGAAGCTCTATTATCAGTGATAACCTATACTAATCATGATTTGAAAAAGTTCGTCCATGTGAGTAGGCGTTAAGGTAATAATGACACACTGAATAAAATATTGGTTTTCCGCTGACCCCATAACAATTTGTTAAGCATAAGGTGGAACAGTATAAGTTGGAAATTCTCTAATTGGGCACGATTTGCACAGAAACGGGTCCAGATTATATAACGTGGTTGCTGTTCATCCCACTATGCACAATAATTCAGGAGGATTACATGAGCACGGATTAAAATCATGAAGACGGGTATAGATAAGAAGGTTTCTATAAGTTGTACCAAACTCTTGCCACTTTTTTAACACTATTTAACTACAGAACATCCACAAAAATTCAAAAAATATTCTTTATTTAGAAAGAAAAGAAAATAGAAACCTTTTTTTAAGTAGAACTTCTAACATTTTCAAACATATCAACAACATTGATCAAGGCTTTACTTAACTCTTCGGAAAGTATTTCAGTGAAGTTAACGCAATTCTTAGAAATACTTGCAAACACCTTACCGTGGCATTCATGATCATGGTTGAAAAAACATGGACGAAGAAGATTGCTGACAAAATCATGTGTTATATCTGTAAAATTATGATTGATAGCAAAAAGAAAAAATGAGGTACCGTGAGGTTGTGCAGACAACTTGCTAGAATTTTGGCAAAACTCAGTTTTAGGAATTGCAAATGATACGTCTTCCTCAAGGATCTGGCTTGTGGCCACTCCTGTTATATCATAATTTTGATTTTCTTTTTGGCTCTTGAGAACAGCAATTTCTCTTTCCATGTAATGTTTATTGAAAAATCCTTTATATTTTTTGTAAAATTCAGTTCTTTTGTCCTGAAGAAGCCAGGCATCCAGCACTTTTAATATTTCTATTTCAACTGGAAGTTGTTGTCCCGCATTGCAACTTTTGCCGATGAAGTTGCTATATCTGGAATCTGATGATGATATAACCTGAAGAAAAGTTTTCACTCAATGATTTTCACCAATAACATAAGTAAAAAAAGAGACCACAGAAACGAGATTTGACATTTTTTTGCGCTTCTCGAAGTCGGGTTGGGAGCCTAAATATATTTTTTCGTCTGAAACCCCAAAAAGTGTTTGTGTTCCATTCCCAGTTCCAGATGTCGGATAAGACATTAGCGAGACTTCACGGCCATGCATCAACTCATGTTATATTATTGCGTGGTGTAATTTGCTATTAAATGTTTAATTCACCAACAATTTTAACAAACATTATTCCTACCTCTGACATTATATTCCTCATTACTGTACAGTCGTTTTCATCGCATCCATACATATTATGAATAATGTATAACGCTGCATCATAAAGCACATCTCGGATTGTAACTTTCTTCTCTGTGGATTCCCTGATAGAGTAAATGCATTAATGCTTATGTTACTTCGATATATTAAATTTATTCATGAATTAGAATAGATCATGTGCCGTCCGCACTGCTGTACAAAGACAGCGGCACTCCAGAAGTGTGTGTACCAATATGGAGGCAACTAAATTTGTTCGCCTACTTCACATCAAGTTTTGTAAATGGACTGGAACCTATGTGCATGGGGGTATATTCACTTAGCTAACACATACAGTCCCCAAACTCGTAGTAGAACTAAAATAAGGGAAATCCTAATAAAATTATGCCACAACTCTAACCTGGTACACACCCAATGGGAGTACTCAAGCAGCAATATACAGAATTACCATTGACTTTTGGTTTGATTTTGAGGAATTGCATTTGTTAAAAGACACAACTGTATGCCAGCAATTTGAAGTTGAAGGCGAACCTGTATTTTCCACTGAGCATTGCTCCGAACATTGGCGATCTTCCACTTATTATATCAGAATGGATAGGGATAGATGAAACAGCTTGCGAAGAATTATTTTTCTTCTCTGACGACATTTTTCGTGCTCTCGTATTATGATGATGTTGATGCTTTTCAGTCTATTGTAATGAAAAGAGAAATTATATGATTGATATTGCAGGCCTGCCTAAATGTATATCCGGGATGATAGCTAGAATTATTAAGAAAGTTAAGATAATATTGAATTGTCAAATTAAATAGATGGTATTTAGCTGGGAACTGTGTATCAATTTTATAAAGATAGAACAAGAGTAGATAGCCATATGTGATGTAGATTTCATACTACTATATAATGTTAAAGAATCTTATCGCAATGTTGTATTATAAAATATATATTTCAGCGCAGCATCTGACCCAGTTCGATAAATCAAACTTACTTTAGATGATTGACCAGAAGTAAATATAAGATTTCTGTCAGGTTCAGATGATGAACAATGAAGAGAATATGCACATTCAGAAACATTCTCATGTGTTCCTGAGAAATAAATGATCTCTATTAAAATTTCTAAGACAGCTATAAAAAATCCCCAACTTTATTGCGCGAAAGATAATAATGCTTTACAAATACCTGACTGCGATTAGTACCTTGTTTATTAGGTAGTTTTTTGATAGATTGATATATCACAGAACAAACCCATCATGAAGGTCCATTTACTCTCACTTTGTATCCTCTGAAAAAAGTCGTTTTGAAAAATTGGGCCAAGTCGAGTGTTTAAAAAAATCTCCTCACCTTTTCCTTCAACAGGAATGCTGAACGGTATCAAGTCTTCATGATCAAGTTTCTCTTCACAAATTTCAAACAAGTCTGGACTTTCATTGTCAAAATTATTTTCTACTTCAGTTCCGTTGCCATTTATACGATTTCCATGTCCAGCGAGTATATGTAAAGTGTAAGAAGCAGATTGAAAGATGTAATTCGTAGATGCATAATTTATGATGGCATCACATAATATGTAAAGTTTCTTGCGATCCAATATTGTTCGAAGATTTGAAATTATGTATCTGAAAATAGTTAGGACAAGATGAACGAAAAATCACTTCAATTTTCACCAATTGGATGAATCTACCAAGCACTATAGACAACTAACATCACACTGCTGATCAGAATAGAATTTTTCGTAAGTGAGGAAAGTCAAACTACAGCCTATTGATCTTCAACATTCCAGGTCACGAATAATCGAAATAGCGCTTGAAAAAGCTATAACTGACCAATGTTTATGTAAAGCAAGGCTGGGGACTAGGAGTTTCAGATCTTCAGTGGTAATAAAGTCAAGAGTACTTTCCGGCCTGTTATAGAAAGTTTTCATATAAATGAGTTTTTGATTTTCTGGAATTTCAAAGCTGATTCATTGACGTGAAGATCATATCAATTCTCTTGTGCAAGATCATTCCCCATAATATTCAAAGCTGCTCCATACTAGCACAGAATAAGGAGCAGAGCATTATGGGTAGTCTCTGGTCAATTAAAGTTTTCTCCATAACTATGAATTAGATTTAATGCATAAATGCGAATTTTTATAAATTGAAAATTTAAGAGTGTTAATATAGTGTTTGTTATATTCTTTTCCATGAATCAAAATGTTAAAATTTTTGAAGCAAAATAAGTTACATTTATGAAATGTTTTACATATATTTAACCTGAGACATATCTATGAAGTATATCAATGGTATAATTACAGTTAAAAAATAGGAAACTATGATAATAATACTTACTTTAGTAAAGAATCGGACATATTTTTTCTACTCTCCAGAGATCGACTACACCAAAGAGATAACAAAACTACAATTGAAGTTGCTGCAACTGCTTCTGAGTCTGTTCCTGAGAATAATAATCATACTTAGTATTCTTTTGAACATCACAGATTAAGATTAAATTTCCTAGTTAGTATTCTTCTTAGTTTTACTTCTTTAACATGCTTCGCAATCAACATGATGTCATAAAAAAGAATTCGAAACAAAAAAGAAGATACCTGTCCTGCTGTTCAATAAAAAACCTAGTTTTGGTTTTAACAGGTTTCCATTATTTATCTAATTCACCACATTTAATAGGACAGAACCAATAAAAGATATTAAAAAGAACGCAAACCAGTTAAAAAAATATCTACCTTTAGTAATCATTCTCTTCAATGTGTTTGCCCCATACACTGATGAATGAGATAGCGAAATATTATGCCACATGTTACTGAGTGGATCTTTGTATTCAGAAGTTTTTGTCATGTTGCATTTTGTGCAGAATTCCTGCAAATTAAGGAACAAATTATGCTCAGAAAACTATCTTCTCAAATAATTATTTAGAATAATATAGCACCGTCGAAAAATTGTAACCTTTCAACCCATAGTTAAGAATTTCGATAAATATTCAGAACGAATATTTATTCAAGGGTTTTATGTTTCAACAATATCTTTTATCAATATTATATGGTGCTCCAGAAGTGTGTACCAATATGGAGGTAACTAATTTTGTTCGACTACTTTACATCAAGTTGAGTAAAGGGACGGAAGCCTGTGGGCAGGGGGCATATTCACTTGGCTAACACAGACAGTCCCCGAACTCGTAATAGGACTAAAATAAGGAAAATCGGAATAAAGGTACACACACTACTAAATCATATGTAAAACCATAGCTGGTTACCTGGCCATGTCGAGTAAACATTTAGTTGTTCCAAAATTCATTTACAGGCGACCCAAAAAAGCAGAACTAAGGTCATTCGAAACAAAGTGTCCTAAATTACTGAAACTTTCGGATACAATCATACACATGTAGAAGTTAACATATTATATAAATTCCCTTCATTTTCGTAGAGGTAATTAGAAAATTCTGTTTTATTGGGTCATTGCGTATAGTGATAACCCGTATTTGCTTTACGTCATCATTATAAGATATAATGTCACACAACCTCAAAAATGAAATTCAAAATATCTATACACTATGAAATGGTAAATACCATTTACAAATTCCATTAGGCATTTGTATGAATTTACCTCTGAATCATTATTTAGATCAAAAGTATCCTTATTTATCATTCTCTTGTTAGCTTCAGCATCGACACATGTAACAAGTAGTGAAGTTACAATTTGATGGAAACAATCGGGACATGAAGTAAGACGATCTATGATTCTGTTCAATCTGAAGAAAAAAAATTTTGAATTTCAGGTACATGAACTTAATTTTTGCACATAATATGTAGTTATACAAGTTATTAAAGTTTGGATAGCTGTAACTGAACTGATCGCATTGTAAGGTGACGTTTAATTTGAATATTTTAATTGGGTCCGATAGAAACAAAATTGAATATTTGACAAAGGAGTAAGTAAATGCAACAAGCCTGAAATAAGACAAAAACAATTAAGGTAACTAACATAGACTGAAAAAATTAAGAGACACAAAAGTATCAAAACAGTGTTATAAACTGAAATAAAACAACAAAAAATTTGAGCGAAATATTGGGCTCGCCTAGTCTCAGAAACAATAATTTGACGAAACGATTCATGATCCACTTTGCATTTGAAAACCCATTTTAATAATGAATAATTTCAGATCTAAATGGAATTAGAGCAACTAAATTTTAATCTAAGACTAACAGAAATATAAAGAAACATAACACTTGCATAGAAGGATAGCAGAATATGGTATCATATTATTATTGAACTCGAAAGCTTATAATTTATCAGATGTCTGAAGAATATGCTTGGAATAAGATTTAAAATCACATTACTTATTACGAAATTAATGCCTCAGAAAAAAATTCATAAAATAAAGATCTCAGTCAATTAAATAAAATCCTCTTCAATTACAAAAAAGCAATCTGCAACCTCATAATTGAAATAACATATCTTACTTTGGATCAAGCTTTCCTGGGTATTCTCTGATATAAGTGATCATACAATCCGTACAATTTTCTTGTTGAGCAAGCGACGTCACGTAAGCATCAGACACTTCACAGTAATGACATAACAAACATAGAATGACTTGGATGGGAGTCACAGGCTCTGGACCGGTCAGTGCACAATCTTTGGTGTGGTCAGTAGGGGTAGCTTTTTCTTTGAGAGATGGTAAGGGATTAGACATGGTTTTCGTAAGTTCAGGCGCATTTTGATCTGTTGTTGAGGTCGTGGGTTGTTGTGGAACAAATTCCTCCGTGATTTCTTGAGTGTTAGTAGTATCTGTTTCGTCTGAAGAAATAGAATATCATTGGAATGCCATATGAAAATGTCATTCGAATTAAGACAAAGATGATCATCCCCCTGCCTTCCAAGACATAAATATTCAGTAAATTTTATTTACAATATTATTCATTCATCACATATATTTAAAGAAAAATGATCATAGTTGCTCAAAAGTATAACTGATGTAATTAAAAACTGAAACAATTGGGAGAAAACAATCTCTCTATGCTTTGCTGGACACAAATATTTTATTTACAATCATACTAATATATTTTAATGAAAAATAAGCAAACTAACGAAGAACAAATAGTCCAATTACTAAACCTATCCAAAGGATAACTTTTTAATTACATTTACACATAAATCTCTTTCCAATTGAAAGAACTTTCAAATTCTAAATTTCAAAATTGTATCTGAACAATCATACTCAAACTATTAAACTTTTATTAAGAAAAAACAAACCCAATCTTCTGACAGCTCCTGAGCTTTTTCGTCTACGATTTTGTTTCCATGAAGATGCAGAAGTCGCACCAGTTGTGCTAGAAGTTGATGTACCAACATCTCTACCAGCATGTTTCAAAACCAATGGGGATACACTGAAATATTATCAAAGGCATATTGTAATGTTTACGTACATATTTTGAATAGCATTTAATAAAAACAAAGAAATGTAGGAAGATTTTAAAAGACAATCAAAATATGATGGTTCATATCAGAATTTAATTGGAAACGTTGTAAAATTATTCCAAGTTTTATAAAAATTTATTTCATGAGAATAGTGTTCATTACACTGCATTAATTTCAAATGTGTGCTGCATTTATCTGATATCCCGAATCCGGACCTTGTTTCCTGATAACCAAACCTTTGCTTTATTGTGATTCCGCCTAAGTATTTTCTAGATAGCAATAGCTTGAATTGTTCCAAGCGTCACGTCAGTCACCGTCTACTGACATCCGTGGCACAAATAAACCTTATATGGTGCTCCCGAAGTATGCGAACCAAGATGGCGGACATCGGAGCGTAACATGGGTAACAGGTTATGGTTAGGCCATAATTTTTTTCCAATTATCCTTATTTTAGTCCTATTATCAGTTCGAAGACTAGCCAAGAGCCTCCCGTAGTATTTATACCTAAAATTATGGCCTAACCCTAACCTAGTACACATATTACATTCCGATGTCCGCCATCTTGGTTCGCATACTTCGGGAGCCCCCCTTATATATCTTAGAATGTTTGTGGTGCTTGCAACAGTATGTTCAATAATTTATTTACATCCACTTGGGGGCCTGAAAGCTGAAACCTTGCTTTGAACAATTTTTCAAATAAAATCTTTTCAAATTTTGTTTTGAATAAATTCTTCATATTCTCACCTGCAAGTATCACTGACAAATTGTAAGAAACTCGGACTGCAAGCTGAGTTCCCTATATCAGGAAGAGTTAACTCTGCTGATGGAGAAGATGAACCTGAATAAAGTATAATGTTGAGTTTACCACACTGAGGCAGATTCTGCTCATGTGCTCATGGAGTTTCTAAAATAAGATGGTTTTTCATATCTATCCCAGCGTTTGAAAAGCTGACAGGAGAGAATATTAAAATGGAAAACCACTGCCCCTCGTCAGTTACCAGTTCATACTAGGTGTGCCAACTGGCAAGCTCTATTAATTCATTCTATCAAGGGGAGACATAATAATTTAGACATATTTACATATTCTATAGTCTAGTAAACATCCAAAATACCTATAAAAACTTCAAGCACAAGCAATGACAACAGATGGGGCTTATCATATTATTGGTACCGCATTTTAGAGTCTAGGGTTAGATCTGACAAGCGCAGTCACGAATTAACATTGGATGTGTAACGTATTGGGGAAGAAATATAAAAATTGCCAAAAGTTTTAAGATTGAAACGTACATATAATAATATGAAATAACAACTGCAGAATAAAAAACAATATTTAAAATAAATTGCTCAAACCTGCAAATGGTTGAATATTTACTGGTATATTGGAACTAGTGGTCCCTTTATCATTATCCAGAGACCTGAAATTCAATAGAATAACCAGCAATTCAAGGATGAATGAAAATAATGTAGTAAATGTAGATAATTTGGCATTCAAAAATATTTTTTGTCATTTAACTACAATTAAAAGAAATGAAATATATCTTTTTCAAAGAAAAAATAAAATCATAATTTCATTTCAATTCTTCCAGGAAATAGAATTTAAATTAGGTAAAAAGAATAATCGTTAAAATTCACATTATATGTTATACCTTGATCTTATTCTGTCATTTTCTTTCAGATTATCTATCTTTGCTCGTTTGGAAACTTGTCGTAAATCCTTCTCCATTCTCGTTTTAAATTCCTTGTTTTCTTTGATCTAAATGAAAAATGTCAAAATTATTTTCATCATTTTTACGAATATAACCACAGTTTACACAACATAATAATATAAAGATTTTTACTGATGGCCTTTATTATTGTCAGTTTTTTCTCACAACCATCGAGCCTCTGTATAAGCATATGCTGACACATAATGAGCCACCAATTTAGACGAACGGGGTTATTTTCAACACAATTTCAATATTTAACCTGCGCAACTCAATTTTAATGAGTCAACAAGTAGTCGAGCATGTGCAGATTTTCACTCCTAAGATATGTTATACAAATTCGATCTGGCAATAAACGTTGATTATATGCTATATGTATGTGATTTACAGCCAACATCAATTAAAATAAATCTTTTTGTTATTGCTTTGCACAACAATTCAAGTCGAATAAATTTAAATGATACCTGCGTGAGAGATTTTTCATTCGATGAGTTTGAGTCATTGGAGCTGGATGAACTATGCCTGTTTCGTTTTTCTGTGTTGGAAGTTTCTGTGCAAACAATATAGACTAAACAAAAATAGCAAATCCCAGATAATATTAAAAAAATTTCATCAACATTTGGTCTAGGATGGACCAAATATGAAATAAAATGATTTATATACAATATGGGGTTTGTGAACATTCAAATGTGACCTATTTCTACACAAATATCCCATCTCAAATTCATACAAGTGACATCAACGGAAATACTGGTCATTGTGGTCAAGTCAGCAATGTAGATTGGGCAGCAATTAGTGAATGAAAAGACCTTAAATCTTGCTTCTTAATTAAAAGTTTTGGTATACATGTTTTGCATGGAATTGTCAACTTATGAAAAGTATAAAAGCAAATATAAGACATAATTCCACTCTTTAACGGCAAAAAGTTCGGAGAATTTTACTCTTAACCCTTACCAGCAGAGGTTGATGTATAAGCGTTTGACATCGGCAACAACGCAGGTGAATGCATTTGATCGAATCCATCTCTGGATGAAGAACTTTCGTCTTGATCAAGAGGTTCATTCTCTTCTAAATTATGTAAATTTATGAAAATAAAGCAAGCACATGTCCCAAAATAAACTTACTATACTGAGTTTATAAGTGAGTAGTTTTTTCACTATCTGAGGATTCTATTTTTTATAAAATACAAGAGACTTGATGAACAATCACTGGTGCATAAGAAGTTACTAATTTTAAAATAACCGGCATTTTTACAGTTCGTCATTGCCTACCAAATTCATTGCACCCTAGACGAGGTGGTACTTCCTAATACCACAGCTCAATTCAATATAAATATGAAAACCTTACTCTAATATGTCTTTGATATAAACATACCTTCAAACACGGCATGTGGAAAATGATGAGATTCTTCAGAAATGATGTCAGAGGGTGATATCGATCTGGGTACAGTGGGGGTTTCTGGTGGAGTAGATTCCTCAGCAAAATCCCCGGGAATGGGACTGGGTCCCTGGGGTGACCATTGAGGTGAGCAAGAAGTCTGCTCAAACTTTGATCTCTGGGTAAAAAGTATTGAAAAATTGATAATTAAAAATGCAGGAGAGCATACTATCAAGGATTTCATTAAAATATGAGCTAGGCCAACTTGCTCAACTTAAGCTATAGTAAAGCGCTACCAAGCCCAAAAACAGGCTATAAAAGCAGTTAGAAATTCACATGCAAACTATCTTCATCGGCTGCGAAGCCGAAGTAGAAAACTTTTGTTAAATAAGCAATGGGTTGACTAAACATTAGGCAATTAAAAAGGCTAGCAAACACAGAAGTTTTTATGAACAAAATTTGTTTTTCTTGGAGTTGGGATTGAGAATTTCGCCAACCAGGTGTCGAAAATGGGGGTTGTTTTTGACGTGGAGTAAAATGTGATTTTTTGTGAATTCAAAGCCATGTTCATAGATAAACAGATATAATTTTAAATAAAAAATACATGTTACTCAAATACTGGCCTCAAAAAATAAAATAGAAGGCAGGGGATCTCAAAAACGAACACATACAAGTTTACCATGAAATGCAGTTTTGTGTAATATGCAAAACCAAGCAATAGTTTAGCGAGAATATCGGTTAGAGACCGAAGACTAATCGATCGAAACTGCCGTTTCGATTCATGACTCTATACCGCGTGTCCCAACACTAATTAATTAATAACTCGCTAATTATACGACATAATTCATCCAAAATCAATAGGCTTCTGGTCCGAGATATGATGAATGCACATACAAAATTTGGAGCAGATTCAACCACGCCTTCGTGAGATATCGAGTGCATCTAAGAGACAGACAGACAAACAGAAAAATACCTCAAGATCGATAAGTAATAAACTTGAAATACAATCACAATTATCGGGACAACAAACTTTTTCTCAAGTTACCCATTCATATTCAAATTCCGTCAAAGTTCTGAAGGTCAGTTCAATATCATTGGTATTTTTATCTTCTTTTTGTACATTGGGACGTTGATTGAATCTAGTAGGAACATCACACGATAATGAATGTCTTCTATCAAACTTTTCATTGTCATCAACGCCGTGTCCATCCCAAATCATTTTTACAGCTTTTGAACTTGTATTTTGTTCTTCTAAAATAAATGTTAGGCACAGAAATCGATTTGAAGAGTGAACCAAAAATAAATAGTAAAAGACTATAGCAACACAAAACCTGACATCTTTAAATATGACAGGTATATTTCATCAAGCGACAAGTCGATGCAAAAAACTTGTTTTCAAGAATAAAACTAAAATACCCAAAGCAGTGGCTGCTCTCCCGGAGCTGTGAAGTAGAGTCTGAGGAAACTCACATACGACCCAGGTTTCAGGACGTTTAGGAAAAAGAACTATCGCTCAAGAGTCGGACTCTGTGACTTAATAATAACAAAAACTTTGGCACATGAATACCATTTTCAATGAATCTGTAAAACGCTTGGTACAATTAATGCTGTTTGAGTTTTAGCTCGACTTATTACTTTTCGATCTTAAGATCGGTAAGTATGTTGATAGGTATTTGTTTGTTTGTCTGTTAGATGCACGCGATATCTCACGAAAGCGAGGTTCAATCTGCTCCAAATTTTGCATGTGCATTCATCGTAGCTCGGATAAGAAGCCTATTGATTTTGGATGGATTATGTCGTATAATTAGCGAGTTATTATTTAATTAGTGATGGGACACTTGGTGTCACTATGGAGTAATACCACTGTTTTGGGCGATCCCCTAACCTTCGATCGATAAGTCTTCGGTTTCCAACCGAATTCTAGTTTCATCATCATTGAAAATCTGCAAGTTTCATTACAAATTCCGGGTAATATGACTCCAACACAGTCTAAATGACTATGGATGGTTTAAAACGACAAATTCCAGAATATTTTATTCCCCGGTACTTTTCATCAGTATCATAAATAAGAACTTAGTGTTAAATTTTCAAATCAGATTCTTGAATATTTTTCTTTTCTCAGTTCTCGATGTTTAACGCTCAATATTGAAAAATTTATCATTGCCGTTAATAAAAACTATCCAGCAATTAATATTGTATTTAGGCCTTAAAACTTGGGCGCGGTGATGTAGTGGTATTATAGTGCACGACATAACCGTGTAAAGTATATAAATTTGCTGTATAAAAATCATTACCTGAAAACAGTCTCTGTTCCTGTATCGTATATTCTTTCAATTTACTTAACAATATGTTGAATATTCCACTATCATGAAGGATCTATAAAAGCAGTATGTTTATCGTCCAGAAAGCTATAATACAAGATGATTGAAACTTAATCAAAAGGGACAAATCGAAATTGAAATAATTTAAATATTCTTTTTCAGTTTCCGAATTCATATCGCTGGATAATTTGAACCTTGCATTTCATTTTAATTCTGAACAACTTACTGCAGTGTTTCCAAACCAAGGAGGATTCATCTCCAGGGAGCAATTTTGTTTTTTCAGGGAAGAAATAAAGAAGTATTACTTTCTATTTAGTCATTTAGGATCATTGTAATGTATTCATAAGCCATTAGAACTGTGCAAAAGCCTGAGTGCGAATTGCATGTGATGTTAATATTAGCTAATGGCTCTTCATGATTGAACAAATGATGGGAACTCCAAAAAAAAAAGGCTATGGGAGAAATAAATCGAAAAAGGTTGAGAATAATTGATCTAACGAAGGAGTTTAGATACAAAAAGTTTGTCAAAAACATGAATCACAGTTAAACTTCGACTAAATAACTGAAAGTCCTTTTATAAAATCAAATCTGAATTCAATTTAAATTACATCATTTGTCATATGTAAACTCGGAAAAAATATGTAACGCTAAAATTTACAGTGACTTTAGCTATAATTGCGAGAGGGTTGACCTTGCTATTCTCTTACTTTTAATCCAACTTCATCATATACAAAGCATAGAAGACTTGTTAATATGAAATTATGCACAGTGATCCATCGGTTGTCTGATAACAATCGAATAAACAAAGAAAGAGCATCCATAGACCTCAACCTTGCCCTGTAATAGAGAAAAATAAAATATGAAAAATGGAGAGAAAAAATTGTATTTGACATCAAACAGTCCGTTTTGAAATGACTTATCATTTACTAACTACCGGTAGTTAATTTTGACGTACACATAAATGCTTTACATGTAGGATCAAATTGACATAGCCCTTAAAAAACAAGTATCCCCAAAGTTCAGATTCGAAGGACATAAAATGCTTTCAATAATAATGACATCCAAAGCAATGGGTTAGAACTGAGACCAGTTTTTTTAACCACAATGGCTACCCTGCAGAACTTATTGAATAATCTCTTTCAATTGTACTATATCTCTATTATTGTTTTCCAGCAATCATAAAGACTTCATCTCACCTATTTATTGCCTCTCGACAGCAATAGCATAAGGCCCCAACAATTCGAAATGAATTTTCCTGTAAAGGTCCTTGCATTTTTCTAGAAATATTAATTGAATCCCCCAATATATTTTTTAATTCGTCCACAATACATTCCAGAGCACCAGAATTTCCAAGCATTGGTCGAGCACATCCTTGTAATGTCAGATTTATCAGGATTGACAAAGCCTCAGATTTGTCTTTTTCTGAATCTGAAAACAAATTGCGAGAAGAAAAATAATAAATAATACACAATGTGCTTTAATTTGGATAGAAGCACATATGATAGGATTTACATATATTTATCCGAGGGAAGAGAAAAGACGATAAGACGGCTTAATCATATGGCGAACCATGGCCTCTAGACCAGTTACCAGACCCTGTTGGGTATGGGATTAGTTAGCGGGTTATTTGTTTTCGAAAGCATGAACTTGATGGTGGAGGAAGCCGTAAACGACCAGCGGTTGCGTAAATCACCCTAAGGCGTCAAGCAGTCCAGCAATCCTCTCGCACATAACTATCCCCACATGGGATTCGAACCCGCGAACTCATGCAGGGTAATCAAAGGCGGGGCGGCCAGCGCATTCCTAACGCTTAGCACGGTGCGGCACACCGCCAAGCCTTTTGCAATTCAGAAATTTTGAACTAGATTGTTGAGTTATAAAAATTGATTTCAAAGAACCGCTTTACAGAGGCTACAGAGACTTGTTCACAGAGGACAACTATAAAATAATTACCTTCTTTACTCTCCTTAACCACATGCACAAGTTTTCTTATTGATTCTCCATCATTACTTAGCATATGATCTGCAAATTCTATAGTACAAGATTGGCTTATGGCTGCTAATGCACGGATAGCAGAAGTGACAACTTCCTGGAATAAATAAAATATCTAGATAACAGATTTTGAAATTTAGGTTCGGTGCATGGGCTTGGATCAAGCTGTTGTGACACAGATGGCCATGCAACGATGAAAAGTACTAGATCACAATGATTTTCAAACTTTCTGGGTCCAATGCCCCCTGTAGGTTGTATCAGGCAGCCAACGTGCCACAACCCAGCCGGCCAAGTCAACATTCAGATTTTCCCCAATCAAACATAAAAATTCTAATCTGGCAGTTTATGTTAAAAAGGCACTCAAATGGGGAAAATACATAATGTTTTTTTGCTCTTGTCGCCCCACAATTTTTGACAAAATAAGGCTCACCAAAAGCTGATGTAGGAGTCAGCTGACTGATGAATATTTTATCAGTCAGTTGAGAGTTGCCAAACTTCTGTCAAAGCTGATGTTAACAAACAATGCAAGAACTCAAAATACCAAGAATCTCAAGCTCAGGCTATATATTAAATTTGAGAGGATAGAAGTAACTTACATTCGTATCAGAATTAAAACATTTCGTCAACACATGAACAGCGTTATTTTGTATCAATTTTTTCCTGTGGCTTGTTGTATTGGCAAGATTTTTTATGGCACGCAATGCACTGCTCACACAGTCTTCCGTTGTCGTTGGGTATTTGATAAGTTTTAGTATCAGTTCCGCAGTTCCAACCTTCAAATAGATTATGTAAATAATGTAAACAACAACACTTGAGTTGATGAATTAAATATTGAAATGAAATCACAAATACATTTATCTCACCCCATGAATTGTCTTGGAACATTCAAGATTGTTTGCAAGATTTGCAATAGATCGACATGTGCGGGTAATGATTGTCGGATGTTTTATCGTCTGAAGAACCTTAACTGATTTAAAACTTGGATTATAATATAATACAGATATATCACAATATGAAGCATTGCGAACATCTATTTTAAAACAAAGCATTATTCTGAAGACGACCACGGCTCCCGTTTCCAACTCCTGATTGACAAAAAATTTGACTCCCAACTCCGGTTCCTGATTCCAGGTTGAAAGAAATATTTGTGGAATCAGGGACGTCGGCTCAAAACTCCAAGAGAACCAAATTTTGACCACATACACTTTTGTATATGCAAGCCTTCTCATTTCAATTAATGGACTTAATTACAGAAACTTAGAATCAGCAATCTGGAATTTGGCTTCCACTCTGACGTCAGCGCCAAGATGAGTCGGCTTACGATACGAGCGAAAATTTATTATTCCTATAAACACTCAAAACGATATTTTGAGGTCGTGATTTTCAACTTGATTCGAACCTGGCTTTTAGTGCTAAAAATCAGAAATCAATATATTTATATTATATATGAACCACAGATAAACAATGAATTACAAATTTTGCACTCACCAATAGATGGAATTCCTTGGCATTCAGAAACCTGTAAATTTGAGAACATTTTCAAAACAAAATACCAGAACATTCATTTTAAATAATCCGCCTGTCAACATCTGAGAATAGGTTAAAAAAGTTTGGGATCAACTGAAGAACATAATACCAGTTGATCTATCATATGACCTAGACTAGTTATTTGGTAGGGTTAGGGTTAGATGGTCTTGAGATTCTACAGTTGGTCTAACTTGGGGTGGAGATTCTTCAGTTGGGTACCCTGGGGGGGGATATTTTCAGTTGATCCAAAGTTTGAAATTGAGTAAATAGGCAGCAAATTTTCTTTATACGAAGAGTCAATTCAGCCTTTAAAGATTGTTATTTAAATTTCATTTCATTTTAAATTTCATATTATCAAAGTTTGGATACTCTGTGTGGATGTCAGTACCATCAATTAAATATTCAGGAGAAGCCTGGGGTCTGAAACCAAGAAAAGATCTAGAATAGAATCACCGAAAAATATTATCACAGGTTCCAAGGCAGGAATGCATAATAATAAATTGCACATTTTACAAAAAACTTGAGTGTAAAATTTCCTTGTATAGATTCAACTTACCTTTTTTCTAATAATATCTTCTGTTAAACAGTTTGCCAATATACTGATTGTAACATCGAGAATTTTTTTGTTCGGTCTTTGAATAAGTTTGAGAAAACATTCAATTCCTCCTTCGCAAAGAATATCATTTATTCCAGATTGACGTTTAGAAAAAGGACGAATCTTCAATAAAGCATCAACAATAACCGAATCTGAACTTGATGAACTGTTAATACGATCGATCCAACGCTTAATGTTTTTAGACTGAGCCATGGTGATTTTTCAAGAACATTTCATGAAAATAACAGCAATTTTTGATGAAGTTTTCTACTTCATAGGCTCTTTCAATCCATTAAGTCAATTTTAATGATTAACGTTTTGCCCTTGAAGAATCCAAGAGCATGTGAATAATTTTCCTGGAAATGTGATGAAATTAAGAATTTAATGCGAATTTGCTCAAGGCTCCAACATTAGGAAAGTGAATAGGCCTACAGAAATCTGGAAATAGGTAACTAAACTCTGAAACTAAAGAGTTGCAAAAGACCAAGTTCCATATGTCATTATGTGGATCCACCAGTGTGGTAGTGCCCCAAGGTGACATGTGGCACGAGACATATATAAACTGCCAGAATCAAAATACGACTTGATTTAGTGAAGATATAAACGATTAAAAATTACATCAGAAGTTAGCCGGTTTTACGGTATGTGAATTCACTGGCACAGGGGTTATCAATCTTTAAGTGTTACGGAGCCCATAAAGAGGTTGACTATTAATTGCAAAGCCCCACAATAAATTAATAAAAATGAAAACAAAAAAGGCGCATTTCAATAAACGCCGTAAGCACTTCCAGTTGGCGTGGCACAAACATTTTTGCATAGGTCATTCCTAACCCCCATCTGGCTATGTCATCCAAAGATTACATCACTCCGTCACAATCACATCATAGAGCTCGCCAAGCTACGATTGCCCAAAATGCCATCTCCGCCGACGGTAACGAACTCGCTAACGCCATCGATCTTTCTCATATCGGGATCGTTACGACGAGGAAACTAGAGAAATAGCTTGCTTGATTTCGGGTGATCGTCTGCGCGTTTTGGACGTAATTTTTGGATGGCGTAGCCAAGTGCAGAAGTGGGGGTTAAAAATGACATATGCCAAAATGATTATGCAACGCCAACTAGAGGTACTTGATGGCGTTTAGTGGACTAGCCCCCAAAAAAGCACATTCAGACATTGTTATTTACTTAATATTGTCCCAGAGATAACTAAAATTACTTTGTTTAATGATTTGCTGCTTTGTATTTAAAAAATATTCAATATTTTACTGAGTAAACGAATAGCTCGCGGAGCCCCTGGGTTTCTTCAAGAACCTATCCACTAGCAGAATAGTGCTCAGATACGACATGTGGCCGACACTTCTGTTATTAGAGTCAATATTACTGTTGACTGTATTACAGGGAAACCTGGAAACATCTAACATCTTTGTGCATATGTCTATATGTGGGAGAGAATTCTTAGTTAAACTAGAAATGGAGGCTCACAGTAGCTCGGTAAGAAACTATAAGCAGATTAACAATAAAATTTGGTGAGCATCAAATGCTAATTTCAGAATTTTCTGAACATCAAGAATCTTCACTCAGAGTTGCAATGACAGAATGAAAACATACAGTACATACAAAACCCAACTTTTGGCGCGGCGGTGTGGCTCAACGGGCTAAGCGTTAGAAATACGCTCGCCACCGCACCTCTAATTACTCTGCGTGGGTTCGCAGGTTCGAATCCCATGCAGAGATGGTTATGTGCGAGAGGATTGCTGGACTCCTCGCCGTCGTTGGGTGGTTCACGTAACCGCTGGTCGGTTACGGCTTCCTCCACCACCAAGTCCATGCTTCCGAAAAAAACAAAACAGTAAAACTAATCCCATACCCGACTTGGAATGGTAACCGGACGAGAGGCCGTGGTTCGCCATATGGATAAGCCGTCTTATCGGCTTTCCTCTCCCCCGGGATAAATATGTAAATCCTATCCTAATTGTAAAACATTGTCCAGTGCTAAGTAGGACATCACTTGTTTGAAATCAAGCAATCCAACATGAATACTTGAGCCTTTGAAATAAGATGACTTTTGTGGCACGCGTGCAATTGAAGAATTTGTAATTGTCTTTAAAATTGTAACCCCATGCCAGCAAAGAGCTGCATATAATAAACCCTCTTTAACTTTGATATTCTGAAGTGTTGATTTATTTTATGCCATTCTTCATTGTTTTGGACGATGCTGCAAGGTACCGGTACTGAGGTATGGTACCGGTAGGTACCGTACCGGTATGGTATTCACTTTCCAGCTTTCTGCAGTTCTGTTAGTATAAGTATAAGTTTATTTCGACTCCATAATCAGCAATAGACGATAAAAAAAATAGATAAAAACAAAAGTAAAAGTAACTGATTATAGAATCGGGAAAGCGAACAAAACCTAGAGTAAGGTTTGAAACGTACAGATTTTAGATGGAAAGGTATTGATAAAAGAAGTAGTACGTGTTCGCTCACCCAAAAGTGAAAAAAAAAAATGCGGCGCCAATTAGGCAATGCATACATATGGCTCACTAATATTTCAAATGAATATAACTCATTTCTTTTTTTTATTATGAGCTTTATCCTTACTCAGTAGATATTATTATTTTTTTTCTTTTTACTGCCAATAATTTATATATTTTTGATCACATTTTCAACCACTTTACTTGGATTATGTGGCACTTAGGACACAAGCATATTTTAACTTTTCTTCAGTCACATATTTATTTTTGCTCAAAGGTATTTCATTGTGTGAGTGTGTAATTGAACCTGCTTTTATTGTTTTGATAAATTCTTCTACATCTTAATGTTGCTTACCAGCATTGGTAGTTGTATGAATATTGTTTTGGCAAATGGTTCCAATGTATATAGCTATATTTTGTATTTTTCCCAGACACACTGCCCTAATCTTTTTTGCTGTGTTCACTACTGGTCATGCTTTGAATTTGCGGCTATTTCAAGCCTGTCTGTAGGCAACTATAGCACTTTATTTTTGTGCTTTTCGAACAACATCATTCTATGATGGCTAACATATTTTCAAGGCCCTATTTCATATCCATAAGGAGCATGACCCCACTTGCATAGCACTCTTATTGAAATTTGCTGTGTTCAATATTTGTTAGCAAACTTATCAAAGAAATAATCTATGGAATCAATTTGGAATTATTTTAGTGATTCTGCAAATTTACACTTTATTTCCAATGTTCAAAACTTCATGCTGCCTTTCATGCATGCTTTTTTTTTATCTGGTTCGTACATTTGATAAATTATTGGCGAATTTTTTATGTATTTGAAAGCAAGATGTTTCCTACAGCTATTTACTTATTTAGCAATACACAATCTAGAATTCCAGACCCAGAGTTTGCTGCATTCAAATATTTGAAATCAACATCATTTATATATAATATATATGAAAATGGGGGTAAATTCTGGTGATTACCCTAATTGGACGGAAGAGGTCGTCAGAAGTCTATTACATTTTTTTATCTACATAAATTTTGTTATATTTTGTGTAAGTTGTCCACGGATCCCTTAAAAAGCACTGCCCGATGCTGAATCGTGTTTTTTGTATTCTTGTATTAATAATTTTTTTCGGTGGGCGGGCGCGTACTTTTACGTTTTTTAACTTTATTTTAAGTTATGCTCGCCTTCCAGGTATCTCTGCACTTTGTTTGTTTGTTTGTCCAGTTTTTGTGTTGTTTTGTTTTTATGTCAGAGTACCGAAATAAATGATTGATTGATTTTATCCAACCAGTAAAAACAAACACAAACAATATTCAAAAAAGAGGTAAGTATACATTTTCACTTTGGAATGGAAGCCGCGAAGAACCAAATCTGGTTATCGAGCAGCACCCAAGGTTTACTTTTAATATCTAGTTAAAAAGATCGGGTAATTTGATTGAAATAGTCCAGTGGCGGCGCGTCAATAGGGCCAACCGGGGCAATATCGGTTGCACAGACTGTCTACACTAGCCATATTCTCCCGACATGGTTCATTTTTCGCTCGCAAAGCCTTCGCCGAACGTCGACGGGGCGACGCCGATTTTGCCCCGGTTGCTCATTGTATATCGTATTCTCTCTTTTATCTTCCACTCGCCGCGTTTGTCTCGTTTGTTTTCTGTTTCTTTTACTAAATCATCGGGGCTAGCCCCGAAATTATGACGACACAATGCCGACGTTTCTTACAACAACGTGTTGACATATTCACGCATTCCTTCTCGTTCGTTGGTTGCTTGAAGAGTTGATAGTTTCCTCGCCTTCGTTTTTGTCGCTTGTTTCGCTATTTGAATCAGTTAGAGACCTTTAGTCCATTTGCTTTCGATTTTCCACATTCCTTTTGAGCTCCTCACTTCTTTCCGGCTTCGCATTTCTTAGCCTTAGACCTCATAATGAATAAGGTTGATGCACTACTTCGCACTCCGTTTTCGCAGCTGCCGCTGGAACAAAAATTGGAGGTACAACGTCTTGGGCCTTATCAACCAAAAAATTGTTCACTGGAACAATCCCATGACGGAAGAAAGCGTCGGCCTACATTCTGCGCAGAAACTTGGTATAAAAAACACGAATGGTTGTGTTACAGCGAGGACAAAAATGCACTTTTTTGTTTTTATTGCCTACTTTTTGCTACCGCCCGTGACTCACGTTGGTGTAAATTTGGTTTTAGAGATCTTAAACATCTTTCCGAGCGTGCCAGGGATCATCAATCTTCTATGGAGCATCTGGACAATGCAGTAAAATACCGAACATTCGGAAATGTTAATATTGCAGCACAGTTGGATGAAGGACGCGCGGTTTCTATTCGTCGGCACAACCAAAACGTCGAGAAAAACCGCCATGTTCTCGGTCGATTGATAGATGTTTTGAAGTTCATTGGTTGTCACGAGCTGTCCCTCCGTGGGCACGATGTACGGGCTGGCTCTTCTAATGGAGGGGTATTTTTGAATATGGTGGAATACACCGCATCCCTAGATACAGTATTGAGAGATCATCTTGATGCCGCAACTGTTTGGAAAGGGACATCTAAGGATATCCAAAATGATTTGCTCGACTCGATGTATAAAATTTATTTACAACATTTGGCTCTGGAAATTGAGAATTGCCAGTTCCTTTCGACTCAGTCTGACGAGACAACTGACATCACGTGCGTTTCCCAACTGGCTGTGATTTTTCGATTTGTGAAAGATGGTAAACCTACCGAGAGATTTCACAGCTTTGTACCAATCGTTGATCGCACGGCTTGCGGGATATCGGCTGTACTGAAAGAAGTGTTACAGCCTTACAACGCGAAGTCAAAATTGATACCCCAACCTCTGATGGCGCGGCAGTCATGAGTGGGTCGAAACATGGTGTTCAAGTTTATATAAAAAAAAGATTTTCCTCATGCGCATTTTTTACATTGTTATGCACACCAATTTAACCTCGTTATTAAAAATATGTGTCTTGATACGCTTCTCGTCCGTATATTTTTTGCAAATGTTTCGGGGTTTTCTTCATTTTTTCCGTTTCGCCGAAGCGCTCTGACCTCCTTCGCCAGATATGTAGCCGCCGTCTCCCAGCTTGTGCACCAACACGTTGGAACTTCCAATCACGCGTGGTGCAGGGCGTGTCCGAAGTTAGGTCTGAGCTCATTGAGTGTTTCAATGGCATTCAGAGCTCTCCGGTTTGGGACGAACGCTCTGTGAGGGAGGCGGCAGGTCTAAAGCGTCTGCTAGAAGATGGTGAGTTTTCATTTTTTTCTCGCTTTTTTCTCCACAATATTCTATCACGTGGATGTATTATACGGCGCATTGCAGTCAAGGCTAATGGATGGAGCGTCTGTGCAGTCGTGTATTTCAGACTTCTGCGATGCTGTATCTCGTATCCGGGAAACAATAAAATACGACGACACATGGAGTGCTTCTTTACGGCGCGGGCAAACAACGCAGCGTTTGATTTTGTCTGCAAAGGAATGCTGTGACATTCTGGTGAATCAAATAGGCGATCGTCTGCGCACTGAACACCTTGCCGCGTTCTCTTTGATGAACCCCAAAAATTTTTCAAAATTTGCACGTCAATTTCCCATCCATTTGTTGGCTACTGTCTCCAAATTTTACCCCATGATAAACGTGGGTAAATTGGAAAATGAATTACGATGTATATACACCAATCAAACTTTTTTGAACATCACATCAACTTGCGCGCTCTATGGGTTCCTCATAGATAGCACTCTAGTAACTACCTTTGCGGCGTCTGCAAAATTTCTGGACATCATTTTGACGACGCCTATTTCTTCCGCCGACGCAGAGCAAACATTCAGCACGCTGAAGCGTATCAAAACGTATCTCAGAAACACAATGAAGCAAGATAGATTAAATTCCTTGACTGTTTTATCCATTCACAGAGACGTTATTTCTGGGATGCATGACTTTAATCAGCGCGTTATTGAGCATTTTGCTTCCAAGAAACCGCGGCGTGTTGCATATATGTTCAAGCAGTAGAAGTCTAGCAGCATATATATCTATGAGTGAGCGACGCATGTCCTTATCTTTGCATTACCTTTCCTTTCTTCATAGTAACGTTTTAAACCTTATTTTAGGTTTTGTCTGCTTTCCCGAAGTTTCTGTTAATATGTTATTGTATTTATCTGGGTAAATATTGCCTTTTCTTTTGAAAGAGGTTTCAAAAAAAAACTATGTCTATATTTATTAATCCCTTGACTTGGATCGGTTTTAAAGACACTTTCTTATCGTAAAAAATTGTCGCTTTTGCCGATTGGTTGTTACCGATGGAATGGTTTTTATACTCATAAAATGATGGGAGAACTTACAGCGCTCATACTGTCCCCGTAGATGGGGGTGACTTGGTCCCGCAGTAGCTTGCCCCGGTTGTCAAAATGACCACGCGCCGCCACTGTGAAATACTGTTATTGGCGGGGAGTGCCATATGGTTTTGTCGATTTATATAACTAAAATATATTATTAGAAATAGATAATTATTAGAGATTATTTACGAGATGCATAAATCGTAGACGAACGGGGGGATTCAGGAACATAATATTTATTTAAACCATGCTGGTCTGTCGAGTGCGCAAAGATCAACACCACTTTTGATTTCCATATGTCTAGGTCAATTCTGGTAATTTTATTCTCTCGTTTATCATAGTTTATTGCCAAAAAACGTCCCTAATCGAAGGCCATGCTCTTTATACTAGACCTATATATTGAATATATGCAAATGTAGTACAGTTGCGTTATTTCGCTGAAAGTCAATGTGCGCAAATGTTCATGGGTACAAATATCCCAGCATGCAAATGCCGTTGGGTTCGATCGATATGCGGAGCCTACAGTCGTCCGTCCATTCATACCTTTACAGGTGGTTGCTAGCTACCCCACTTTTGGCCAAAGAATGTGTATTAAAGATCCTTATTTTTTTTTTCGAAATTGTCAATACTCAATTCATCTTTCAGTTCCTAATAGCTGACCACAAAAGACGATGTGGTTACATACGATTCAATTGGGCGTTTATTATATCACTTATGGATAGATTAAATAATAATTACCTGATGTCAGTGGCATGACAGGAATCAGTCCTCGACGTGGACAATATTTTCTTGCGCATTTCAAAACATGTTTTTCTGTCGTGAATAATATAAATGCTAAGGCGTTTTAGTTAACCTAATTAGTCGAAAAGGATAGATGGAATGAGTTGTTCAACTGATTTATTAAGACGATCTGATGAATTTTGGTTTGCAGTATTACTTACCGGTATTAGTGTTAATGATTTTAGGAAGGTAACTCTGAAAAATGACTCGATTTAGTGTGATTTATCGTTGTTTTCTAGACGTTTTGCTGCTTATATGCTGCAATACTGCATATGTCGTCGGCTTTGAAGGGAATTGTCCAAAACACCCAGGTAATGTACAATAATACTCCACTTTTTTACTAATAGTAGAGATTTTTCAGGCACTGTGCGCCTGAAAATTAACGCCTGTCTATCGCTTCGCTTCCATTGCAAAATGAGTCTCCTGAAATCTCAGGGCCGTTTTTGGACCAGCCGCCGAGAACGTAGCTAAAGTTGGACCTATTAATGCGACTCAACATGACGCTAACTCGGGCTTTTCGCTCCGAACAAGGCCAGGTGAGAGCAGCCACTAATTTCTAACGATATGTTATTGACGAATCTCTCAACAGGCTCACTTCGCTGTCGTGGTTATACAAGCATGGCCCCCTGACAGGCCTATGGAAGGATCCACATTACGTATATAATTAATTTATCATTAGTAATCGGCAATCATCAATACAATATAACTTAGAAATTCATTTATCTAATACGTTTGCAGAAAAATATGGAGAGACTAAAACAATCTCCAACATCGAATATTTCTACAATGTTTCAAGAACAAGTGAAGACAAAATCGAAGTTTCTCTGGTAATAACGTGGGATGTTATCGGCAATCATGGTTAGTCTCTACCTAAATATTTTAAGCAAAGCGGAGGCAGAATTATGACAACTCAATTTTCTTGTTTGTGTATAGGTTCAGAATCCGATGGAATACTATTTAATACGGGCAGTGCTCTAAGTAGTGAAAAAGCAGAAATTGACACAAGAAATACGCAAGCTTTGACAAAGTTGGTTCATTTTGATGTTGGAATTCTTCCCGATATTTAACAGACCAATTATTATTTTGGAGATTTATATCACGACTAACTTCGAACAAAATTGAGTATACCCTCGAATATACTGATGTACAAACTACGACCTTAGTAAAAGCATTAACCTAACTATTTTCTTTGATTCGTCATAATGAACCTGTAAAAATATGTTAATTATGACTCATGGTTAGATATCACAAGGCTTTAGAAAACTTTTTGTCATAAATTGAGCCTTCCATCACCGAAGTATGAATATTGCTCCTCATTGATCGACCAATGCCGAAATGCAATTAAGTTTTTGTAAATTTCATTTTTAATTCAATCAGATTCTAAGTGGGGAACTCAAATTTCACAATAACTTTCTAAAAACATTTGAATTCGCAACAAAGTTATTTTGTAACAAATATCCTATTTTTTCATAAATAGGAATATACCACGAATCAAAACTAAAGATAACTTTTCTGTAAAAAAAAACAGCATGTCTTTTTCATTCAGGGAAGAAGAACAAATTTGCAAAGACTTACTATTTTATAACAGGACAAACCTCACAAAAGACAAGTTAAACATTCTCTGTAGACATAATGGAAACCGTTACGTGTGTCTAAATTGCACAAAAAATAATCTTTGTAGAGCAATAGATAATTATGCATATTTAGACAAGGTAATGTATGTCAAAGATTTGTGACATTCTGTTTATTCTCTTTTGTAAAGAACATTATTCGATTTGCTCCAATATAGGTAATTTCTCATTTGGAAATCACTCTTTTTTGAATACAATCTTTCTCATGGCTTTTATCATGTAACAGGAAATTTTGAGGAACTAATTTTGAGGAAAGATTTATCCTTTAAATGAGTATAAATAAGGTGCGAAGTTGCCCCCAAAGACGCCAGTGAGTGACGAGACTGGGTTTCATTGAAAGGACGTTATGTGGTCCTTGATTAAAACGAGTGAAATCCTTGTTAAGTTTGTATATTTCAATCCTCAATTTAAAACGACGTAACGACGATAAAACCATTTATACAAATCGAAATAAAACGGTAAAATAACTTCAAGTTGGAATGTCAGACAGAATCTTGCGTCTTTGATGTGTGTCTTGCCGCAGCTAAAAGTTGAGTGCCATCAAAAATTTAAAAGCACAAAACCAAGCGTGGTCAGCATGACGAAGCACCTATTCATTAAGCGAAGGGAAGTAAAAACGAAGCAATATTTTCTGGCCTAACGCAATATTCTTTTGCATAGGAGACTCGTCGCCTGCAATGGAACAATGTGCAATTCGGCCAGAATCACGATATCGTCTTCAGAACTTATGTAAATTACACTATGAGTGAAAAAACTCGAATGGATTTCTACGGATTTTGCATGCATGAGCTTGTTGAAAGACAAAATATGAACGAGTTGGAAGCTTCAAAACTGTGCAAACATTTGGAATTTGATTCTGGAGGTCACTGCATTCTTTGTATTTGACGAATAGAAATCAGCACGATTGTACGATTGTATTTATGCGTCATATAATTTAGAGTTCATTTGTAAAAATGAAATGCAACATAATTCTTAGTCTTTCTAAACTTCCGTATTTTATGATTTTCAAAAAGTTTGAAGCTGCTTCACGACCGAATTTTGAAAATTACTAAAAATAACGTTTATAGAATAAAAAATGATCAAAACATAGATACTAAAGTTACTGATAATATAATTGTATTGTTTTAATTTATGGCTTAGTATATCCTGTTACTCAGCGAGTACGGTGGTTTCAATTGATCATTCATGACAGCCTATCCCCTTTTATATATATTTAGGCGATTACTGTTCTGGACCAGTATCAAGTCTTGTTATGAAACCCAAATACGATCTCGCAAACAATTCAGCTTCGGTAGAAATATCTTGGAATCTTCCACTCGATATTGCAAAAAAATCAAAAGTAACTTCTTTCAGAATAGAATTGGACGGTCAAGAAGGAAATGAAAAGGTAATCTCACCAAATGGTACAATTATTTTCAACTATTGTAAATATTTCTTTAATTGCAAAAATCTCTAATTCGTGTAGACAATATGGTGTGCCGATCATCAGTGCTTACAGTTTAAAGTTACGGGCTAAACTGCTTTTGCCAAAAACTCAATAATAAAACAGCTAATCCGAAGGCGTTGGATCCTAGGTATGTTGAAATAGCAAGATAATAAAAATTTGGGAAATCCAATGCCCACAACTCAACTCAGAATTAATAAATTCGGTAGAAATCGCCAATACGAGAAGATTAAAGTTTTCCCAAAATGTACCTGCCTGGGGCAGGGCTACTCAACTATTTTCACCAAGGATCTGTATTCAAAATTTAAAAATATATTGGGTTCTGTCATTCCAGAAAATATATATATATATATACTCTATTATGTAAAAAAAAAACTTCAAATGCATCGTTCAACAAAATACAAAAGCAATGCACAGTGTCGTTCCTTGGTATTAACTGGAAGAAAACGATGATAATGCTTACAATACGAGAAGCAGATGTGATCCGAAATGAATAATCGAAGGGTCCCGATTTGGACCCCGGTCTGCCAGTTGAGCAACTCTGGCTTAGAGGATGATTGTACTGATTCTTATTAGAGGTGAAAAGCGTATGAGAAGTTATGCACCTGTTCTAGACCCAAACAATTTGAGCCTTCCCTTCCTTCCTTGTAAAATTAATCTAATTCCATAGCATATTTCGTTGCGAAGAGCATTGATGTGTTGTTGTAATTAATTCCCGCTAATGCAAATATCTTGTACGTTATAGTTTTTCGTTACGGAAACTTTACGCAATCAAAAACAATTCACATGGAAAACAGATCTAGAAATTAATGCAGAGTATTATGTAGGAATCACCCCACTGTGTGGAAAAAAGGAAGGTTATTCTATATACGATAAAATCGTGTTAAAAGGTTTGTATGTTTCTCTAATGTTTAATATTATTTAAACAATCCAGTAATATGCTTTTCGTTCTACTTAGAACATTAAAAGTACAGACGTATACTGGAAATCTTCATCGAAAACACAAATTCCATTAAGGAAATATCTTGTTGTATCAAATTAATTCTAAACAGTACCGGATATATCAAACACGCCTTAAAACATTGAAACAGCATTAATGCAAATCATCACTTTGTTCAATTTCAACTTTTCAAATTTATGGACAAAGTACACGATAATATAGCACAGGGAGACCCAGTACTATAGACAGAACCCCGGTCACTTGGAACCTATTCTAGTGAGAACAGAACTTTTGTGCAAAGCATCGAATGAATAAGGGAACTTTTGGGCACAGCAATCATACACAAACAGAAGTGCAAATCTTACACGAATTCACTTCATTTTTGTAGAAGTAATTAAGAAAGTATGGGTTCTGCTTTTGGGCCAATCAGAATAATTCATATTTCAGATATTGACGCATGCAGTCCGCCGGATATTCCATCATACTGTGATGTGAATGCAAGATGTATAGATTTCGAATCCACAAGTAAAGTAGCAGCGAGATGCCAATGTGGTCAACTTTACGCTGGAAACGGGGTGAATACATATTGGAATGGCTCTGGTTGTCGACTTGATTGTGGAAAAATCAAAAATCATTTATGTAGTAAAACTGCTGTATGCTCGAATTCAACATTAGAATGCACATGTCCAAGGTCAGTTGAGAGTACTTAGAAATGGGAAAATCAAATTTGATAGAAAGTATAATAGTACGTTGCACATCATCGCCAAATTTCAGCAAAAAATGGGTCATAAACTGATCTGTACCAAATATAATCTGAGCACGGCTTGGGCAATATTATGCAAATCTTAGTGAATATTGTCGCTTTTAAATGCATAAAATGATTGGTCTCAAATATCAATTTAAACGAATACATTTGCGCGCACAGAAACGAGAAACTGCAAGTAAATTATTTCCAATTGACACAATTCATCACGAAATTGTTTATGATATATCGAATTACACGGAAAACCAAGAATTTTATCCGACGCACGAGGAGATCAGATATAAACCACGAAATTCAATGGTAAACCTTGTGTCAGCCTACGAGGAAACGAATTCCGTGCTCTCACAATTTAACCGCAGGTCGCATTTCGGCTTCCCATGAGCTCAATACTGTTTGACCTGAGCGTTTTCTGCTTATATGACCGCTGGAGTAAAATTCCTTTACTTAGAAATCGGGTAATACCTATTTATCCCACATGAATGTGTTGAATATTCATAAAGTAATTGACATTTTCTGAGAAATAACGCAATACAGTTTGCGAACGACGATCTTCCGATCACCTTGCATATTCCAAAAATATAAAAACCTCTTGTTGTTCAACTCAGTCAGTAACAAACCTTGTTCATTTCCATTAAAGCAGTGTTTCCCAATTTCTTTCGTTAAATTCTTTTCTACGCTTATATATATTGGAACTGTCCATTCTTTCCTCACCATTCATTCAATGTTTGGACTCTTGTCTAGTCTTACACACAAGTCGCACTCCCGCTTTTATACATATTAGTTCGTTTATAAAGTGTGCACAAATCGGTACTCCCGTAGTATGTGTACCATGTTTGGGTTAGGTCATAATTTTATAGCTATTTTTTATTTCAGTTATATTACGAGTGCCTGTGTTAGCCAAGTGAATATACCCCCTGTCCTTTATGCTTCAGTCCCTTTACACAACTTGATGTGAAGTAGGCGAACAAAATTAGTTACCTCTATATTGGTACACACTCTTCTGAAGCGCCGAAAATCAATACCATAGCAATAATAAAGAACTAAATACTATTAGTAATACTTCAGTAAATACAAAGCAACTCCCCCACCCCAACCCCAACAGCCCCCGGTTGAGAAATCACCTTGCTGTCGAAATTCCCAATCTCGTTTATATATGTTTTTTTCGGTTCCATTACATTTGAACCCACGTACATTTGAACCCATGACAATTGCACCTGTATGCGATTGCACCTATGGAATTTTTTTTTGTTTACGGATAGTTAAACCCATGGGTTTTAGCACCCGCATATAGATTGAACCCGTGGATATACGCATGGGTTCAAATGTACATGGGTTCAAATGTACGGTCACCGTTTTTTTCCATCGTGGTTAGTTGTTTCATTCAAACGCATGGTGCAGTATTTCGCATCGTTTATAGACCTACTCTATCCATGACGTTATCATTACGTAAGTGATGTCATGTATTCTCTTCGTATTGTTAAGATTGTCATTTGGCGATGGATTACTAAAAGGATCTGGATGTACCGGAAACGAAATTTTCATTCTTCCAACAATTGCATTTCTAATAATTGTTATCGTGATATGCTTCGGAGCCAGGCGCTGGAAACAACGGTAATAAACTTTATTTGGTAGTATTAGTAGTATGATGTGAATACCTACGGTAAGTAGAGATCAGAAGACGAAGTGCTACGACAGTCATCCAATTTTAATAATTCGTTACTAGCTGTCGTACCAAATGATTCTCGGTTCAATTCCAGAATTTTTTTCACCATGTTAAGAGAAATCGTCGCTGAGCATATGTCGGGTACTGGGACCGAGGCAAAGATTTAACAAAGAAGACTTTAGTTCATTCAATCGGACTATGAGTTGTCAAAGGTTCAGATTTACAGCATTTTTAACCTTCGAAAATTATGACAACAACGGGGCATAATTGTTCGGGGTTTTATTTGCAGAATCAATCCAACTATGCCACGAAGAAATTACGCGGACATTATTTACCAGATTAAGTTATGGTTTAGATAAGAATCATAACAGTTGCCACACATTTCGAAAAAACATACCTTCTTATTATACTATCAGTTGGTGCTATCAGTTCGCGCAGGTGGATCCCTATTCTTCAAAAAGCAAGGATGCTTCAAGAATAAATATGACTATTCCATGTGATTTGAAAGTTTGGCTGCCTAACTAACGCTGATATATTTCAGTAACGTTTTGTGTTATCGAGGTCAGATTTCCAGAATAGCTGAAATACGCTTATCTGAAAAAACGTTTGTGCTAGACGTATATTTGTGTTAGTGTGCAGCAGACCTTTAATCACACAGACTAGACTTTTTCATATTACTTGTAAACTTAATCTATGTTTATTTCATTTATTATAGCAACGAAATGAGAAAAAGGTCTTCAATATTTGTCGTAGCATACGAGAATGACGAGGGAGCGAAACTTGGTACCGTAAAAAATATTTCAACTGTTTTCGAAAAATGGGAAGTGGATCGTAAAGATTTATTTCTGGGAGGTAATTAGTATTACCCTGTAATTAATGATTCCGTATTTAGGTTTTATTACCTTTTAATTAATTAACAAAGTACAAAATCCACGATTAATTTGGACTTTATTTTACGAGTCATGCTTTTAGGGAAGTCATGCATTGTTTCTTAATACTATATTGTATAGAATATTTTACAACTATACATAAGAGCTTGGGATATGGAAATACGGAAACCACTGCTGTCACATAGGTAGCCGTGACCTAAGGCCAGACCTGAAATGACGCCTTTAAAAAGAGAATACATGTAAAACTACTTAAATTACCATAAAGGACCAAAAGTGTTTCAAATGGCCAACCTGCATTTGACTGTTTTTGTTATATTTACAACCATTTAATCTGATTTTCAAAATAAATCGGTAATATGTGTACGACGTATACTGACGAATGTGCACGAAAATTCCGATGTTGTCAATACGCAAAATTTCCTTTGAATGTCTACTTGAGATTGCTAGAGTTCTTACGTCAATTTTCCAAGCAGTTTATTGCACTTGTAGTTTATTCAATGTTATTAAAGTTTCAATTTTAGCTTTTTTTTTAATATTATTCACAGTTGAAATTTTTGTACATATTTTAATTTTTTTTCAACGGTATAAAATAAAGACGATATTTTTCTAGACGTTTTAGGAAGAGGGAAATTTGCTGTTGTAAATAAAGGAATTCTAATAACTAGCAAAGATGGCGTCATGAAACACATCGATGTTGCAGTGAAAACGCCTTCGGGTTTGTCATTATTAGATTTATTCTTATAGGGTTTTGGATATATCGAGCTCCCTAATTTGTTTTGTACGCCTTTCGTTTAGTGCCGAGCCCTGTACAAACTGCCACTGATATCTAACGATATGTAAGGTATTATCATATATTTGGAAAACCGGTATCTGTCCGGTTCGGCACTGCCTACATAATTTATTACACCCTGGATGAGGTTGAGACTTGGATGCGATGCCAACTTAGTTTGTCGAACTCTTTAACCGTTAGTCCTTGATCCGTCAGAACGGCTAACAAGGAATTGGCGGTGAAACATCTAAGCAAAAATCTGAGCAGTGATATTTGAATATTTTCTGCATTTAAATGAGAAAGTGATCTCACTTTCTTGAGAATCCTGTAATTACATTCAACTGAACCAACACGATTTGTAGATTATACTTTCGAAATTGTCGTTGAAAATTTGAGATTGAATGTGATCTAATAACCATTTTTTATCAATCCAATTCCAAAGCGACGATCAATTACTTTTCTATGGTCGATATGGCAGTCATTTAGCAAAAATTACTTTTAACTGCCACTTACTGATTACTTTTAACTGCTAGTTTACTATTTTGAAGCATTTTAATCGTGTATTCAGACGGAAGACCAGATGATGAGTTTCTCAGTGAAATGCATCTTCTTATGTCTACGGAGAAGCATAAAAACATTGTCAGTGTAATTGCGTGTTGTACTGCGGATTCTCCTATTTTGCTGATAACTGAGTACTTAATGTACGGTGATTTGCGCAACTTCCTTTTGGAAGCAAGAGAGGTATGATACAGTTGCTCCCATTTTTCGTATACATTTCGTATATATCATATACAACCTGCTCAAGTCTGCGACTCCCGGTCATCTGTTTATTTGCCTAGTTTTGTAATAGAGCTGCTGCTTTGTATTTTTACAGTAGCATGGACTATACCCAATTGCTTGTGGGTTATGAAATCCTCCACTATTTAAGTCATTGTATTTTTAACGATCAATTCGCTAAATATTCCCGCAGTCGACCTGAGTAGTTAACCGAACAAGAGACTCAGAATATTTACAAAATATCCCACCTTCAGAGGCTTCAAAAATTATGCCACACACTTTTATGAAAATCCCATGCCACATATATGAGGTGGGATTCATGTTAGGTTTTAGGTTAGCATAGATATAATACTTCGGCTAAAAGGTTAGAGTAAGAATAATATGAAGTTGATAAAATTGTAGAAAAGCGAGATACGCCTTTTTTGAGACTCGCTAAATTAAACTAAAATGCGGATGCGGATGATGTATGCACATATGTGTAACAATTGATCTATCTAACCTTTGATTATTTAACATTAATTCAGGATAAAAACTGGAAACGGGATGACACATATCTATTGACCGATTCGGATATTTGTAGAATTTGTAAACAAATTGCTGATGGAATGCAACATCTAGCTCATAATAGAATAATACATGGAGACCTAGCTGCAAGGAACGTACTTGTTGGAAAGGTTTGTTATATGTTTGTCGTATAAAAGTTCAGTGGAGCCAGTCATCGTTAGATTTTAGCAATAATTACACCTTCTCACCAGTGGTGAGATTCAACCTTTTTGTCAGCCGGTTCCATCACAAAAGTCATAGTTTTTCAGCCGGTTCTGTTACAAACAGAACATTGACAGTACTAGTGATTTTAACCGGTTTGCTGATCTCATAAATTCCGTGTGACGGTTCTATAGAACCGGTGCGAACCGGCTGAATTCCACCACTGCTCCTAACTACGTAGATATATCAGGTTTTCTAATTTTAAGTATTGAAGTAGCGTTTTATGGCGCCAGTTATGATATTTTTGATTTTCAGTAACTTCCTAAAAATTTTGGAAGTTTTCAGAATCAAATTGATACTCTCATAGAAAAACTATAGCAATTGCTCGATTGTTTTGTGGTCAACTGCAGATTCACGATAACCGCCTCTTTCGCACATATGAATGACCGCTTACACATAGTGCGATTTTAGGTCCAATACCGAACAAATAAAACACCAATACCAACGTACAAAGCTTTATTTAATTGATGTTTTTATTCGAATTTTTTTATGAGGCGGTTTCATACTTCCACTCTGTACCATGATAACGTAGTGAGGTACAATTATGAAAAATCTAGAATCTTTCTGTTTCAGCATTGCCCTCCCAATTTATTTTGGTGAGTGTGGCAAGCACAGTAATTGAATCCGACATTTTTAGCTGCTATGTCAACATATTAACTACCCTCGCGTCCACATATGCCACAAAACTAGGATTTTTTATATATTTTTCTGTCTTAAAAATATGCATTCACAATAAAACAGGATCTTGTCTGCAAAATATCAGACTTTGGTTTGGCGAACGATGTTTATAGATACGGAGAAATAAGAAACGCGATGGAAAGAAATGTTCCTTTCAAATGGACGAGTCCGGAAAGAATGGAACGTGGAAAAGTACCTATTACTTGGCGAAGCGACGTGTGAGAGACCTTAATACACTCAAAGTTTAGTTATTTCCATTGTATTCATTCCAAACATTTGCATTTTTTGTGGCCACTCAAGTAATTCATTAACTCGAATCGGGCTAGACCTAAGTCACCATTCATCAACTAAACTAACCGTCAGTGATTGACTCAACACAAGACCCAGCCTGTGACTTCAAGGGTTTACCGGGAATCACTCACGCATATTAACCTAGATTAACGCGATTCGGAATATTTGATCGTTTTGATTTCATGCGAGCAAATCCGTTTTCCAGACATTTCAATCCTGTCCAAAAAAATTGTTCAAATCAAGATTCAAATATCTATATTCAAAATGAGGAAAATCACTAAAAGGTAGAATTGCCCGCGACTACGAGCCTGTATTGCAATACCAACATTTGGGATTTGAGAATACTTAATGAGATCTGAGCTCAATTGCCATTAAAAAACAGCCTATTTAATTTTCTACCAGATGGTCTTTCGGAATCGTCATGTATGAAGCAATCACTCTCGGTTCTTCTCCATTTCCGAATATTACTTCGACAGATGATTTGTATTTGAGGCTTAAAACAGGATACAGGATGGGTCGCCCTATGAGCTGCAGTAAAGAGTTGTAAGTCTCTGTATTCCTCAGTTTGTGATGGGCTTTTGGGGTCAGTTATGTCATTTAGTTTTTAAAGTTCCAACATTTCATAAAGTCAGTTTGAACTCCACCACGACACAAATAAATGACAACCCACAACAATTCAGAAAAGTTGCCAAAATTTCAAACGAGGTTTAAGCATGCGGTATAATACAACCACTTGAAAAATCGGCATAAGAGCATTTTGCTGTAAAACAAGTATTTGCAATAAAACAGTTAGATTTTTGAAGTACTTTTTTATTTAAAAAATATTAATTATATAAGAGCATACCCTAACCCAGGCCTGGGCAAGTTGCGGCCCGCGGCAACGTTTTATCCGGCCCGTGAGCAAGTTTCTAGATTTAGACGTTATATAATAACATTCGACTAAATTTCCTTTAAATCGACGATTGTTTTCGTCATCTCGAGGTGTTATTTAGAACGTAAACACCTTTACGTCGGCGATTAGTCTCTCCAAGTCACAAATTTTCCTCAACATATACATGTCTTGTATACGGAACTGTGAAACCATTGAAAAAAACGAGTTATCATCGGCGACGAGATGCTAAAGATAAATAAAGGAGTGAATCTGCAAGCAACCTAAATCTAGATTTGGAGCGGCAATATAAAATACTAAAAAATGAACAGAAACAAGTTATGATCAAACGGCTCGCAACAGATTAAAAACGCTTTTGTGAAAATGGAAACTAAAAAATGTCTGGTGCCCACGACGAACATCTTAATTGCATAGCCTTCGTGGGCGCGATGTAGCCTACCTTTTGATCAATTCTAAAACTACCGACGGGCATGATTTATCGTACGTATTTAAATGTGTAATAAAATACAATAAAAACACGCAATTGACTCTACTTAGTCCGGCCCGCCACTGCATTTTGAATAATTATTCAAAGTGGCCCGATACCAAAAATAATTGCCCAGCCCTGCCCTAACAACTTAACTGTTTTTATCACAAATAATTGTTTTACAGCAAAATGCTCCCGCGGCAATTTTTTATGCTATCACAAATACATGTTTTACAGCAAAATGCTCTTGCGGCGATTCTTCATGCTATCACAAATACGTGTTTTACTGCAAAATGCTCTTGTGGCGAAATTTCCTACAAAGAAATTTCCGGACACGACTGTGGACACCTATCCCGTCACAAGTTTTATATATGGCACTTACTATTATTTAACGATAAATTCTTGTTTCAGTTACGAAATTATGAAAAGTTGTTGGCAATGGATTCCTTCAAATCGTCCTTCGTTCAAAACACTTTCGGATATGCTGAAAAGAAATCAGAATATTCCTGGAACTTACGTCAATATTCAATGTGAATAAAAATATGTGAAATAAAGATCTGGTGGAACATAGTAAATAAGGATCTACTCGGACAAAAAATTCAAATATAACAAGCAAAAATATTGATTTTTTGTCACTGTATTTTTGAGTGTGGTATATATATGCAGTGATGAGCAGGAAAAATCGTAACAACCATAACGTAACTAATTCGTGAAAATGTATTATATTTACAGTCCACGGACGCTTTCCCCGAGTTGTGTTTTTCCTTAAAAAATGACATATTTTCATAAAGTTCATCGCCATGTAACATTTGAAACTTATCCAGCAGACCAGACACTTATTTTAATCAGACAGATTTTCAGGCGCGATTGTGAATATTGTCTTGTTTATTTATTTTTGGGTTTTGATAATATTTCCAAAATACTAGTATAAATAAAATGAATTGCCAGAATATACGACGCTAAAATCTGTTGTCATTACTTTATAACATCTGTTTGATTAATTTTGAATAAAATGGTGTTTTTGAAGCGCTCAACCTGCCGGTACTTGAAAACCCTTTTCAAAATAAGCGTGGAAAATATCATAATGATTAGATATAGACGTTTTCCCTATCTTTGTCCCCAGAAAATTCCTCCTCATACTTCACTTTTGCACACAATTTTACGCCTGTTTTGAGAGTGTTGTGGAATGTTAGCTTTTTTAAACTGGTTTACATGTTTGAAACCAAAATTTATGTTAGAGTTATTCGTAACAAATACTGATAGCTAATTTATCCCAGTCTTATCTATCTCATAGTCTGCGAGCCTTTGTAGCGAATGTGCATTGTGTAACTATGAATTATAATGTATTCAACCCTTTCATATTAATAGCATGTAATATTTCACAAAATAGGCCACATTATGTTTCGCAACAGCGATAATGCATTCGCTCCATGTATTGCCTTTCTCGTTTCGACCACGTATCGTTTCCGGTTTGCCGAGAATGCTCTAGTCTATAATATTGTGTTTTGTTTCACTCGATATATGACTTGTGATCTGACCGTAATCTTACTGCATTAAGAATTAAGTGTGTACATATTTATCTGTATTTGGATCGTGCATCTTTTCAATAATATACAACAATTCGACAATCAACATCGTGTGCTTATTATCACCTGAGGGAATCCAGATTGGAATCACATTCCATAACACGTGAAATTAATAACGTGGGAATCGAACTTTGAATATTAGGGTGAACAGTCTTTATCCCTAAGACCGCATCTTGTCTCCCTATATCTTATTTATGATCACTACAACTGAAGTAAAGATTCCGTGGGGAAATACGAAAACGAGACAATGTTTACAACCTTACTTGAATATCTGTCTGATTGACAAAAGTGTCCAAGCGTCTGCAGAAATTGTAACCATGTCTCCCTCAACCTTTCTATCTATGACACGTTGCCTATCTACACAACCTTCCTATCCTCGACCTACTACCCCATCTCTTCCAACCTTCCTATCCTCGACCTACTACCCCATCTCTTCAACCTTCCTATCCTAGGCCCACTGCCTATCTACCTCAACCTTCCTATCTTAGACCCACCGCCGTACACTACCCCCTATTACCCCATGATAAACGTGGGTAAATTGGAAAATAAATTACGATGTATATACACCAATCAAACTTTTTTTAACATCACATCAACTTGCGCGCTCTATGGGTTTCTCATAGATAACACTCTAGTAACTACCTTTGCGGCGTCTGCAAAATTTCTGGACATCATTTTGACGACGCCTATTTCTTCCGCCGACGCAGAGCAAACATTCAGCACGCTGAAGCATATTAAAACGTATCTCAGAAACACAATGAAGCAAGATAGATTAAATTCCTTGACTGTTTTATCCATTCACAGAGACGTTATTTCTGGGATGCATGACTTTAATCAGCGCGTTATTGAGCATTTTGCTTCCAAGAAACCGCGGCGTGTTGCATATGTTTAAGCAGTAGAAGTCTAGCAGCATATATATCTATGAGTGAGCGACGCATGTCCTTATCTTTGCATTACCTTTCCTTTCTTCATAGTAACGTTTTAAACCTTATTTTAGGTTTTGTCTGCTTTCCCGAAGTTTCTGTTAATATGTCATTGTATTTATCTGGGTAAATATTGCCTTTCCTTTTGAAAGAGGTTTCAAAATAAACTATGTCTATATTTATTAATCCCTTGACTTGGACCGGTTTTAAAGACACTTTCTTATCGTAAAAAATTGTCGCTTTTGCCGATTGGTTGTTACCGATGGAATGGTTTTTATACTCATAAAATGATGGGAGAACTTACAGCGCTCATCCTGTCCCCGTAGATGGGGGTGACTTGGTCCCGCAGTAGCTTGCCCCGGTTGTCAAAATGACCACGCGCCGCCACTGTGAAATACTGTTATTGGCGGGGAGTGCCATATGGTTTTGTCGATTTATATAACTAAAATATATTATTAGAAATAGATAATTGTTAGAGATTATTTACGAGATGCATAAATCGTAGACGAACGGGGGGATTCAGGAACATAATATTTATTTAAACCATGCTGGTCTGTCGAGTGCGCAAAGATCAACACCACTTTTGATTTCCATATGTCTAGGTCAATTCTGGTATTCTTTTATTCTCCCGTTTATCATAGTTTGTTAGCTAAACACGTCCCTAATCGAAGGCCATGCTCTTCTTACTACACATATTTATTAAATAAACGCAAATGTAGTACAGTTGCGTTATTTCGCTGAAAGTCAGTGTGCACAAATGTTCATGGGTGCAAATATCCCAGCATGCAAATGCCGTAGGGTTCGATCGATATGCGGAGCCTACAGTCTTCCGTCCATTAATACCTTCAGGTGGTTGCTAGCTACCCCTCAGGTGGTTGCTAGCTACCCCACTTTTGGCCAAAGAATGTGTATTAAAGATCGTAATTTTTCTTTCGAAATTGTCAATACTCAATTCATCTTTCAGTTCCTAATAGCTGACCACAAAAGACGATGTGGTTACATATAATTCAATTGGGCGTTTATTATGTCACTTATGGATAGATTAAATAATAATTAATTGATGTCAGTGACATAAACAGGAATCAGTCCTCGACGTGGACAATATTTTCTTGCGCATTTCGAAACATTTTTTTCTATCATGAATAATATAAATGCTAATGCGTGTTAGTTAACCTAATTAGCTGAAAAGAATAGATGGAATGAGTTGTTCCATTGATTTCATAAGACGATCTGATGAATTTTGGTTTGCAGTATTACTTCTTAGTATTCATTATTTTAGGAAGGTAACTCTAAAAAATGACTCGATTTAGTGTGATTTATCGTTGTTTTCTGGACGTTTTGCTGCTCATATGCTGCAATACTGCATATGTCGTCGGCTTTGAAGGGTATTGTCCAAAACAGCCAGGTAATGTACAATAATACTCCACTTTTTTACTAATAGTAGAGATTTTTCAGGCACTGTGCGCTTGAAAATTAACGCCTGTCTATCGCTTCGCTTCCATCGCAAAATGAGTCGCCTGAAATCCCAGGGCCGTTTTTGGACTAGCCGCCAACAGCGTAGCTAAAGTTGGACCTATTAATATGACTCAACATGACGCTAACTCGGGCTTTTCGCTCCGAACAAGGCCAGGTGAGAGCAGCCACTAATTTCTAACGATATGTTATTGACGAATCTCTCAACAGGCTCACTTCGCTGTCGTGGTTATACAAGCATGGCCCCCTGACCAGGCCTATGGAAGGATCCACATTACGTATATAATTTATCATTAGTAATCGGCAATCATCAATACAATATAACTTAGAATTTCATTTATCTAATACGTTTGCAGAAAAATATGGAGAGACTAAAACAATCTCCAACATCGAATATTTCTACAATGTTTCAAGAACAAGTGAAGACAAAATCGAAGTTTCTCTGGTAATAACGTGGGATGTTATCGGCAATCATGGTTAGTCTCTACCTAAATATTTTAAGCAAAGCGGAGGCAGAATTATGACAACTCAATTTTCTTGTTTGTGTATAGGTTCAGAAGCCGATGGAATACTATTTAATACGGACAGTGCTCTAAGTAGTGAAAAAGCAGAAATTGACCCAAGAAATACGCAAGCTTTGACAAAGTTTGTTCATTTTGATGTTGGAATTCTTCCCGATATTTAACAGACCAATTATTATTTTGAAGATTTATATCACGACTAACTTCGAACAAAATTGAGTATACCCTCGAATATACTGATGTACAAACTACGACCTTAGTAAAAGCATTAACCTAACTATTTTCTTTGATTCGTCATAATGAACCTGTAAAAATATGTTAATTATGACTCATGGTTAGATATCACAAGGCTTTAGAAAACTTTTTGTCATAAATTGAGCCTTCCATCACCGAAGTATGAATATTGCTCCTCATTGATCGACCAATGCCGAATTGCAATTAAGTTTTTGTAAATTTCATTTTTAATTCAATCAGATTCTAAGTGGGGAACTCAAATTTCACAATAACTTTCTAAAAACATTTGAATTCGCAACAAAGTTATTTTGTAACAAATATCCTATTTTTTCATAAATAGGAATATACCACGAATCAAAACTAAAGATAACTTTTCTGTAAAAAAAAACAGCATGTCTTTTTCATTCAGGGAAGAAGAACAAATTTGCAAAGACTTACTATTTTATAACAGGACAAAACTCACAAAAGACAAGTTAAACATTCTCTGTAGACATAATGGAAACCGTTACGAGTGTCTAAATTGCAAAGAAAATATTCTTTGTAAAGCAATAGATAATTATGCATATTTAGACAAGGTAATATATGTCAAAGATTTGTGACATTCTGTTTATTCTCTTTTGTAAAGAACATTATACGATTTGCTCCAATATAGGTAATTTCTCATTTGGAAATCACTCTTTTTTGAATACAATCTTTCTCATGGCTTTTATCATGTAACAGGAAATTTTGAGGAACTAATTTTGAGGAAAGATTTATCCTTTAAATGAGTATAAATAAGGTGCGAAGTTGCCCCCAAAGACGCCAGTGAGTGACGAGACTGGGTTTCACTGAAAGGACGTTATGTGGTCCTTGATTAAAACGAGTGAAATCCTTGTTAAGTTTGTCTATTTCAATCCTCAATTTAAAACGACGTAACGACGATAAAACCATTTATACAAATCGAAATAAAACGGTAAAATAACTTCAAGTTGGAATGTCAGACAGAATCTTGCGTCTTTGATGTGTGTCTTACCGCAGCTAAAAGTTGAGTGCCATCAAAAATTTAAAAGCACAAAACCAAGCGTGGTCAGCATGACGAAGCGCCTATTCATTAGGCGAAGGGAAGTAAAAACGAAGCAATATTTTCTGGCCTAACGCAATATTCTTTTGCATAGGAGACTCGTCGCCTGCAATGGAACAATGTGCAATTCGGCCAGGAGCACGATATCGTCCTCAGAACTTATGTAAATTACACTATGAGTGAAAAAACTCGAATGGATTTCTACGGATTTTGCATGCATGAGCTTGTTGAAAGACAAAATATGAACGAGTTGGAAGCTTCAAAACTGTGCAAACATTTGGAATTTGATTCTGGAGGTCACTGCATTCTTTGTATTTGACGAATAGAAATCAGCACGATTGTACGATTGTATTTATGCGTCATATAATTTAGAGTTCATTTGTAAAAATGAAATGCAACATAATTCTTAGTCTTTCTAAACTTCCGTATTTTATGATTTTCAAAAAGTTTGAAGCTGCTTCACGACCGAATTTTGAAAATTACTAAAAATAACGTTTATAGAATAAAAAATGATCAAAACATAGATACTAAAGTTACTGATAATATAATTGTATTGTTTTAATTTATGGCTTAGTACATCTTGTTACTCAGCGAGTACGGTGGTTTCAATTGATCATTCATGACAGCCTATCCCCTTTTATATATATTTAGGCGATTACTGTTCTGGACCAGTATCAAGTCTTGTTATGAAACCGAAATACGATCTCGCAAACAATTCAGCTTTGGTAGAAATATCTTGGAATCTTCCACTCGATATTGCAAAAAAATCAAAAGTAACTTCTTTCAGAATAGAATTGGACGGTCAAGAAGGAATTGAAAAGGTAATCTCACCAAATGGTACAATTATTTTAAACTATTGTAAATATTACTTTAATTGCAAAAATCTCTAATTCGTGTAGACAATATGGTGTGCCGATCATCAGTGCTTACAGTTTAAAGTTACGGGCTAAACTGCTTTTGCCAAAAACTCAATAATAAAACAGCTAATCCGAAGGCGTTGGATCCTAGGTATGTTGAAATAGCAAGATAATAAAAATTTGGGAAATCCAATGCCCACAACTTAACTCAGAAATTAATAAATTCGGTAGAAATCGCCAATACGAGAAGATTAAAGTTTTCCCAAAATGTACCTGCCTGGGGCAGGGCTACTCAACTATTTTCACCAAGGATCTGTATACAAAATTTAAAAATATATTGGGTTCTGTCATTCCAGAAAAATATATATTTATATATACTCTATTATGTAAAAAAAAAACTTCAAATGCATCGTTCAACAAAATACAAAAGCAATGCACAATGTCGTTCCTTGGTATTAACTGGAAGAAAACGATGATAATGCTTACAATACGAGAAGCAGATGTGATCCGAAATGAATAATCGAAGGGTCCCGATTTGGACCCCGGTCTGCCAGTTGAGCAACTCTGGCTTAGAGGATGATTGTACTGATTCTTATTAGAGGTGAAAAGCGTATGAGAAGTTATGCACCTGTTCTAGACCCAAACAATTTGAGCCTTCTCATAATTCCATAGGTTAAATTAATCTAATTCCATAGCATATTTCGTTGCGAAGAGCATTGATGTGTTGTTGTAATTAATTCCCGCTAATACAAATATCTTGTACGTTATAGTTTTGCGTTACGGAAACTTTACGCAATCAAAAACAATTCACATGGAAAACAGATCTAGAAATTAATGCAGAGTATTATGTAGAAATCACCCCACTGTGTGGAAAAAAGGAAGGTTATTCTATATTCGATAAAATCGTGTTAAAAGGTTTGTATGTTTCTCTAATGTTTAATATTATTTAAACAATCCAGTAATATGCTTTTCGTTTTACTTAGAACATTAAAAGTACAGACGTATACTGGAAATCTTCATCGAAAACACAAATTCCATTAAGAAAATATCTTGTTGTATCAAATTAATTCTAAACAGTACCGGATAAATCAAACACGCCTTAAAACATTGAAACAGCATTAATGCAAATCATCTCTTTGTTTAATTTCAACTTTTCAAATTTATGGACAAAGTACACGATAATATAGTACAGGGAGACCCAGTACTATAGACAGAACCCCGGTCACTTGGAACCTATTCTAGTGAGAACAGAACTTTTGTGCAAAGCATCGAATGAATAAGGGAACTTTTGGGCACAGCAATCATACACAAACAGAAGTGCAAATCTTACACGAATTCACTTCAATTTTGTAGAAGTAATTAAGAAAGTATGGGTTCTGCTTTTGGGCCACCCTGTTATATAATGTGACAATCAGAATAATTCATATTTCAGATATTGACGCATGCAGTCCGCCGGATATTCCATCATACTGTGATGTGAATGCAAGATGTAAAGATTTCGAATCCACAAGTAAAGTAGCAGCGAGATGCCAATGTGATCAAATTTACGCTGGAAATGGGGTGAATACATATTGGAATGGCTCTGGTTGTCGACTTGATTGTGGAAAAATCAAAAATCATTTATGTAGTAAAACTGCTGTATGCTCGAATTCAACATTAGAATGCACATGTCCAAGGTCAGTTGAGAGTACTTAGAAATGGGAAAATCAAATTTGATAGAAAGTATAATAGTACGTTGCACATCATCGCCAAATTTCAGCAAAAAATGGGTCATAAACTGATCTGTACCAAATATAATCTGAGCACAGCTTGGGCAATATTATGCAAATCTTAGTGAATATTGTCGCTTTAAATGCATAAAATTATTGGTCTCAAATATCAATTTAAACGAATACATTTGCGCGCACAGAAACGAGAAACTGCATGTAAATTATTTCCAATTGACACAATTCATCACGAAATTGTTTATGATATATCGAATTAAACGGAAAACCAAGAATTTTATCCGACGCACGAGGAGATCAGATATAAACCACGAAATTCAATGGTAAACCTTGTGTCAGCCTACGAGGAAACGAATTCCGTGCTCTCACAATTTAACCGCAGGTCGCATTTCGGCTTCCCATGAGCTCAATACTGTTTGACCTGAGCGTTTTCTGCTTATATGACCGCTGGAGTAAAATTCCTTTACCTAGAAATCGGGTAATACCTATTTATACCACATGAATGTGTTGAATATTCATAAAGTAATTGACATTTTCTGAGAAATAACGCAATACAGTTTGCGAACGACGATCTTCCGATCACCTTGCATATTCCAAAAATATAAAAACTTCTTGTTGTTCAACTCAGTCAGTAACAAACCTTGTTCATTTCCATTAAAGCAGTGTTTCCCAACTTTTTTTCGTTAAATTCTTTTCTTCGCTTATATTGGAACTGTCCATTCTTTCCTCACCATTCATTCAATGTTTGGACTCTTGTCTAGTCTTACACACAAGTCGCACTCCCGCCTTTATACATATTAGTTCGTTTATAAAGTGTGCACAAATCGGTACTCCCGTAGTATGTGTACCATGTTTGGGTTAGATCATAATTTTATAGCTATTTTTATTTTCAGTTATATTACGAGTGCCTGTGTTAGCCAAGTGAATATACCCCCTGTCCATATGCTTCAGTCCCTTTGCACAACTTGATGTGAAGTAGGCGAACAAAATTAGTTACCTCTATATTGGTACACACACTTCTGAAGCGCCGAAAATCAATACCATAGCAATAATAAAGAACTAAATACTATTAGTAATACTTCAGTAAATACAAAGCAACTCCCCCACCCCAACCCCAACAGCCCCCGGTTGAGAAATCACCTTGCTGTCGAAATTCCCAATCTCGTTTATATATGTTTTTTTCCATCGTGGTTAGTTGTTTCATTCAAACGCATGGTGCAGTATTTCGCATCGTTTATAGACCTACTCTAGGCGTCTACTACGCCTATCCATGACGTTATCATTACGTAATTGATGTCATGTATTCTCTTCGTATTGTTAAGGTTGTCATTTGGCGATGGATTACTAAAAGGATCTGGATGTACCGGGATCGAAATTATCATTCTTCCAACAATTGCATTTCTAATAATTGTTATCGTGATATGCTTCGGAGCCAGGCACTGGAAACAACGGTAATAAACTATATTGGGTCGTATTAGTTAGTATGAAGTGAATAACTACGGTAAGTAGAGATCAGACGACGAAGTGCTACGACAGTCATCCAATTTTAATAATTCGTTACTAGCTGTCGTACCAAATGATTCTCGGTTCAATTCCAGAATTTTTTTCACCATGTTAAGAGAAATCGTCGCTGAGCATATGTCGGGTACTGGGACCGAGGGAAAGATTTAACAAAGAAGACTTTAATTCATTCAATCGGACTATGAGTTGTCAAAGGTTCAGATTCAGAGCATTTTTAGCCTTCGAAAATTATGACAACAACGAGGCATAATTGTTCGGGGTTTTATTGCAGAATCAATCCAATTATGCCACGAAGAAATTACGCGGACATTATTTACCAGATTAAGTTATGGTTTAGATAAGAATCATAACAGTTGCCACACATTTCGAGAAAACATACCTTCTCATTATATTATCAGTTGGTGCTATATGGCAGGGCTACTCAACTATTTTTACCGAAGATCCGCATACAAAACTTCAAAAATATTTGGGTCCGGACTTTCCAGAAATTATATTTAAACACGCACTTCCTCGACAGACTAATGATTATTAGCTATATAAGATCGTTTATTATGGCGTTAGAGCTCTTTTCATATATATATTTAAACCTATAAAAGTGATTTTACAAAAGGAAACTTCAAAAGTGGGGCTAATGATCCAAAATGAAGAATTAGTCGCGGTCCGAATCGAATACCCGAAAGGTCCGGATTCGGACCGCCAGTTGAATAACCCTGCTATATGGGACCAACTATTCCTTCGCGCAGGTGGATCCCTATTCCCAAAATGCAAGGATGCTTCGAGAATAAATATGACTATTCCATGTGATTTGAAAGTTTGGCTGCCTAACTAACGGTGATATATTTCAGTAACGTTTTGTGTTATCGAGGTCAGATTTCCAGAATAGCTGAAATACGCTTATCTGAAAAAACGTTTGTGCTAGACGTATATTTGTGTTAGTGTGCAGCAGACCTTTAATCACACAGACTAGTCTTTTTCATATTACTTGTAAACTCAATCTATGTTTATTTCATTTATTATAGCAACGAAATGAGAAAAAGGTCTTCAATATTTGTCGTAGCATACGAGAATGTCGAGGGAGCGAAACTTGGTACCGTAAAAAATATCTCAACTGTTTTCGAAAAATGGGAAGTGGATCGTAAAGATTTATTTCTGGGAGGTAATTAGTATTACCCTGTAATTAATGATTCCGTATTTAGGTTTTATTACCTTTTAACAAAGTACAAAATCCACGATTAATTTGGACTTTATTTTACGAGTCATGCTTTTAGGGAAGTCATGCATTGTTTCTTAATACTATATTGTATAGAATATTTTACAACTATACATTAGAGCTTGGGATATGGAAATACGGAAACCACTGATGTCACATAGGTAGCCGTGACCTAAGGCCAGACCTGAAAAGACGCCTTTAAAATGAGAATACATGTAAAACTACTTAAATTACCATAAAGGACCAAAAGTGTTTCAAATGGCCAACCTGCATTTGACTGTTTTTGTTATATTTACAACCATTTAATCTGATTTTCAAAATGAATTTGTAATATGTGTACGTATACTGACGAATGTGCACGAAAATTCCGATGTGGTCAATACGCAAAATTTCCTTCGAATGTCTACTTGAGATTGCTAGAGTTCTTACGTCAATTTTCCAAGCAGTTTATTGCACTTGTAGTTTATTCAATGTTATTAAAGTTTCAATTTTAGTTTCTTTTTTTTTAATATTATTCACAGTTGAAATTTTTGTACATATTTTAATTTTTTTTCAACAGTATAAAATAAAGACGATATTTTTTTAGACGTTTTAGGAAGAGGGAAATTTGTTGTAAATAAAGGAATTCTAATAACTAGCAGAGATGGCGTCATGAAACAGATCGATGTTGCAGTGAAAACGCCTTCGGGTTTGTCATTATTAGATTTATTCTTATAGGGTTTTGGGTATATCGAGCTCCCTAATTTGTTTTTGTACGCCTTTCGTTTAGTGCAGAGCCCTGTACAAACTGCCACTGATATCTAACGATATGTAAGGTATTATCATTTATTTGGAAAACCGGTATCTGTCCGGTTCGGCACTGCCTACATAATTTATTACACCCTGGATGAGATTGAGACTTGGGATTTGAACCCAGATGTGTAATATGCGATGCCAACTTAGTTTGTCGAACTCTTGAACCGTTAGTCCTTGAGCCGTCAGAACGGCTAACAAGGAATTGGCGGTGAAACATCTAAGCAAAAATCAGAGCAGTGATATTTGAATATTTTCTGCATTTAAATGAGAAAGTGATCTCACTTTCTTGAGAATCCTGTAATTACATTCAACTGAACCAACACGATTTGTAGATTATAGTTTCGGAATTGTCGTTGAAAATTTGAGATTGAATGTGATCTAATAACCATTTTTCATCAATCCAATTCCAAAGCGACGATCAATTACTTTTCTATGGTCGATATGGCAGTCATTTAGCAAAGATTACTTTTAACTGCTACTTACTGATTACTTTTAACTGCTAGTTTACTATTTTGAAGCATTTTAATCGTGTATTCAGACGGAAGACCAGATGATGAGTTTCTCAGTGAAATGCATCTTCTTATGTCTACGGAGAAGCATAAAAACATTGTCAGTGTAATTGCGTGTTGCACTGCGGATTCTCCTATTTTGCTGATAACTGAGTACTTAATGTACGGTGATTTGCGCAACTTCCTTTTGGAAGCAAGAGAGGTATGATGCAGTTGCTTTCATTTTTCGTTACTACCATATACAACCTGCTCAAGTCTGCGACTCCCGGTCATCTGTTTATTTGCCTAGTTTTGTTATAGAGCTGCTGCTTTGTATTTTTACAGTGGCATGGACCATACCCAATTACTTGTGGGTTATGACTTCCTCCACTATTTAAGTCATTGTATTTTTAACGATCAATTCGCTAAATATTCCCGCAGTCGACCTTCACCTGAGTAGTTAACCGAACAAGAGACTCAGAATATTTACAAAATATCCCACCTTCAGAGGCTTCAAAAATCATGCCACACACTTTTATGAAAATCCCATGCCACATATATGAGGTGGGATTCATATTAGGTTCTAGGTTAGCATAGATATAATACTTCGGCTAAAAGGTTAGAGTAAGAATAATATGAAGTTCATAAAATTGGCACAAGTGTAGAAAAGCGAGATACCCCTTTTTTGAGACTCGCTAAATTAAACGAAAATGCGGATGCTATGTATGCACATATGTGTAACAATTCTAACCTTTGATTATTTAACATTAATTCAGGATAAAAACTGGAAACGGGATGACACATATCTATTGACCGATTCGGATATTTGTAGAATTTGTAAACAAATTGCTGATGGAATGCAACATCTAGCTCATAATAGAATAATACATGGAGACCTAGCTGCAAGAAACGTACTTGTTGGAAAGGTTTGTTATATGTTTGTTGTATAAAAGTCCAGTGGGGCCAGTCATCGTTAGATTTTAGCAATAATTACACCTTCTCACCAGTGGTGAGATTCAACCTTTTTGTCAGCCGGTTCCATCACAAAAGTCATAGTTTTTCAGCCGGTTCTGTTACAAACAGAACATTGACAGTACTAGTAATTTTAACCGGTTCGCTGATCTCATAAATTCCGTGTGACGGTTCTATAGAACCGGTGCGAACCGGCTGAATTCCACCACTGCTCCTAACTACGTAGATATATCAGGTTTTCTAATTTTAAGTATTGAAGTAGCGTTTTCTGGCGCCAGTTATGATATTTTTGATTTTCAGTAACTTCCTAAAAATTTTGAAAGTTTTCAGAATCAAATTGATACTCTCATAGAAAAACTATAGCAATTGCTCGATTGTTTTGTCGTCAACTGCAGATTCACGATAATCGCCTCTTTCGCACATATGAATGACCGCTTACACATAGTGCGATTTTAGGTCCAATACCGAACAAATAAAACACCAATACCAACGTACAAAGCTTTATTTAATTGATGTTTTTATTCGAATTTTTTTATGAGGCGGTTTCATACTTCCACTCTGTACCATGATAACGTAGTGAGGTACAATTATGAAAAATCTAGAATCTTTCTGTTTCAGCATTGCCCTCCCAATTTATTTTGGTGAGTGTGGCAAGCACAGTAATTGAATCCGACATTTTTAGCTGCTATGTCAACATATTAACTACCCTCGCGTCCACATATGCCACAAAACTAGGATTTTTTATATATTTTTCTGTCTTAAAAATATGCATTCACAATAAAACAGGATCTTGTCTGCAAAATATCAGACTTTGGTTTGGCGAACGATGTTTATAGATACGGAGAAATAAGAAACGCGATGGAAAGAAATGTTCCTTTCAAATGGACGAGTCCGGAAAGAATGGAACGTGGAAAAGTACCTATTACTTGGCGAAGCGACGTGTGAGAGACCTTAATACACTCAAAGTTTAGTTATTTCCATTGTATTCATTCCAAACATTTGCATTTTTTGTGGCCACTCAAGTAATTCATTAACTCGAATCGGGCTAGACCTAAGTCACCATTCATCAACTAAACTAACCGTCAGTGATTGACTCAACACAAGACCCAGCCTGTGACTTCACTCACGCATATTAACCTAGATTAACACGATTCGGAATATTTGATCGTTTCGATTTCATGCGTGCAAATCCGTTTTCCAGACATTTCAATCCTGTCCAAAAAAAATTGTTCAAATCAAGATTCAAATATCTATATTCAAAATGAGTAAAATCACTAAAAGGTAGAATTGCCCGCGACTACGAGCCTGTATTGCAATACCAACATTTGGGATTTGAGAATACTTAATGAGATCTGAACTCAATTGCCATCAAAAAACAGCCTATTTAATTTTCTACCAGATGGTCTTTCGGAATCGTCATGTATGAAGCAATCACTCTCGGTTCTTCTCCATTTCCGAATATTACTTCGACAGATGATTTGTATTTGAGGCTTAAAACAGGATACAGGATGGGTCGCCCTATGAGCTGCAGTAAAGAGTTGTAAGTCTCTGTATTCCTCAGTTTGTGATGGGCTTTTGGGGTCAGTTATGTCATTTAGTTTTTAAAGTTCCAACATAGTCAGTTTGAACTCCACCACGACACAAATAAATGACAACCCACAACAATTCAGAAAAGTTGCCAAAATTTCAAACGAGGTTCAAGCATGCGGTATAATACAACCACTTGAAAAATCGGCATAAGAGCATTTTGCTGTAAAACAAGTATTTGCAATAAAACAGTTAGATTTTTGAAGTACTTTTTTATTTAAAAAATATTAATTATATAAGAGCATACCCTAACCCAGGCCTGGGCAAGTTGCGGCCCGCGGCAACGTTTTATCCGGCCCGTGAGCAAGTTTCTAGATTTAGACGTTATATAATAACATTCGACTAAATTTCCTTTAAATCGACGATTGTTTTCGTCATCTCGAGGTGTTATTTAGAACGTAAACACCTTTACGTCGGCGATTAGTCTCTTCAAGTCACAAATTTTCCTCAACATATACATGTCTTGTATACGGAACTGTGAAACCATTGAAAAAAACGAGTTATCATCGGCGACGAGATGCTAAAGATAAATAAAGGAGTGAATCTGCAAGCAACCTAAATCTTGATTTGGAGCGGCAATATAAAATACTAAAAAATGAACAGAAACAAGTTATGATCAAACGGCTCGCAACAGATTAAAAACGCTTTTGTGAAAATGGAAACTAAAAAATGTCTGGTGCCCACGGCGAACATCTTAATTGCATAGCCTTCGTGGGCGCGATGTAGCCTACCTTTTGATCCATTCTAAAACTACCGACGGGGCATGATTTATCGTACGTATTTAAATGTGTAATAAAATACAATAAAAACACGCAATTGACTCTACTTAGTCCGGCCCGCCACTGCATTTTGAATAATTATTCAAAGTGGCCCGATACCAAAAATAATTGCCCAGCCCTGCCCTAACAACTTAACTGTTTTTATCACAAATAATTGTTTTACAGCAAAATGCTCCCGCGGCAAATTTTTATGATATCACAAATACATGTTTTACAGCAAAATGCTCTTGCGGCGATTCTTCATGCTATCACAAATACGTGTTTTACTGCAAAATGCTCTTGTGGCGAAATTTCCTACAAAGAAATTTCCGGACACGACTGTGGACACCTATCCCGTCACAAGTTTTATATAAGGCACTTACTATTATTTAACAATAAATTCTTGTTTCAGTTACGAAATTATGAAAAGTTGTTGGCAATGGATTCCTTCAAATCGTCCTTCGTTCAAAACACTTTCGGATATGCTGAAAAGAAATCAGAATATTCCTGGAACATACGTCAATATTCAATGTGAATAAAAATATGTGAAATAAAGATCTGGTGGAACTTAGTAAATAAGGATCTACTCGGACAAAAAATTCAAATATAACAAGCAAAAATATTGATTTTTTGTCACTGTATTTTTGAGTGTGGTATATATATGCAGTGATGAGCAGAAAAAATCGTAACAACCATAACGTAACTAATTCGTGAAAATATATTATATTTACAGTCCACGGACGCTTTCCCCGAGTTGTGTTTTTCCTTAAAAAATGACATATTTTCATAAAGTTCATCGCCATGTAACATTTGAAACTTATCCAGCAGACCAGACACTTATTTTAATCAGACAGATTTTCAGGCGCGATTGTGAATATTGTCTTGTTTATTTATTTTTGGGTTTTGATAATATTTAGTAGTATAAATAAAATGAATTGCCAGAATATACGACGCTAAAATCTGTTGTCATTACTTTATAACATGTGTTTGATTAATTTTGAATAAAATGGTGTTTTTGAAGCGCTCAACCTGCCGGTACTTGAAAACCCTTTTCAAAATAAGCGTGGAAAATATCATAATGATTAGATATAGACGCTTTCCCTATCTTTGTCCCCAGAAAATTCCTCCTCATACTTCACTTTTGCACACAATTTTACGCCTGTTTTGAGAGTGTTGTGGAATGTTAGCTTTTTTAAACTGGTTTACATGTTTGAAACCAAAATTTATGTTAGAGTTATTCGTAACAAATACTGATAGCTAATTTATCCCAGTCTTATCTATCTCATAGTCTGCGAGCCTTTGTAGCGAATGTGCATTGTGTAACTATGGATTATAATGTATTTAACCCTTTCATATTAATAGCATGTAATATTTCACAAAATAGGCCACATTATGTTTCGCAACAGCGATAATGCATTCGCTCCATGTATTGCCTTTCTCGTTTCGACCACGTATCGTTTCCGGTTTGCCGAGAATGCTCTAGTCTATAATATTGTGTTTTGTTTCACTCGATATATGACTTGTGATCTGACCGTAATCTTACTGCATTAAGAATTAAGTGTGTACAATTTTATCTGTATTTGGAATTTGGATCGTGCATCTTTTCAATAATATACAACAATTCGACAATCAACATCGTGTGCTTATTATCACCTGAGGGAATCCAGATTGGAGTCACATTCCATAACACGTGAAATTAATGGGAATCGAACTTTGAATATTAGGGTGAACAGTCTTTATCCCTAAGACCGCATCTTGTCTCCCTATACCTTATTTATGATCACTACAACTGAAGTAAAGATTCCGTGGGGAAATACGAAAACGAGACAATGTTTACAACCTTACTTGAATATCTGTCTGATTGACAAAAGTGTCCAAGTAACCATGTCTCCCTCAACCTTTCTATCTATGACACGTTGCCTATCTACACAACCTTACTATCCTCGACCTACTACCCCATCTCTTCCAACCTTCATATCCTAGGCCCACTGCCTATCTACCTCAACCTTCCTATCTTGGACCCACCGCCGTACACTACCCCCTAATTAGTCTCATTCAATCATCTCATTGGCATACTCGAGCCGTATAAAAACCTGATAGTTTGCATGATCACAGGCAAACAAGGTAGCGTGTAATGACCGTAGCGTATGGTGGAGCATGGTTAGACAAAGTAGGGCGTAATATAGGGGGCGGATCGAAGATAAGTGGGTTGAGGGAGCTAAAGCAGTGGCATTGGATAGGAAGTTTGAGGGGGATCGTGCAGTGGGTCAAAGAGATGGGGAGGTAGGCAGTGGATTGAGGGGGATAGAGGAGTAGATCGGGATAGTAAGGTTGGGGGCGGTAGGCAGTGGGTTGGGGGACGTAGGATAGGAAGAGATAAGGTAGTGGGTCGAGGATCAGATGGTTGGAAGAGATAGATCAGTCGGTCGAGAATAGAAACGTCGAGAGACATAGGCAGTGGGTTAAGGCAGATAGGACAGCGAGTCATAAATAATAGGAAGGTTGAGGTAGATAGGAAGTGGTTCTAGGATAAAAAGTTTCCAATTGCAAAAATTGCAATTGTTTCCCGAGTCACCACCCATGTAGTGAAGACGGACTTTTCTTCCGTGTTTACCATTTTGCTATTTCAGGGCGCCTTGAAAACCAACAGCGTTGCCACTCTACAACAGGCTTTGGAGTCAAAAGTCTTCAAGTTGACGGAGACGTAATTCCATACCTTCAATAATGATAATAAAAGTCGAAATGATCGTCAGAAACTCATAGCATGAGTTTACAAGGCGTTTCTAACAGTGTATTGAAGGCGGCGCATCGTGCTAGGCTAGGCGGTATGAATTAATGAATACGCTCTTCACCACTTTGATGACCCTGCGGAGATAATTATGTTCGAGAGTATTGCTAGCCGTAAGGTGGCTCGCCGCCGTAAGGTGGTTTACTTCACCGCTGGTCGGTCACGTCTTACTCCGCCAAGCTCATATGAAACAAATACCTGGCTAACTAATCCCATATCTGACATGGACTGGTAACCGGGCGAGAGATCGTGGTTCATCATATTATTAAGACGTCCAATCGGCTTATTAGTAAAATGTTATTATGCGCCGCTTCAACCAACACTGTGGAAGCTCACCACATCACAACAATCCAACGGACTACAATAGCGAATCTTAACCGCTAACATATCACAAGGTGCACTGGATCTTAATTTGAAGCAATCCGATAGAACAAGACTTTGTATTAATTTATTTGCGAATATGAATTACAGGGGTATACATGGCAACGAAAACACCAACAATGCACCTAGTTTTGAAGAGGGTTCTTGAGTGATTGAAGAAAGAAAACGGCTGTGAATGAGTAGCAAAACGAAATAATGCCAAATATAGACATTTTTATCCAATACGATTATGCTTATTTGAAACTAATTTAGTTAGACGTTTATAGGGGATTGAAAACCACATCAGAATAGTACAGATTCAAATGAATTAATGAACTATCACGATAAAAATGAATATGTGAAACATTTTGGCAGCAAATAGTCGATTTCAAGCTCAAAAATATGACACAGTTGAATGTTAAAACTTTCCACTAGTCCATTGAAAGACTAACCAAAGCAAACATAAATTCAATATAATAATAATTAAATAACAAAAAGTACGATAAGGCATCAAAATATTGCTGAGATGCTAATATAACAGAATCAGAGTTATAGCAAAGGGCAATATTGATTGTTATTGCCCTGTAAGCGAGTTACCCGGTTTCATCACAGCATACAAAATTGATTTCTGAACCATAATCCAATTTCTTCAATCTCCATCGACAAATAAGAGAATATATATAGCTATGTAAATTATCCAATTTTGCAAAATAAAGCATGACCAAACATGAAGTTTTTTATTAAATAAGCGTAAGTATGAAAAAGCTGAAAAGACCAGAAAAACTTTTCATTCAAAGCCTATCTAATTATTTAAACAATTACAATCAATTACCCAATTATTTTGACAGTTTGTATCCCTTATATTCAAGCATGGGTGTAATACAAGCAAGATAATATGTAAATGCATTTGCAAACACTGTGAATTATTGATGATCTGATTGTTACTCGCATGAATTAAGATGAAATTTAAGTTTCAACAGCTAAGTTCTTCTATGACTTCAGGAAAATAAAACTGTTTACGACAAGAAAACTGCAATAAGAGGAATCGATCCTCAAATTGGATTTGATTTGTATTCATTCGTTTTTTATCATGAGATTAAAAATTCAGGTTCCAAGAAATTTATATCAATTATTCATACTATAATACCAAACTGAAAATTTATTCAAGATAATTTCACCATAGGAAAGTGATGTTTATTGCTTTCATCGGAAATCAAATCAAACCTGTCATTTAGGATTTTAAATATATTACTGGAACTCGTCGAGAGCAATTTCTTAATAGACCTGGAAGTATACAAGTTATGATATGTGGCAGCTTAAATACTTCAGGCTGATGAGCAAATGGAACTATAAGTGTATAAATGACCTGGCAGCATAAAATCCTACATAAATAGGCCATGCACCTTGAACTTGAAAATTGCATCGTTTCGTTTTATTAACGTTATAAGTAATCAGTCATCATCGTCCTCTGCCATTTCTTTTGCTAAAAGTTCTCTTGCTTTTTTCATTTCTTCTTTCATATTGTAATGTTTCTTACGAGCAGCTTCAAATTTATCTTTCTTCTCTGTAAATACAACAATCACTGTGGCGTGGTTCATGAAATAAATGTTGAAAAATCGCTCCCGACTTTTATGGTATATTGACGGTGCTCGAGAACTGTGTGTACCAATAAGGAGGTAACTAATTTTGTTCGCCTACTTTACATCAAGTTGTATAAAGGCACTGAAACCTATGGGCAGGGAATATATTCATTTGGCTAACGCAGACAGTCCCTGAACTCATAATAGAACTGAATTTAAGAAAATTGGAAAAAAATTATGGCCTAACGCTAGCCTGGTACACACACTATGGGACACGGGAGAATCATATTGACTTTTCCAAATAAACATATAGAAATACATGTCGTGGGCGAGGTGGCCAAGCAGTTAGTGTTACAAGTTTTGGGAATTGCAGGTACAAATCCAATGCAGACAATGCCAGACAACCTCATCCAGGGTGTAAGGCATTGGGAAAACAATGCTGAGCTGGAAACATCCCATGACTTCATTGTTCTTTTAAAATTGAGTGGTAGAAAATATTAATGGCTGCTTATACCGAGCCTTATTCCATATAAATAAATCATATAAAAAAGTGCTACATCATCTTAAAGAAAGGATTAATCTCCTACCTCGAGTACTGAACCCAATAGAGTTCCAGTTACATTGAATTTGTTTCTCATTATCAAATATTGCGGAAAATGAATCTTATCTGAATTTGCTCATAATCTTCATTCAAGAGAAAGCCTCATTTAAAAATATTGGACATACATTTAAGATGGTTGAAATTGTGTGAGACTTATATTTACTGAAATTTAATCAACAGATACACTATGAGAGTGCAGAACAAATCAAATCAACCACATATTTTGTGGGTGCGCCTCGTAGCTACTGTAAATCCCTGGACATGAATACATTGGCAATGCAGGTTGGAGACCCCCCCATTTATTAACTTGGTTATGCAATGTTGAAAATGGAATGTTCTTGTCTTTTCGAAAAAATATCACTGGCTTTTTGTATCAGTGGCTTTTTGTACAGAGCCTTGCTTGAAGAACAGGCATGAATGCATCACACCAAAAAATCAATTCAAGGGATGTAAAAGTTCCTACGTTTAGCTTGTGGTGACATAAATTTATCTTCATCCTCATCACCACTGCTTACTGTTCGAGCTCTATGATGGTGATGGTGAGATTCTTCAGATGACGCTAACCTGGAATGAGAATAGTATTGTGGTAAACAGGATTCAAAAATACAAAATATTATCAATGTACTCGGTACAAGAAATAAGGCATATCAAAATAGGGAAGCAAACATTTTTTTACAAGGCTACCAAACATATATTTGCTGATATATTCAAAATTGGGGTTTATTTTATAGGCAAGAGAGTGATACACGTTAACCACTGGTTGCTAATACCACCTCCACTACTATTACAAAAGGCCAAGAATTTCGAAGAATCAGTGACAATTTCTAGGAAAAAAAACTGAACTGGTAATCAGATGAGACATAGTAGACTGCATTAGGTGAATAAGCTATCGTATCAGATTTATTCTCATGGGAACAAAATTTAATCGAATGGAAAATATATAAACCCATAAATGTCTTCAATTTGTTAAAAATATAAATAAATTTTTTATTATACTATACAAAACTATTTGGTACTCGCGAAGTATGTGAACCAAGAAGGCGGATACCGAACATAGTACGTGTACCAGGTTAGGGTTTAGGCGATAATTTTATTCCAATTTTCCTCATTTTAGTTCTATTACGAGTTCGGGGCATAGCCAAGTGACTCCTGCTGTATTTGTTCCTGAAATTATGGCCTAACCCTAACCTGGTAGACATACTCCGTTCCGATATCCGCCCTCTTGGTTCACATACTTTGGGGGAGTTCCAACCATTTTACTATGCCAAATAAAAGAGTTCGAATTGTATTACAAAATTTTAACAACATCGTTAGGTAATAGTAGGAGAAGCAAAAAAATAACAAAGCTCCACAATTAACCTTCTCGCTAGCTCATCAGGATCAACTGCTTCTGGTTCAACATCATCCCTGTCATGTCGATAAGGAGTTTTTGGTTCGTCAATTTTCATATGACCATAATCCTTGTCTGGAGGATGATATGTAGCAAGTATATTCATTTCATCAAATCTTGCAGCATCTTTGCTGTAAACATTGTAAGAAAAGTTAAAATCAATGACTGAAAACATGTCTAAAAATGTAACATTTTCTAACAATACAAATAGGCGTTTTTTCAAGTTAATACCCCATCTACACATTCTGTATAAGTCTTGGAATTATCAACCAAATAATGAAACATTTCTAAATTTTTCAAAAAAGTCCCTGGGAACTATGATTTCATCCTAACTGTGGCAACAATTTTATTTCATAAGGAATAAGCGCATACCAAACTACATATCCCCTTTTTAATTAGCTGACTGAAAATTACCTATCGGATGCGATACTTATAACATAAATTATGTCTAAACGTTGCCAAATCCTTCCATCTAACAGGAGAGTTGATTTTGTTAAAAGCAAGATGAAACCCATGTAAATCTTAATAATGATTTGAAGAAATTGTTTTCATGGGTAACGTTGACTCTCTTTGACATAGTCAAACTTGATTAAAGTAGAGAGTTTATCACATTTCTTAGTCCAAAAACAGCCATATCCCATCACTACCAGCAAACGATAATAATATCAAATCAAATAATATTTATTTTCAACAAAACCATAAATAAATAAAATGAAAGATTTGCTTAGACACTAAATTGTTTCAAAATAATCGTTTGGCATGAAATCTAATCTGAAATATTATTCAATTTGTCTTGCTCGCTTTTCAATTTCCTGATAAACCATCAGACTTGCAATTGCATCAAGGGCAGCATATTCAAGCTGAGCTGAAGATAACGGATAAGATGTCCAATCTCCTTTCCTAATATCATCTATCTTTGGCAATTCTTGGCCAAAAAGAAATGTAACAAGCCGTGCAAGACTCCATTTTTCACTAGATCTTGTAACTTTGTTGGCAAAATCTCCCAGCTCAAGCACTCCACTTTTTGGATAGCAAATATCAAAGTCTCGACAAAGTTTATAAAGATCTCCTTGCACGTTGAGACCAACTTTAATTATATCATTTCTTTCAATCAATTTTTTTAGGGATGTTGGAAGAAAGCCAATGCACGAAATATGAAAAACGAAACATCTTCGCATTGGGTCATCACATATTTGAATGACTGCGGTAGATGGTTCTTTTTCGCACAAGTATTTTACAGGCCATTCAATATCAAATCCAATATATGTTTTAGCATTTATGCTGTCCAAAAAGTCACTGCAAATTGAATTACAATCATTCTCATTATGTGAGTAAATGATTTGACAAGTTGAAGGAATCTTGAGAATAGGAAATGTTATCCTTGAATTGCCTTGCCCCTTCGCTTTTCCTTTTTGCATCCAGGCAGGAAGTTTTCTCACTTTTTTGCTGTCAATTCACAATTTTATAGAAAAAAAACGTTAGGGCCAGTAGTGTATTTAGATTTCGCTTGAATCTGGAATGTCTGAAACAATGACAAATTGAAAGCCAGCAACTTAATCAGACAGTTCTAATGCTCAATACGCATCCTATTTCAGTATTTTCTGTGCATTTTAATTAGATGAATGAGATTAACATTAAGATCTTTATCTCTTGACCTCATAAAATATAGTCGAGAATAAATAAGCTAAATATTGAATCCCTGCAGTAAAGAATCAGCAAAGAGAAAAGTGCTTCAATTTGAAAGACAGTTACAATACCAGTAGCTACAGACTGACAAAGTTATATAATGCTTTTCTTTTTAAATAAAAAAGTACAGAAATAGGCTACTGCCTATTTCTGAATTAAAAAATAAAAATAGGCCTAGTTCACAGAACACTTGAAACTTACCTTTTAAGGTCAATTTGATCATGATTTGATTTTGAAGTTTTTAATATCCCTCTTACTGGAGTCCCATCAGACTTTGATGTAGTCGCCATATTTTCAATAAGATGTAACACTGCCGTAGTTTATAACTAATCACAGGGGTAGAAGCAGCAATAACTGCGCCAAACAAAAGAATATGGAAGATCTATCTTTTTCTTTCTATGCGAACGACAAAGACTGGAAGACGGCACGAACACAATGGCAGCTACGAGAGTTGCAAACGCCGAACCTTGACCTCGATAACTGAATTGTTGTCGATCTATCTAAAAATATAATATTGCGCCACCACAAGGCATTACGCCAGATTAGTCTCACACCTTTTTGACAAAGACAACGTTCACTGCTCTGTGTTCACTGGATAGGATTTACATACTCATCCCGGGGGAGAGGAAAGCCGATAAGACGGCTTAATCATACGAACCACGTCCTCTCGTCCGGTTACCAGTCAATGTCGAGTATGGGATTAATTATCCAGTTATTTATTTTCGGATGCAGGCACTGTATTTTCTTTCGAGCACTTAGCCTGTACCAGTACGTGCTTTCCAATCGTAAATCGTATGAAAGAAAGGATAGTATTTAAAAATTTATCATGTGGGAGAGGGAAGCCTATAAGACGACCTAATCATATGACGAACCACGTCTAGTTATCAATCCATAACGAGTATGGGATCACGGTCGGCTTACCATATATAAGTGTATATATATATGAAACAAAAAAAAACGGGACAGCGCGGATCGAAGAAACATTATTTCGACTCCTAGGCTTTGTAATATTCAACTCGTTAGAAAACATGAGTTTTTGTCAGCATTTCGAATAATTTAACAGCGGTAGAGCTGACGTTTGATGCTAAATTAAACTATATATTATTGGGCACGTAGTGGACATAGCAATCGTTTAAATATTATGTTGTTCTTGTTCTTTGACATGTTTTTAAAAAGTCGCGTTTCTCTTTGATTACTGGACCAATTGCTTTGAAATTTTCAGTGGTTAAAGATAAACATTTTCTTCAGAAGGCTATTACTTTTTTTTTTGCTATGACGTCATCAAAAATACGTCCATATATTTGAGCATAGCTCTCTTGTTATATTAATTATGGCAAAATAAGTTACCAAAATATTGGTTCTTCTATTGTATCCCAATGAACTAGTTGAGTGAGTTGCAAATAAGTGATATGTGGACTTCCTCCATTAGCAAAAAAATTGAATTGATATTGAATAAATGACTGCATTACTGCATGGCCGGGACATTTAAGTCTCCCGGGTGGGAAGATGGGACAGCTTCTTAAGATCGGTACTGTCCCGTCTAAATTACGGTAATTAGCAGGTTATTTGATTCAAATGAATGGACTTAATGGTGGAGAAAGCCGTAACCGACCAGCGGCGAAGAGTAGGCTAATCAGTAATTTATTTCTTCATCATGCCAAAAGTACCAACTGTACATACACAAATTAAAGAAAATACAAATAAATCGCATTCCAGAATGAAAGGAGACGCCGAAAACCAAAACTGGTTATCTAGCGGCAGGAGCAATTTTCTCGCACAAAATTATCTCCTACGAGAATCGAATCTGCGAACCCACGCAGTTTAATTATAGGTGCGATTGAGAGCGTATTCCCAAAGCCACTCCGTCGAGCCGAGAAAGTTGTTAAAACGTTTAGGAACAGAGAAACTTAGTCAGTCAATCGTCTGTCATCATAAAAATCTGTGATCTGTGTCAAAAAAATGATACAGCAAATAAGTACCATTAACGTTACCTGTGTGACAGGTGTTGTGGGGAATCTACAGAGATCTTTCAGTGACGACACTACAACGCTGGTACAGGTTTGGTGTAAAAAAGTAACTGCATATGCTACAACTATGGAGTAGTTATGATAGCAAACAACAATCACGGCAAATATTTGCAATGACGAAATTCTTGAAAAAAATGCATACAAAATACAAAGAAATAATTTATATTTTAAAAGAGCTTACTTTTTTGTTGGGTTGTTGTTGCGACTAACTAAATTTTTACTACTCAAAAAAAAAAAGTTGTCACTACGAAACCAACAGCGGTGTTGATGATTTATACCTAAATTTAAAATATAACAAAACTCTTGGATACCCTAAATTTCTAAAATAGGTGAATATTTATGGTCATGAATGAACTCTGGCTCAGTAAAGTTTTATAGCGATCAATAAGGAAAAACAAGAGAATTGGATTCGATTATTGGAGGACATATCCAAAGGTACAACACAACAATCGGGGTCGGTGATTCCTACAAAAATGGTGATAATAGTTGATATATATCAGGGATGTGCAACTGGCGGCCACAACCCGCCCCGCCAAGTTGACACTCAGATTTCCCCTTTTTAAGCATAAATCTTAATCCGACAGTTTAAGTTTAAAAGGGCGCTCACGTGGGTAAAAATAAATGTTATTTTGCTCTCGTCGCTTCAATTTTTTCTACAAAATGATGCACATAAGAAGCAGATGTAGAGGTCAGCTGATTGATGAACATTTGACCAGTCAGTTAAGGGTTGCTACAACTTCTGCCAAAGCTGATGTTAGCAAACTACGCAAGAACTCGACATTTCAAGTTTCCTATTAAAACGTTACATAAATAAATATTGCATTGTGGGAATTTTTTAATTCGTTTCATATATGGAAAACCTAAATTTTTTATGTGGACAAGCTAGATGTCTCTATTTGGGTATATGACCGATAAATCGATAAAAAATGTTACACACCACTGCTTTATCCTATTGTTTAGTGTCCCAAAAAGCTTTGCCGTTTTGAATCGTGTTTCACCGCAGTCGATAGTCAAATTTCAACCTGGTTACAAAACGTATACACGGTAAAGGGCACCGTTGTATGTAAGTATTAAGTAACCACAGTGGAATCATAGACTGATATTTCTCTGAATGAAAAACAAACGTTATGGAGGTGATTAAAGTCGAATATGCGCAGTAGCTAATTTCCCTGTACCTTTGTGCTGAAAGGTTTATTATGAATATAAAAAAAACTTTTGTGAATTTGGTAAAACAGTTTGTTTCATACTCATGAAATATGCTGAATATCCGACCACTTGGTTCTTTGATTGTGTATAACTGGGTATCGATGCTATGATTTTAAGTTTAAGGCCATCGAGACATCCTTTTTACAACAATGTAACTAACTAAATTGTCCAAGTAAGATCAAAACGTTCAGTTTCAGCAAACAACGAGTTTGTAAAAGAGATTATCTTTATGTAAATCTCGTAACAATGAGCGAAACAACAAACGCCTCGACTTTATTTTTCTTTCGAAATAAGGAGCTTTGTCATCAGTCCAAACTTGCTGTCAAATTTACTATCCTGAAATGTGAAAAACAGCAAAGTTAATACAATTTTACAGTAATACAACCATTTTTTCTTTAGAATGGAAGAAAATAAAACATATGTTGAATGCAATCGAATGTGAAGTTCACCAAATGATAGAAAGAGAAAAATGCAATGTCGAGGATTCATAATAAATATCACTATATTGTAATTTTTAACACCAAAACTATTGCGAATTTTGTGACAGTATGTATAAGGAATGTTTACATCCTCTTGAAGTGAGCACTTCCTTAAGTACCCAATATTTGATCAGAATCACTTTTTGATATATGGAATACAGTGAAAGTTATATATAAATTTATAAATATTGACCAAATTTCTTTTCACGATTGTTAGCCTTAGAAGTGTAAAAGAAGTGGATTGAGTGGTAGTTTGTGACATTCACTATTTTACATTTATCTCTATGTAGACTTTACATCGTGTTGTCGGGAAACCATTCTGTATGTTAGTACAAAATAAAAATATACAATTGTTTCCTGTTCCATATAAATATATTGTGTAGTAGATGACTTTGTTACAAATCGTTTTGGTCAACAAGGTTAAGGTGTATAAGCAGAATAGTGCACGAGGCAGAACCTTTTGAAACTGAGTGGAACCGTATGTCACGTATTTGAAGTAATAAAACGGTACTCCCGTAGTATGTGTACCAGGTTAGGATTAGGTCATAATGTTATACCGATTTTCCTCCTTTTAGTTCTATTACGAGTTCGGGGACTGTTTGTAATAGCCAAGTGAATATCCCCCCTGCCCATAGGCTTCCGTCCGTCCCTTTACACGACTTTTTGTAAAGTAGGCGAACAAAATTAGTTACCTCCATATTGGTACACATACTTCTGGAGCGCCAATAAAATACCTGTCGGTCATTTTTCGTAACAGAAATGGAGGAAAATAATATTCAACAACTCTTAACACCAGGGAGAACAGTACAGCTTGACTTAGACAATTATTCTGCTGCAGAAATACCGGTATCTTCGACAAAGAACAGAAGTAGGAATGAGACACCACGGCATCAACCTGTTTGGTCAGGTTTGGAGTGGAAAAGCAAGTAGGTTTGAATTTGATAAATTGTGTATGATGAATAAACGATTCTAAATTCAATTTGAATATTTCAAAATATTATTTATTGTTTCATATTTTGTTGTACTGCAAGAGATCTTATTTATAAGGAAACACCTTCATGGGTGGAGCTGATTTAACAATATGGTGTGATCGTTGTTTTCATGTTTTTTTTTGTGTGTGTTTGTTGCAGATATCGATTCTGGGACAATAATGAAATGTTCATGTACAGTCAAATGAAATTGAAGTACTGGTTGGAAAATAGAAAAGAAAAAAGTTATGAACCTTATCTTTCTGCACAGGAGTTAATAGCTCGATATCTAAGGTTGGTACCGTTGGTATTCTAAACTAGACTATAAGTAACAAATAATTCAAGTGCAGACTGATAGCCCTAACCTAATGATCATTATCACGGGTTCGATCGGGGTGGAGTGAATAAATTCCCCCCAACTAAAGTTTTTCTTCCAATAAAACATCACATAACATTTGATTTAGAATTTTGCTTGCAGTGTTCCGTACAAAATGAGATATACCCTTTACTAGTTACATGGTATATCCAGTGGTGGGATTCTGGGTATTTCGCGCGGGTTCCCGCGAACCCATCATTGAAATATCGTGATGATCAGAGAACCCATCCTCGTGGTTAGTTCGGTTCTTAAATGAGGAAATCTGTTGTTAGTGAGTTCGATACAAAGTAGAACCTGTTCTCAAAATTTTGAATCGCATTACCGGTTATATCAATATTCTTTCTAGGCCGCTAAAATATAGACAAAAAAATATTGACGACGAATCGTCGGTTGATACTCGAAGTAAAAGTTCAGATCGAAGAAGCGCAGTGGTATTAGGTCCGGAATGGTGGACGAAATTACCTGCTCTATCAAACGACGAACTGTGTACGCATTGCTGGAAATGTGCAGCAGAACAAGGTATGTTTTGAGATATTACTTAATGTGCCATTTGTCGCATTGAGACTTTTTTTTATTATTTTGAAAATATTATTAGACGCTCTAAACACCAAAACCACTGTCTATATTAGCCCAATTGAACTCTACGGAAGAGGCCATTCAAATGGCTCTTAGGGCTACAATGATATGAAATCTCCGGGCAAGTCATCTCATTCCTTTCTAGTATACCACGGAGATGATGTTTTGGAACCATGCTAATAATGTTACGGTTATTGGTTTCCAACCATGTTCTACCAGTGCAGTGCATGGTTTCCAAAGATTTACAATCAAACCCGATAGTCTGTAATATTATAATATATTTTTAAATAAACTCAGATGCACGGATATATATATATTTTACAATAATTGAGTTTCACCAGTGTTCCGTGAAAGACCCTCAGGTGTCCCGCGGCAAATTGTAGTTTCCCGCTTTTCGATTAGCACATTTTATGACAACAAAAATAAGCAAACAATTAAATGTAGATAAAATCAATTGTACAGAGGTTCCTCGAGCCTTTGTTTATCGGGTTTATCTGCTACACCAAATGTTGAAAACCACTGGTCATAAAAATTCCTCATATCTCGCTTTAATTTCGCACATTCAATATTTAGAAATTCATCATCATACCTCTCAATTTCATCTCTAATTTGTGGATTAATATCTGTTATTTATCGTTGAAATATAACCTAATATCTTACCGTAATATTTTATTGTCAGTGTCAATGAAAGAAGCGGAGAAAAACTATACAACTGTGATGAGTGGAAAAGTTGAAAAGGAACTGAAAGTAATAATACAAAATTGGAGAAAAGATAAAACAATGATGGGATTTTTGAGTCTGTTTGGGGGAAATTTTTACATCAGTGAATATGAAAAACTGAATGAAAGCTAATCCCATTATGGAAAACAAAATTATCAAGTGCGATAAAAAACTATAACATTCATTTTTATCTGTTAGCTAGGTATGCACTATTATACCCAATATTGAAATAATGAGAACCCCTAGAACTCCCATTGTAAAATATTTAGGTAGTTTGTGAAAGGTTTACGAGTCCAAACTTGAGTTCGAATTTGGAATGCTCAGATTGGCATTTTGTAGCATCATTCAAGTTGATAACAGCGTTTTACAGATTAGACATTTCTACATTTTGGCATGAGATAAAGACATATTTGTACTCTGTTCTGGAGAAGTAAGAATGCTTAGAACTCCACACTGATTTTCATTGTTCTGCAACTAAATACCGTATTAGGCTATGCTTAATCACTTATTTAATAGAACACTAACTGAGAACTGAGTTTGCTTTCTTTCAATATTGATTAAAAATTATAACGTGAGTTTGAGGCCCACATATTGTGGTTTCATATGTTTGCTATATCTGAGAAGTCATTAGAAGCACGTGCAATCGAATTTGACGAACCCGGCCTAACTAATATTTCTGCGGCGTTAGACTTCACGTAGTCAAAGATATATATGTTCTTTTATTTTTTGGATATATTCATATATATAAGCGTATTAGTCGCATTTATAGTATTTTTTGGTATAATAAATTTTAAAAGAGTGCAATGCTTAATATATGAAGGCGAAGTCAGCGTACCGGTATCGGCAGGACAAGTATCGAGTTTGGAAAAACAGATCAGCAGAGAAGCGTGACGGAGGCGTGAACGTGACGCAGAAAAATGTGTTCCCGCGAATTAAATAAAAAAGCAAAAGAATCGACGACTACGAGAATTTAATGAAACGATCCGTATATACCCCGTGTCAAAAATATATATATAACTGTATTGGTTGATTTGTCTTCTAAATTTACTGCTCCAAAATTAAGTCAGCAATGACGCACTCGATGTCAAGATATCATACAGCTACTCCTCACTTTTGAATTCTGATTACGAGAATACAATGAAAAGTATATTAAGTTCAACGTCTTTAATGTAGTTCTATCCAGTGATGAGCTGGAAAAATCGTAACAACCGGAACGCACTTAAGAAAAGTACCGTATAGGATGAATTTACATGGGGTCAAAGGTAGGGGATATATCTATTACACGTTACTTCTGAACTAATTATTTGCGTGATGTTAATTACGAATTATATTGTAACAAAACATAAACTAATAACTAGTTTAACAAGGGAAACTAGACTTTTGTACCATAATTTTTTTTTAACAACCGGAACGCAAATGCAATAAAATGTCCAACAACCTGAACGCCGTTCCGGCTACAGCTCACCACTGGTTCTATCACTTGGACGCAGGCATCTATTTTCCAAATGCTGATACTATCAGCTATTATCGTTCGATAATATTACTCGTTTGGTTGATGAATATGTGGCAACCCTATTTACTCGATTCAATGAAATATCAATACTATGTCGAGATTTATAAACCTTATATTGCTTTCTTAAAAATTGAGTTTAATACAAAATAAATTACAAGCGTCGCTAGTGTTGTGGCAACTTGCGCATACCCATTTTCATCTTTCTCAAACTGACTTGAAGCGCACAAAGATATAGAAAACTATAATATCGTCTTTATTTTTGAAATCAATTTCATTTGCATTGAAAGCACATATGGTGAATTATTTAATATACTGACACTTCGACATCTCAGTATAACTGACTTCATAAATGTCGTATACAGTGACGTCATAGTGAGATAAATTTGAAATTTGTTCAGTAAAGGTGATCTACAAATTGAATATGGAATTATAACAGCCGAATAATTTACTGATTTTTATTTTAACTATATATTTCTAATACTGTTTATTTTTTTGTTGACTTGCAAATTGGATATTGTATTAGTACACACCGAATCAATACAATCTAATATATTTACCCTCACTTGTGCACTTTGTGATTTCACGAGGCTACTCAATTTGCATAAGTGTTCACATAATACTTTATTGGAATTATTTGATATTGGCACTTAATAATTTATTTATCTCTAAATATAATTTTGTTGGTAAAATTGGGAACAATAATCAAAATTATGACATTATTCTGAGGGATAAAATAGCACTAAACACAAGGAAGACTAAAGATATTCCGCTCGTCAGCCAACTGTTTGCTCCTGACGTGGTGGTGATAGGAGTCGTCGTTGGAGTAGTTGTTGTCGGGGTGGTTGTGTTCAAGTCGGCTTGTATTGTAGTTGTGGTGACAGGCTTAGTTATCGCTGTGACGTTTTCTACTAATTCAGGTACGTTACAGAGGTTGATGTCACAAGTTTGATATTTGCATGACCTGAAGTTGAAATAGACACTGATAAGTTCACAATACAAAATACGAGATAAACGTTCAATGAAAATTATATTTGCCAAAGATGATGAGGTTAATAAATTTGAGCATGCGCAACTACATATTTATTTGTTTATCGTTTTTGAATCACAAAAAGTGCTCGTTCTCTTTGTATAGCAATCAAAAGAAACATTTAACTTACTCGGGTTGCAGTGCTTCACCGACTAATTCTTGTAGACTGATTCCTGTTCTTTCCAGAACGAGCTGAACGGCATCGTTGATGATAGTCGCAAGTGTTGTGATATTTTTATTAGGATCCGTCACCCATTGGAAGAAATCAGCGCCGATTTTGACAATTTCACCGGGTTCGAGGTTGGATACCAAAGCAACAATTCCTTTCAACTGTGGATATTTTTTGGTGATCATTTCAATCAGCTGTGCTTCTGTAATGTTTGCAGCTTCTAGAGTCAGATTGTAGATTTGACCAATGTACATCTGGATCTCTTCATTGATACCACTGCCGTTGTTGTTTTGAATAGCGATTCTAAGCTTGATGCTCGCAATCTGCAAATCGACTTGTGTAGAGTCAAATTGCATGGTATATGCTTCTAAGAAAGCCAACATCGCTTGGTCTTGCGCAGCTGTGTCGTTCGTGCCATAGGCATCCAAAACAGGCTGTATATTATTCAACACGAATACAATTTCTGTAGGCAGCATTACATGGGTTTTGCCAAATGCAGTAATCAAAGCAGGTCCGATGTCTGAACCTGCAGTTACATCGGTATTCACCGACGCAAAAATGATATCGCCGGTGTCAGAAACATTTTGTGATGTTTGCCTATAAAACTGCATGCTTTGCATTCTAATTTGAAGTTCGATTTCTTGCGTCACGTTCACTCCGTTTTTAGTTAGAAGAGTGACCATCAATTTGCTCAGCTCTGTTGGAGGATATGTGGAGTTAGCATATTCGTAAAGTGCCATCTGGATTAGGGTCATATTTCCATTTGCGGCTATTATGGCGGTGTGGAGTTGATCAAGTCCAGCCAATTCCGGTGGAAGGGTCATGTTCAACTGCGCCGAAAGCAACTCTAGATATTGCGTGTAGTTGTTGTAAAATACTGTTATCATCGTAAACGTGTTTGTAATCATTTCTGTTTTATTCGGATATCTTTTTAACAAGTAGCCTGGAATGCATTCGATCATGGGTTTATACTCAGCAGAAATGTTGACACCCATGTCAGCCATTTGTTTTATATACGCATCGGCGTAAGCCTGTGTTACGTTATTCGACAAGCAGTATTTAGCTTCAAAATTCATCCACAACATACCGGCGATAATGGTGGCATTTTGCGTGTCATTCATCTGGATTGCCGTCACCAAGTCAGATATCAAATACAAAGTTGCCAGAGTTTCGTTTGATAATGTAATATTCTGCATTGCGAGGTCGTTCAACGTTTCATTTAAGATCATTTTGAAGTCAAATGACATTGACGAGTTCATTGAAGTGTTCGATAAAATATTCGGAAGTTCTTGTAAGAAAGCAATTACTTCTGGTGGAACAGTGATATTCATCATTGCTAGATTTTCGATGGTTTGGTTGATGAATGTTGGCAACCCTGTTTGCAATATCATTGTTAAATTTGTCGAGTTGTTTTGAAGCGCTTGTATCAGAGCAGACATTTGTGTTAGCGCATTGATGACGTTTGGTGAAAGAGTAATGTTATACTTTGCCAAATCCTCCAGAGTTTGGTTTAGCATGGTGGAAATATCCTGGTTTGACATGTTATACGGTTGAATTTGGTCGATCATACTTGACATGTTATAATACAGGTTATCAATTTGTTCTGTATGGTTGGGGAAAAATGTGTAGGCTAATCCTGGCCGGTATTTTATCATCGTTAGGGTTTCGTTCGTCAAGTTGTTGTGGCCGAATCTTTCGAACATGTTTATGATAGATGTGCTGAGTGCTTCAGTCGCTGGAGTAATGGTGCTGAACTGCATGAGCATACTCAACCTCCATTGCGTAACGTAATTGGAATCATTGATATTCATGAAGAGCTCCTCGAGCGAGTTCCAGAAAATGGAGGATCCATTGATCATTTCGTGGTCCATGCCTGGCATTGTGATATTTAGTTCTTCTAACAGCATATTGAAAAGTTGTGTAGCGTTATTGTTGGAAAGAGTTTCGTTGATTTGCATTGCCAATTGATGTGAAAATATCCTTATTACGTTTTGAATTTGGTCTCCAGCATCGGGAAATAGGCTTAATAATTGTTGAATATTGCTCGCGTTCAATTTCAGAATTTCTCCGCATTCCAAGTATGACGAATAGGCCGTAGATATGCATGATCCATAGACAATGGTAACTAAAGAAAAACATTCCATAAGTCTCATAGTAAAGACAAGTTTGATGACATTTTTATTTTATAACTATGATTTTCAGAGAAAATTCATTGAAGACTAAACATATCAATAATTTCATTTAATAACGGATGCAATATTTCTCAACGTTTTTCTTCACTTGAGCTTTTCGTTTGTGAATTTTTGATATGCTACACATGAAACAGAACTAAATTATAAAATTTAATCGTTTTGTTTTAAATTTTACATACCTTCTTGCTTGTCCAAAAATTCTGGTTTATAAATCACTTCCCCGAGGAAACAAGACTGTCCCGATGTTGAGGGGCAAGTGTACGATTCGTTCCACGCGTATATGGGCATCCCGAACACAGTTGTGTTGAATCCATTTCTACAATTGAGTGCATTAACAGCGCTAACGAAAAATAAGCAGACAATTGCTGCTGAGAAAATGGACTTCATTTTGGTAATACTTTCTTTCTACTTTTCTATAAATTTAACCAACCTGTAAAATTTTGTTTGTGAAAAAGTTAGAAAGAACCAAAAATAGATATTGTCTTATCGCATTCATGACAAACATCATCGCAATACGTATGTATTTTAGCCCTTATAGTTATATTCATTATGTTTTATTGGAGCGGGATTTTATGTTCGCTTAACATATCAGTAATCCTTTATATCCACAACAATCATATTTTTACAAATAGTCTGAAAACTGGGTAATAGTCTTATAATAGAAATATGTCCAAAATTAGAGGTTATTATATATAATTAAGTTAAAGCGACACTGATAAACGAAAATAAAATATTTTGAGTAGTATCTTTACCGAATATTTCAATCAATCTTGCCATTTTCAAACCTTCATATATATAAGAATAACAAATCAATACATAGTGGTGTTTCATTTAATTTAAATCCTGTTTTCAAAATTTATAACGTTATAATTGTTTCCTATTTGAGTGAAGAAAGTGACATTGGAAAGTGCAAAATAAAAATTGTACAGAAAATATACCGCATTTATACACAAAGTAGGAATAAAGCTATTAAAGGGCAAAAGTTAGAAGTAAAAGGTATATACTGGTAACGACACAAAATTATTTCTTCGAAGCTATACTTTACTCACGAACAGAAAATATAAATGAATATAGGAAGACGTATTCCAGTATTTAAGCCAAAAATTGTTGAAAAAATGAACGAACGAATTTGCTGAATAATTCAATTTTGCGTACATCGGGTTTAGGTAAATATTTGAAGACCGTAAATTTATTTTACAGAGCCTGTTAAAAATGAGAATGATTCAGTTCTCCCTAGCAATACTATTAGTGACTAATCATTTGATCTTTTTTTATTTTCATTGTACTCGCGGTAATGAATTCACGTTTTCAGGTTGTCAAGGGAGAAAACGGTGATCAAACCTTGTCCCGTGGTCACCACGCCGTCGACAAACAAATCGCTTTTTTGTTGTTCCCTAAAAATTGTGAAATCGTGGCCATGTCACGACAATATTGCAAATATTTAACCACGGGATTAGTTAGGAAAGCGTAACCAGGGTAATTGACCTAATATTTCAATTTTGGTGTTTAGAAATATCATCTTGCATTCAATAATTTGGATGTGACATACGAAAAACTTTATTTTTAAACTGGTTTATGTGCATAAAATTCAATATATATCACTGTATTTAAACCTGCCGCATGTAACTGCATTTTCAAATTTTGCCAAATGATAGATTCTGAACTGAGAGATATCATTGGAATTTGTGACAAAAAGAATCTATATTTGAACATTACAAAAATATGGCGAGGTATTAAATTTTACATTCGATTCATAAGAATTGAAATGAACAAATTGATTACCAATTTAGATGCTACAAGAAATCACTTACAATTTTAGAAGAAAAACAATATTGCATGGTGTGAATGGTAAAAACGAAGTCTTGGTTTTTACTGTATTTCTACTGTTCATATAAAGAATACATGTGAGATAGTTGCTTAATTTGCGCAATGCCGACCATGCCGAGTTAAATACTAAGTGCAACCTATTGTACTCTAAGTAGCCACTCCCTGTCCACACGCCGACACGATAGCATAATATTATATTTCTGTGCCATGTCTGAAGTTTTAATGTTTTATTTTCGATTCATAGTAATATTACGCCATTGTAATTAACAAGTCGTCATTTGAACTAGAAATATGAATGTTTTCTATAATTTGATACACGTTGAACTCCGCGATTATCTTATGTATAGTGTTCGCCTGCATGTGTTTTGGTCTTCTATCAATACTCTGTTCAATTTTATTGGGAAAATTTGTGACCGTGATTTTGACGAAACTTGTTATTGCGAGTTTAACTTATAGTTGCGTCGTCCTATTACAAATGGCGCCATACCCCCTCTGCGCAAACAAATATCACACCTCAATGACACTTCATAAATATCTATCTCGAACTTGTGTGAACGTTGGAAACAAAAGCATACTTTTCAATAAGCTGATAATATATTTAGGACAAATGATTTTTGCATTGAAATAGCAGGTTTTTGCATTGAAAGATTTGAAATAATATATACAGTTATGATACAATATAGACTAATTCACCCTCGATATTTATGATTAATAGTTCAAGTCAAGTACAATTTTATGTATTAATAAATTTCGGATATTTTACTGGAGATATTACTTTATTAAATGTAGGAGACAGAAAAATTCTCGCTTCCAGAGCGAGATCAATTCACTGTATATCGTACTCCAGGTTACAAAGCCTAGACAATAAAAGCACGAGAATAAACAGACAGACAGTTTGTAAAAACGAGTTCAAATCCTACAAAGGAATAAAAATGTTGCTTTCTCTTCACTCAAATATCAACTATCGTAGTAGATATAAAATTTCTCATTTTCAGTCTTTTATGAACCATAGATATAGTTATCGTTGTTCGTACTTCGCCAAATTCAGATTCTAATTAATTTAGCATTATTCCCTAGCTGTAAAGTATATTTTTACTTCGATTTTTAACACAAATCTTTTTTTTTAAATATTAGTGCGGGTTGCGATAAAGAACGAAAATAAGGTAAATTCAATGAAAATCTTGATTATTTTAAAGTAAATATAAAAATGTGTATTTATTGAGTTTTACATATAGAATGCTGTATGTAAATGAACATCAACTATAATAATTGTAAATTATGATTTTATACACATTTGGTGATTGGAAGAACATTATAGATTTATGGTTAGGCACTTAAGATACATTACATGTATTTGTGACATGAAGCTAATGCGTAATAAATATATATAAATCAAGTATACTGCTGAGTTGATAAAATCCTTGGAAACAATACGTCACATTTGCTTTATGGAATAATTTTAACGAGATAACAGGTCCTAACCATACTTCAAATCACGGCATTTTTCTAAGACTATCTTCACGGCAGATCTACAGCAATTAAATACGATCAGACCAAATACAGTGATTTTGAGAAAAATTGTAAGCCCACTGAGAATTTATTTTGGAAGAATTGGGGTTTCGACGGACAAATGCTAATTTCACTGATATGGCTGTAATTTCAATTTTCTTTGTGATTTTCAGAAGTCGAGGTCTCTACAAATTGTAGACGTGTAGAAAGTACAATGTGCCACAAAATAACACCATTAAAAAAAACAATGATAGTGCATTTTGATCGTATATGATGCATAAAATAGTTGGGCAAGCACTTGGGAAACAAAAATTACCGGCGATATAAAACTTTGAAAGGTATTTAATATAGAAATATGAAACCAAACCAATTTAATAAGCCTATTTTTATCAATATTACTTTTATTCTATAGACCATTTAAAGTTAGTTAAATCTGAGAACAAAAATTTTCAAACTGAACAAAAGCATTGAAATGTAGGTTGCCAAATAATTTTTAAAAATCCCAGATTATACATGAAACCCGTCATCTGACTTATTGCAAACATAATTTTTTAGAAAATTAATCAAAAATGGATAAAAAACACAAAACTGGTGTTCAATAAACTATTGCATCGAAAAAAGGATGATCCTGTCTAATTCACACAAATTCCAATTATGTTTTACTAATCGTCACTTGCGTAAAAAATAATTTTTCTCCGGGGTAGTTAACGGTGTATTGTTGAGATGGTAATACATAGATATTTAACTTTCAACAAACCTAACAAAAAATAGTTTTAGCTTAATTTGTTATATTAAAAAATAAATATATTCTGAGTGGAATTAGTGACAATTTCAAATATGCGATACGTCACAACCGACATCCTAACTAAAAGTTATATCGGATTATGAAAAACAATTGGCTAAAGCATAAAAAACAATGTGACAAATAAAAATGGAAGTTTTTCACAGAAATATTTGTTCTAAGTTACAATGAAACTTTTACATAATAACGAAATAAAATTTTACGCATCGATTTATTGCTGCGATAAAAGCGTGAGAAAAGACATCTATCACAAGGCACGTGATAACAGTAAATGAAACTTTACTCAAAATTTGAGATTGGTACAGGCGCTCGTGTATTTTTGAACAAATTTTGATTGTCAATTTTGACAATAATTCGAATCAACCTTCATTATATATATGTGCGTTATATATCAAAAGAGGTAATTGAAAAAAGTACGCTTGAAAAAAATAACGTCAAAGACGCAGCGTTATGTAAATTAATTACACCACCACTGAAGGTGGTTGTATCGGTAGTATTTGAAGTCCCTGTAACAGGTTCTGACCAAATCGTCGATGTTGTAAGGGCTTGATCTGTCAAACTATTCGGAGATGTGGAGGTAAACGGCCCCGTTGATTCTACACTGCTGGATGTTGTAGATGTGGTATGTGCTGGCAGAATGTCTCTCACGTTACAGTTGTCCGTTTTACAAACTTCGTACGAACAAGATCTGAAAGTGAATTGGAAATTTTAATAGAAGAATTTCAATCATATAACCTGAAACAGAGAGAGTTTGAATTTATGGTGGAGTACTTATTGGCATATTCATTTGTCTATCCCGCTTGGGCGCCAGATGTCCCTAGCCCGACGGCTTTTTGGGTCAAATAAGCCTGTCTTAATAAACAAAATTACAATACTATATATTTTTTCAAATAATTCAAAATTTGTTAAATGGCCCAGATGACGACCATACGGTGGTCCCCTACAATCAGCTGGCGCCCGAACGGCTGTGCCCAAAAGCGGCGCCAAACAGGAGCTTCCAGTAGTTGCACACCGTTATATTCAAACTTTAAAAAGCAAAACGATGAAAAGACGATGCAAAAATGTACTTACTTCGGTTCCACTAGAGTCTTCAATAACTGAGCAACATTAACACCGTGCTTGTCAAGAAGAAGATGTATGGTTGAATTTATGTAGGAAGCCAATGTCGTTGTTGTTCTCTCGGGATCAAATATCCAGTAAACAAAATTTGACATTGAAGAGAATGCTTGTTTTGGGTCTAGTTGGAAAAATATTTCGATAATGGGTCTGCCATCAGGGAAAAGTTGCAGAAGCCTGTTTCTTAAATCTGTTCCGGTGACGTTAACAGATTTCAAAATTAATTGGTATACGTTAACGATTTGTTCGAAGGCTTCATCGGGTAAGGAAGTTTTTAGCATATCCATATTATTCATCAGTGCAAGCTGAAATTTGTAAGTGTAGATTGACAACTGGACTTGATCCGATGGGAACGATGCGTTGTAAGATACCAATATATTCAAAATGGCGTCGTTTATACCCTGCACATCATTTATAGTTGCAGCGTCGATGAGAGATTGCACATTATTTAAAACAGGAATAAGCCGATCGTACATGGTCACATTAGCTTTTGCGAAAGCATCTTGAATTGCAACACCGATATCTTTGTTTGCAGCGATGTCTTCATTTAGGGAAGAGAATATTGTATCCAATGTCGGGTGGACTTGTGGCCAGGATGGGTTGTATGCTGAAGTTGATGCTTGGCGAATAGACATTGATATTTGATCTGTTACGTTTACCCCTGCCTTAGTAAGAATAGTCACGATTAGTTTGCTTAATTCGGTTTCTTTAGCCATGTCTTGTTGAAGTTCAATCAGCAGTTGTATGATTTGTGACATATTGTTTTGAGCGAGGGCAGTCTGAATTTTTGGCAATTTGTTGATCAAAACAGTCAGTTCAAACGGGACGGAGACGTTTAGCTGACTGAATTGTCCTTCAATGTAGCCCGAGTAGTTGGTGAAAGCCAGTGTCATTTGATTAAAAACATCAGTTATCAGAGCAGCCTGGTCTGGTAAAGCAGCATACAAAGATCCGGGAACACATTCAAGTCCCAATTGCGCACTGCCAGGAACTGATATTCCATACTCTGACAACATTGTCGATATTGTTTGAGCAAAAGATTTTGTAACGTCGTTGGAAGAGCAATAATGCGTGTGAATGTATGAACTCCATTGCATAAATAAGGTTTCATTCATTGTTGTAGCAGCCATAATTAAGATCTCGGAGCTTTTTAGCAAAGGAGTCAATTCTGCTGGCAAGAACGATGTATCCAATTGTTCGAACATTTCGCTGAGAGATGAAGGATTGAATTCCGTAGCAGTTAGATTTATATTCATCAATGAATTGGTAATACTATCATACACTGTGTCAATAGTCTGAGAATTATTGCCTGCGAGCAGCTGATAAGGTAAAGTTACAATATACTTCAATGCTGCTTCAAGCCCGCTTGTTTCGACTCCATCCAGTTGGCCAAGTACGTGCTTCACAGCGTTTACTAATGTAATGGAAGCGTTAGTTGAGGGCGTGTTCAGTAAAGACATAATTTCTACTAACCAAGCATTGATCGCTTCTGTGTTATTTGTTGTTGCAGCATTGAATAAAGCTGGTAAATTATTCACGATTATTCTTACGTCGACGGGAATAACGACACCAGATAAACTGATTTGTTCTATTGTATCTTTAATAACTTGTTCAATATTGAAATTGCTCGGAGTCATAGAATCGAACGCTGTAAGATTTATGTTGATCAATGAATCTGCGATGCTGTTGTACACGGCGTCAATAGTGTGGGTATCCTGACTTGGCCGGAGTTGATAAGTCAATGTAGTGATGTAGTTCAAAGCTGCCTCAAGTCCGGATGTATCAACTCCATCAATCTGGCTGAGTACATGTTTCACAGCGCTAACCAGTGCCAGTGAAGCGTTTGTCGTAGGCGTGTCCAGAAGTCCCATAACGTTCACAAGCCAAATATTAATTTCATAGGTGTTTAATTTTGTTAAGGAGTCGACCAACGTTGGCAATAATTTTATAATTGTCTTCACATCGTTGGGAATGATGGTGCTGTTCATATTCAGTAACTTCATTGTGTCTTCAATCACCTGGTTGATATTGACGTTTTCAAGGTTCATCAAATTTGTAGCCGAGATGTTTATTTTCACCAAATTGTTAGATATACTGTCGTACACCGAGTCAATAGTTTGTGTATTTGTTTCTTCCAGAAGTTGATAAGGCAAGGTGACAAGATAGTTTAAAGCCACTTCTAACCCGGATGTGTCGACTCCATTGATTTGTCCGAGCAAATATTTGACAGAATTTATCAATGTGATAGAAGAGTTGGTGGATGGCGTTTTTAGGAGAGATATAACTTCTACCAACCATTTATTGATTCGATTTGTATCACCTTTCGTTACTGCGTCGAATAACGCTGGCACGTTATCCAATATTACGTTCAGCTCACCAGGAATTGAAATACCAGAAGCATTCAACTGTTGAATTGTGTCTTTAATAATTTGTTCGATATTGAAACCACTCGACATCATGGAATCTCTAATACTCTGGGCTGTTCGTTCGTAAACAATGTTTATCACTTCAGTTTCGTTGGGAAATATTCTGATGAAAAATCCAGGTAAATTACTTATCACGTCCAACACATCTTGAGGTAACGAGACGTTGACATTTCCTATAAAATCCAATAAAGTGTTACTCAAATCGCGGCTTTCGTCACTGGGGATGCTCAAGTTCGTGAAGGATTGCAGCAAAGTGTTTAAAATTATATTTATATTTCCGCTTGTTGTTGCCTTTAAAAGTTGCTCAGTTACCTCGACGATGTACTCTATTTCAGTTAGATTTGAATTGAAACCTTCTGATCCAAGCAACGACATCAGATCCAGAGTATTAGTAGAATTGATAGAGTCAATTATCGCAGATATGTTGCTATATGCGATTTCCAAATCGTTTTCATTGCCAACGAAAAACATGTAGAGATATCCAGGTTGATAATCGATTAAAGTGCGCAAATCAGACGTAAGGTTGTTGTAAATTCCAAATCGTTTGGTCATTTCATATACTGAATTACTGAGCATTTGTGTAGCAGGTGTAATTCTGCTGTAACTTTTAAGTAGCTCGAGTTGCCAAGATGTAATGTACTCAAAATTGCCTTGGATCAATTGATCCAGCAAGTTGGGAATAGACTGTAAAGTTGGCACTATTGATTGAACTTCGGCAGGTAGAATCAAAACTACAGCTTCGATAGTAAGTCGCAAAGATCCGATGGGATCTGACATATTTATTCTAGAAGCCAAATTTTGTAGCATTGTCTTAATTTCATCTGGAATGGATATATTCATCATTTCTAGTTGCTGGATCGTTGATTCCAATGGCGTAGACCAATCTGGATGGGTCAAATTAACAGCATTCAAGTTTTTAGTAATGTTGGAATAAATTTCGTTTACTAACGTAACATTGTCGGGGAATAATGTTACAAAAATACCAGGAATGTGTTTGAGGGCGTCTTTAGCAAAGTCATCCAGAGTCACATTCATTTTTTCAAAGTATTGAACAATTGAATTCGTTAAATCCAGACTCTCTTGGGTTAATTCAGCTTCAGTGTAAAGGGTTTCTCCAATACTTTGAACAAATGCCTCCAATAAGGGCATGCCATCCATGATGTTTGAAATAAATTTCGGTAAGAACGTAATAGGCTGTCGCAAAGTAGTTGTGTTGATCGCGTCCAAGCTTTGACTGATATTTGCAAAAAACGAATTGATTAAGGTTATATTGTCCTGGAACATATTTACGAATAGTCCTGGAAAGTATTTGATGACATTGTTTATATCTGAATTAACAGTGACGTTCATTCTTTGCAGCAAGTTTACAATGCTGTTCGACAATGCGATACTTTCTGTTGTTATAGTGCTGCTATTTTGTAAAGCACCAATTGAACTAATGAGCAATGAATCAACCCACGTTTTGTTTGATATTATTCCATCAATGAATCTTTTTATCGATGCAGTTGCTTGACTCACTTCCGGATATAAAATATCCGGCGAAATAATTTCTGAAAGGATCGACATCAGATCTGGTGTTTTGGAAAGATTAATGTTGTCGATGATCAGTGACATATTACGCAATAACATATCTAAAACATCAGGATTTTCTTGAGCAAATAGATAAAAATATCCTGGTTGGTATGTTATTGCAGTCTTCATATCATCAGTCAAATTCTCGTAAACTCCAAACCTCATTGTCAGATTGAAAATTGCATTGCTCAGTTGCTCCGTCGCTGGTGTTATTTTGCTGGCTGTTTTCAGTAGTTCCAATTGCCAAGTATTTAGATAAATGAAATTTCCTTGTGTAAGCTGGTTTATCAACTCCGGCAAAGTGTTCATCATCGGTATCGTAATGTTCATTTCTGGAGGTATTAGGGTCTCTAACACATCAACCGCACCCTGCAGAGACGATATCGGATCCGAGAAGTTGATTTTCGATGGAATTTCATTGAGTATATATAAAACTGGAGGTGGCAATGTGAGATTAAGCATCCCAAGCTGTTGAATAGTCGATTGAATAGCTGCGTCCAAATCTTCGGGAGTGGTAATAAATGAATTGCTTATTCCTTGACTCACATTGGCAAAAATTGCGTTAATCATGGCTTCGTTGTCGTGAAGGGAAGCAGTAAATATTCCTGGCAAGTACATAATTATTTCTTTTACTTCTTTAGAAAGAAGAACGCCCATACGTTCTAGTAAACTGATTATTGAATTGCTAAATTGTAGACTTTCTGTTGTTGATTTGCTGGTATTTTTCAACGCTTCTATACTATAAATTCTAATTTTAGTAGCATTACCAGTCATAGCGGCATTTATGAATCCTTGTAACGTCGGAATAATCTGATCAATGACGGTAAAATCGGCAACGGGCGAAAGTAAATTAAAAATGCTTCTCAAATCAGGTGGGCTGGTAGGATCGATTAAGTCCAATATTGCTGACAGATTTTTATATGTGTATTCCAAGGTAACATGGCTTTCAGGGGGAATGAATAGATAGAAATATCCAAGTTGGTAGGTAATGTAAGTTTTCATGTCATTGGTTATATTATCATATACTCCATATCGTTTCAAAAGTTCGAATATTGAATTTCTAAGTTCTTCTGTTGTGGCTGTGATTCTGCTCACTGATTTTAATAGCTCGAGTTGCCAAGTTGTGTAAAGATATTCGACATTATTCTGCAATAGTTGATTCAAAAGCTCTGGCAGGGTGTTGAGTACCGGCATTACAATCGGTTTAATATCTGGCGGTAGTAAAGAGGAAATTGAATTAATTGCCATTCCTAGAGATCCAACGGGATCTGATACATTGATTTTAGATGGAAGTTTGCTTATTTCAGAATGAACCTCAGCCGGCAGGGTGACATTAATGTCTTTTAGTTGCTGAAGAATAGCTTCGACTATTGTTGTAAAGTTGAAAGAAGAAGGGCTAAAAGTGGGTGGTTCATTTGTGGGATTGTCAATGCCCGGGACATTCAATGGGTCAAAAATTTCTTTCATTGACGCAGCAAATTGGTTCATCACATCTAAAGAGTCACCTCCTGGAAGTAAACTTATTATGTTCCCTATATCAGGCAGTTTTGTTAGATCAGTAGCTTCTACGATCGCAGTAACAACGTTGATAGCAGAGTTAACCTCGTCTTGTGATTCAGGATGTGTAGTGTAAAATATTCCCAACTGGAGACCAATCAGATCTTTTGTTTCTCTCGTCATATTATCCTCAAATCCAAATCGTTTTGACATATCAACAATCGCGTTATTCAACATTTTAGTCTCATTTGTTGTTGTACTGACTGCTTTTAGTGCATCAGCTTGCCATAGGTTGATATAATTGTAATTTCCTTTGATCATCTCGTTTATTAAATCTGGTAACCCTCGCAGAAGTGGGAGAGTTGCGTTCATATTAACTGGTATTAAAGGAACGACAAAGTCTATGACGGCTTTAATAGTTCCTACTGGATCAGATATGTTAAGTTCGGATGGTATTTTTTCCAGAATTGTTGTCATTTCGGATGTCAAATTCAACATGAGAAGTGGCGAGAGAGCCGAATTCAACATTTTCCCATAATTCGGAGACGTGAAATCGATGTTATTTAAATTGACTGAAATATTTGAGTAAATCGAGTTTATTAAATCTACGTCTTGCTGAAAGGCTGTAATAAATAACCCGGGAAGATAGGTAATTACATCCTTAACCTCTTTTTTCAAGGAAATATTTGATCTTTCCAGTAGACTATTTATTGAATTGCTCATGGCCAAACTCTGAGTTGTAACTGTGCTTGATTCCTGTAGTGCTTCTAAGGAATATATTCCCAGCGCCATCCAGTTTCCCGTAGACGCGACTTCAATAATACCATCGATTGTTGAAAAAACTTGATCCATACCAGCAAGCTCGACCTTGACACCAAAAGACTCAAGAAGTGATTTTGTATTTGGTGGCGCGGTTGGATCTATTGCATCAATAGCCTTAGATATATTGAGAAATATATAATCCAATTCATCACTATAATCAACGAAGTTGTAGAAATATCCTGGCTGATATTTGATAAGTGTTATCATATCATCAGTAAGGTTGACTCCAAAACGTTTGAGAAGGTCGAAGGTTGAATTGCTTAGTGCTTCTGTTGCTGGTGTCACTCTACTATATTCTTTCATTACATTGATGCCCCATGTATTCAGATAGTCGTAATTTTCCTTTGCTAATTCGTCTATGAGTTGAGAGAGTGAATCAAAAAGCGGCGAAAGCCTGTATGCTGACGGCACCAAAGAATTCAGTAGTTGAGGTACAGATTGCACAGAAGCAATGGGATTGGTGACATCTATATTTGCGAGAACTGTGTAAAGCGTAGCATTAATATTCTGATAATTTGGATCATCTTTGAAAAATTGAATAATGAAGCCAGGTAGATTCTCAATCATAGGTCTGTAGTTGTCTGGAACCGGCACTCCATTGCGTCTAAACAAATCATATATAAGCTTACTCGCGGCTGCATCCGGCGTGCTGAGATTACTGAAGCTAGTTAACAGTTTGTCCGACGCTTTTTCAACTTGAGAAACGTTAACTACAGCGGTGAGAAGCAGAGAGTCGATTTTTTCTAATACTGGTTTTACGTTGTCTGGAACAGTCACATTCAGTCCATGAAAAATTGATTGCGTCAGCTTTACGTTGTCGAATTCGCCGTGTTCATTCTGAAGAAACTTCATCACTTCCTTTGCGGCCCTCTCGGAAAAATCGTCGATGACAACATTAAGTTGATTTTGTAAATCGGGAAGCATAAGTAATATTCTATCAACATTCAACCCATTGGTACCGAATAATTCATCACAAGATAGCAACGATTCGTAGGCTGATGAAATGCAGGACCCATACGTCAGTGCAACTGTGAAAAGTGAAGTTAAAATAATTTGACTTAATATATTTATGCGACATTGTATATTCCGAAAAAAATCAAATTTCAAAGTGATCGGAAATGAATAAGATGCCAGGAAATCATATAATCGGATAAACTAAATATATAGTGTAATTTTCCGCGCTCCAGAAGTATGTGTACCAATATGGAGGTTACTAATTTTGTTCTCCTTATACTTTACATCAAGTTGTGTAAAGGGACTGAAGCATATGGTCAGGGGGTATATTTACTTGGCTGACACAGACAGTCCCGAACTCGTAATCGAATTAAAATGAGGAACATCGCAATAAAATTATGGCCTAACCCTAACCTGGCACACACGGGAGTACCTAATTTTCAATAATAGCGAAAAAAGCAAAAGATTGTATATTTGAATTGAAGGCAACCAACATCATATTAGAAAATCATTATTATAATACAACCACATTACATGGTGCCATCCGTGTTAAATATACCTGTCCTGATATATAATAGTATAGTAAATGAATAACAAGCCAATGTTCCAATACAATAATTTTGAATCACTTCCTTCATCACCCCCACGTTGATGTTACACAATATAAGGCTCAATTTGTTTCGATTTGCGTCTTCATAACAAAGGACAAATAGGCCCTGATGAGATTTAAATGTCTGAGATAAGTTTATAATGGGAAATTCTTTTATTGCTAAATACATATTTGACGTCATGATTTCACAAGAAGGGTAAGTGAAATTGTAAGCAGTTCAACGTAGACTGGTATGTATCTGAAGTACCTTCAAGCACACTCAAAATATTTCTCCCTAAAGAATATTTACTGAGGATTCAATGTATAGATAAGATAGGTTTCATGCAATCCGTATTTGTTATTGGCATCCGGATTGACTTTTGCAAGAATGCGCTGAAATACGCATTGTGCAGAATTGTAGTTTATACCTGATTTTATGGCGTTCCTGGCATTTCAAAATGATTTTCGAATCTCCGAAATTCTAATTTATCATACAATGATTATTTGTATAATTTTAAGTAAGACAAATCAAACAAATAAGATAACAAAAATTCAGTAATATTCATATTAATCAAAATAATGATGCTGGGTTCGAACTCATACTAATTATGCATTGCACAAAAATTCATAACTTTCACTTACGTTCATCCTCTATAAGCGATATTTTGTATGAAATTTCTCCGAGGAAACATGATTGTTGAGAAGCGGACGAACATTGATTTGATTCATCCCAGAACGTGATAGGAATTCCATACACAGAAGTGTTGAAACCAGATCGACATGACAATCCTTCAACTGGGTGGTTGTTGGCAATGACCAACACAATGGCTGACACAGCCAAAAGTAGTCTCATGACAGATTTGTTTTTAATTTTAATCAGTATATATGAAATATTTCTAGAAACGAAAATAAGAATTAAAAAAAGGTCGGGTAAGCCTACACAATCCCTTCCTACGTAATTCGGTGATCTCGAAGTATTCGTACCAAGATGGCGCACAACCTAAACCTAGTATGTGTACTTAGGTGAGGGTTGTTCAGGTTGTGCGTCATCTTGATACGAATACTTCCGGAGCGCCCCTAATCCTAATATTTCTTTAATTTATCTATTCTCAGACACATGCGCTAAGTTGCAAATGACAAGGTGCAATAAAGTTGTTTCCAGATAAAACAGTTTTCCTTAGCAATATCATACTTTATCATTCAGAAGTGAAAGAATTTTTCTGACACAAAAGCTACGAGCGAACAGCGAAATCTCATAGGCTGCTGGTAAACCAGAATTATCGTCGAACCGTAGGCGTCAGAAAATACTAATTGGCGCCAGATTTGAAATAGCTTAAGTCAAATTTTAAAGAAATTTGCGTACTCTTGTAGTATGCGAACCAAGATGGCGGACACTGGGACGTAGTATGTGTCCCAGGTTAGGGTTAGGCCATAATTCCAGGTACAAATACTACGGAAGTCACTTGGCTAGTTCGTTCCAGTGTCCGCCATCTTGGTTCTTATACTACAGAAGTACCGAAATTAGATGAGCCTTCTCTTTCGTTAATTAGGGATCGGTGGAATTTGATCAACAACCTGACGTGATGGAAATATATAACTCCACAATGTATTCTCTATAAGAACCCGTGACTGTCGCTGAATGCACGCTTTAAAGCAGTGGTTTCCAACCCTTTGTTGGTTGAATTTCTCCCTTCGTCTATTTCCACACTCTTTGTTCCTCCCTCAGTATGAATAAAACTACTTTATTTATTCATGGGATCTTTGACCAGTTTTATACGCAAGTAAATCCCGCTTTTTTACAGTTTAAATTGTCTATATTGTGTGCATGATTAAACGTTACAGATACAATACTAAAAAACTAAAGAATATTAGTAATATTACAGCAAATACAAAGCAAAAGTTTATTTCTCCCTCGGTACGAATGAAAAACTATTTCATTTATTCAAGGGATCTCTGATCAGTGTTATACGCGATTATCTTCTGCTTTTGTAGAGTTCAAGTAGTTTATAATGTGTGAACAAACAAACATTATATATAGTAATAATACTAAAGAATATTAGTAATTCCGCTGTGAACCCGACGCAGAATTCCGTCTTTCAGGAACTGCGAAATTTCTTCTGGAAGAAGTTCCTTCTCGGTTGTGAAACGTAGCTCAAAGTTTCACGAGTAATTATGCAAACTGATTAAACTCTGTTGACCGATATTGATGCCTATATACTATGTCTATGAACTATGCACAAACATATAACGAAGAGGAAGTAAGGTTATTGTGGATAACATCTACTTTGCTCAAGTCTTAGTCATGCGTTAGTCCCACGTACAGAACCTACTTGATTCTTTCAATAGGTTTCAATCAGCGCACATCTGCGAACGCATACATTCATATTCTCGTTCGACGTTAAGTGACACAATCTCAACTACAACAAAACAGTAAAATCATTCGATGTCACAATAGTTGTTTCAGGTATATTTGCTTTTGACTGTCAAAATTATTCACCTGAGCCGGATATTTCATAAGGTTGTATTTGCGACTGTCTAAAGATATTTTTTTCTTAATTTGAATATTGTTTTACTTCACATAAACTATGCTATGCAAACAGCTTGCTTCATTATTATACCATGTAATAACAAGTCAAGTCCGATGTAAACACTTTGTAATAGAGCATTGGACATTTTTGAACATGGACGGCAAAATGTTACGTCTCCAATAAACGTGTTTGAAAGAAAAACAGTTGCTGAACAATTTTGACAGAAATTTGAATTTGATAACAAAGTATTACACGATAATCTGCATATTAAAAACCGACAAATTTGCATGTCTCTTTTCATTCATGAAGGGTTGGTTCAAGGTCGGACTGATTCAAATACTCGCTCGAAAACATGCTTTCTCAATAAATTTATATATCGTCGAGATATTATTTGAGATGTTAGGTGAATTTGCTCGTTAAATGACATCTGCAGTACACTTTCAAAATGCCAATTGCTTTGTTATTTACTCAAAGAAAGGCCAGTTGCTATTCAGAATTGGAATTCAAAACCTATTAGAAACAAAACAGTTCTACTGGTATGACTATTATTAATTCTGGCAGTATTCTCCTCCAAAAGCTTCTTCATAAAGACAAGTCATGCTTGTGATACCTTTATTTGACCTTCAACTTCAACACATTATATCTGAATTATGTAAAAGTGGAAATAAAAATTGTTAGGAAGTGTTTCAGCATACTTCGTTATCAGACATAACAATAACGTAGTTTGTTTATGCGTTGGTGGATGTAATGTTTACATTAAAAGTTCAAGCAGTTACCAAAATCTGACTTCCATACTTAATATTTATAATTTCTAAATTCCTCAACCCTGCGCCTCAAACTCAAAATACTCAGTTTGTGTGTCACAAGTCACGTCAACAATCAAGCTGTAATAACAAAAAATGTATCTCGGATTTTTCTACGTAGCCTGCTTGAAGACCCGATTACCAATGGCAAATTATTTATCATGGCGACTATTATCTTTACTACTGCAGGTCAACGCACGGAATATTATTATTTGTCCAATATACGTTATCACGTTAGAACTGCGACATATCACGACATAAATTGTAACAGTAGGCGAGGATGTGTCATATTATTATAGCAGATTTGAGCATCAACTGCGGGATTTCCCATCTAATTATAATTTCGACAACTGCAAGCTTCATAACACATGACATTATAAATTCCTTATGCGACAAATGCACAAAATACAGATCAATACAGATTTCAGATCATTGTGGAATTGCTATCCACCCACATTGATATGAAGACAGCCTTCTAGACTGGCGCCAAGTCTATTGTCCAAGTCCATTACCTAACAATGTCTCTGTCGCGATAACAAATTCGAATGCATCTCGAAGCACGTTCTTCTATCAATATGGATTTGGCTTAGAGCTCGCCACCTCGCTTTGACCAATTTATATATATAAAGTACCGACTGGTACTGGCAATCTCGATAAAATCAGATTCTAATGTCTAACAACAAACTTTTTGTGTATTATACTCTGACTTCACGTATATATATATATACGTATATAAAAACACCGTTGTTCATAATATTACTGTACATATCATTAAATTTCAGGTGAACGTCAACAAAATCGTTTCACTCACATTACACGCCTGAGGACGGATACTGCTTATTCGTGGTAAAATATATTTTAGGATAGGAAGGATGCAAATTAAGTTCGATAAACCGCTACAAAATGTAGATCAAGATTCAAAAAATGACGTGAAAAAATTACAAATTAGTGTTGAAATAATCGCAAACAGCACGAAAATGTCATAGCAAACTTTATATCGCGCTTCAGCAGTACTAAACTGTTTAATATATGGTCACGATCTATTCTTAGTTTGTTATATTGTAAGTGCCACGGTATGCCGTTCCCTCGTAAATCATAAAATGTGATTAACAATTTTTTTAAAAATTAGTTTTCGTTCTGAAGACTAACTTTTACGCGACACGACTGCGGGGTATTAATTTCGCAGAAGGTATCGAAGCCGTATTTAAAATAAATATTAGCAAAAACTATGTGACGTGGACGCGAGAATAAGTGGTAAAGTAGGTTATTATAAAACTGAAAAAAACAAGTTTGCCTTCACGTCAACGTTTTATTATAGGATTAGAAACAGTAGGTTATTGAGGGCATAACATGAACAAGGTAAATTTCTATATATGTTTCAAATCATAATTGACAGGTTGGAATAGTTTGCTACAAAAAATTCATAATGTGCGATTCGCAAAATATTTATTTAGTTTGTTGCAATGCAACTGTAATTCTGACAATTTTTGAGCGGGAAATTGTTACATCAATTATTCTAAACATCAAGTGTCATATTTTTATAAATATACAATACATAATTGATGAACAGTTAGGTTTTCATTTTCATATATTTGAAAATATGCACAAAATATTCATTGAATATTGAAATTTACAAAATAATCCCACACGGTAAAGGAAACGATCAATATCAAATGAATGCCTAGTGGTTATATTAGACATATTTCGACGTTACCTGATGCCCCCAATTCCACCTGCGATAAATTTAATTAGGTAGGATAAGCTAAGACAAAAATATCCATTCCCTTCAATAATAGCGCTTCATTGCGTATTAGTATTCGCAACTCTCAGTCGTATTCTGAGTGAACACATTCAAACACCTTGTCAAATTGAAAACTTTACGGCATATAATATCTTCACCCTTCTATTACAACTAACATAATAACCTATATAATGTAGGTATTTTCAACAAAATATTTTCTCGTTTCACCTACCTTTCGATGTCACCTTGTGAAACTGAAGTTGCAGAATGATGACATTTTAGTACGCAAGCTGCAATCATTGCAATGATTCTAGAAATCAAAGTCCAAATCACAGAATTTGCTCCCTTTTTCATTTTATTTTACAAACCCTTAGTCACGATTAAATGACCACATGTGGTGGTTAATTTCGATTTCCGGAAACACGTTGCCACATTTGCATCGGGAATTGTTGCATTTAATGACTTGAACTAAAGTTACCTCTATCGCTCTATGGAAGTTTATATAGGTTTAATATTGGAATAACAATACAGACCCACAAAATAGCTTTATTGGTAAATAGTAGTTATTTAATGACAAACAGTATAGCACAGTATCATATTCCAAATAAGCCCAATATTAATTGAATTAAATAATATTAAAATTATATATTGATGGCCTATGCAAAAATAACATTTGTAGAAATGCCACAGCTAAGATAAAAAAAAAAATACGCAATCACACACTGTCTACCGAACTCTGTATTATGATCAAAATTTCACAATTTCATATAGACAGTGGACATTGACCAGTGGACGGTGTTATTATCGGTC